CGCATTCGCCATTAATTTAAAAATCCCGACTTCTACGGATGTCACTTCTATCTTTCCTATAATTTTTTCCAATGAGTTTTCCTGAGTGACATCGACTCCAGAGCATTATAACTAGCCTCCCCTAAGAGGAGGAGACCCGGGTCACCCCCTAACCCTGATGTTCGGGCATCGATGACCTATGTAGCATGCATGGGTACCCAAGGGAGTCACCACCCTCTGGTTTACGAGCTAGGTGTTCTAACGCTAGAGGCTTCGGCCGGATACGACCTGGCACCCAAGCTACGAGACTTCTTCGTGCACGTATCCCGTGACGTCTCGACAGTAGAGGGGGCGGGATATCGGACACATTGAAGATGAGGAGGGGGTCCGCCTGTAGGGGTCCCGGTGGATGTCTGCTCGATGGGTGACGAGGGTGACCTGAGACGAGGCTGCTTAGCTGGGATGGGAACTGACTGGTGAGGCTTAATCGTCGGACAAGGGGTTAAATCTGATGAAGGGAGGCGACCTTTATGCTCTGGAGGATTTTTCTTTACACACTTCAGTCATATTTTGACTAAAAATTCGTTAGAGGTGGCTAAGCATTTTTTTTTATTTTTTCCTGTTCTTATTGACTGCATACTTCTTTATTTTTTAATATCATCTAATACTTTTTGCTTCATCTTGCTTTTAGCCTACCTCTCTCTACTTGTGTCTGCCATATTTTCTTTATTATGAGAATATCCTTCATCAATTCTATATATTACATTCTTCCAATGACTGTCTTATATATTTGTATATTTTCATGTCTTCATGACATTTCCCCTAATTTATCTCCCATTTTTATGCCAATTTTTTGAATTAATCATGTCTCTCACTATATTTGTCTCTCATATTTTCTTCCTTATAGGAATGCCATTTTTCAAATTTCTATAAACTCTTCCATTGATTGTATTTCTGTAATTTTTTATATATATTTCTATACATTTTTGTGTCATCTTCTGAGATATATTTCATCATTTCTATGACCTGTATAGAATTATAGGATTTTCTAATTTATTTTCAAGCCAGTTTTTCGATGCATCATATCTCTATTTCACTATTTGTCTCTTTCATTCTGGGGGGTGCAAAGCTAGTTCGCCTCCACGTGGTGCACCCTGGGTAACGCTAAATGAACTAGCAGAGACTGGCAGTCAGACGATCTTAGGATCTCCTCTTCATAAGACATATTTCCAAAGTTTCCCTTTTCTTTCAGAGATATGATGCTATCAAACAAGACAAAGGGCCTTTCTCTACATTATTTTTCTTCTATATTGATTGCATTTCTAAATCTCTTCTTTTATGTGTATTACTTCTTATTTTACTGTAATTCTTCTAAGACTTCCAACTTCCAAGTCTTTGATTTCTTTGCTATTGATGCCTACATGGAATTGTATAGTTTTCAATTGATTTTCTAATTGTTATTTCTTTCATTTTGTTTTTAATTCCTTTTAAAATTGATTTTATGAATGAGATATTGTACTGCTTTGGAACCAGGATTTTATGGGAGAGCGGCACTTCAAGTCAACCATCCTCTTCAAGATCTCATTAGGTTGATTAAATTCAACATTCAACAGATGGGGTCAGGATGAAATTCATCATTGAGAAGGAACTAAGTAATTTTAGGTAAGTATATATAATTAAATGTTTTTTTTTAAATCAAATATATTTAGTAACCACATTTTTTATTTTTTTAAGATATGTAGATATAAATTATGGTGGAATCGTAATACTATTTATTTCTTTTTTACAGATTTTGTTCAACAAATCGATGGATGTATACAGTTCCAGGGCAGTACATTTATCCTTCTCACGAATATTACAATTGACTTATAAGTATATCTAAAATTTTATTTCTTTTGGGTAAATATATTTTTACTGGTTTTTAATATTTTTCAGTGGATTTCATGATTTTCTAAATTTAATGAAGTAGGAAAAAATTCCATTGAGTCTCAGAGTTACATTTTTTATGGTTCCTTATTTTCTTAGACAAATTCAGAGCATTTATTTTAATTTGAGCCAATTTTTGGCTTTTGGCCACTTCTTATTATCTTTTAGGAGACTACTCCCATATTTTTTTAATAAGTCTTCTTTTATTTGTATTATTTTTCTTAATTTCCGGTCAATTCCTGGCGCATTCGCCATTTATTTAAAAATCCTGTCTCGTCTAACGATGTCACTTCTATCTTGCCTGTCATTTTTTCCAATGAATTTTCCTGAGTAACATCGACTCCAGAACATCATAACTAGCCTCCCCTAAGAGGAGGAGACCCGGGTCACCCCCTAACTCTGATGTTCGGGCATCGATGACCTGTGTAGCATGCAGAGGTACCCAAGGGAGTCACCACCCTCTGGTTTACGAGCTAGGTGTTCTAACGCTAGAGGCTTCGGCCGGATACGACCTGGCACCCAAGCTACGAGACTTCTTCGTGCACGTATCCCGTGACGTCTCGACAGTAGAGGGCGGGATATCGGACACATTGAAGATGATGAGGGGGTCCGCCTGTAGGGGTCCCAGGGTGGATGTCCGCTCGATGGGTGACGAGGATGACCCGAGACGAGGCTGCTTAGCTGGGATGGGAACTGACTGGTGAGGCTTAATCGTCGGACAAGGGTTAAATCTGATGAAGGGAGGCGAACTTATATGCTCTGGAGGATTTTTCTTTATGTGTTTGATGTCAAAGTTTGAGTGGATATTCGTTAGAGGAAGTTAAGCATAATCTTTGGTGAATTTTCCATTTCTTATTGACCACATACTACTTTATTTTTTTTCACTTGCTTTTGGCCTACTTCTATTTCACTATTTTCGTATACCATATTTTCTTCATTATTGGAATATCATCATTCATCAATTCTATAAACTCTTTCAGTGATTGACTTATTTGTATATTTTTTGTCATTCCTCTGATACTTTTCTATGATATATTTTATCATTTCTATATTATATAGAATTATAGCATTTTATTCATTTTCATACTATTTTTTTCAATTCATCATACCCTATACAGAGTATACTTAATTAAAATTTTCTTAAATGTAATTTATTATATCTCTGCTATATTGATTGTATTTCTAAATCTTCTCTTTTATTATGTTATTGTTTATTTTACTGGTTAATTTCATTTCTATTGATGCCTACATAGGATGGTATAGTTTTGGATTCGTTTTCTAATTGATTTTCTTCTCATTCCCTTTCTAATTCCTTTTAAAACTGAATTTTTGATTGCGAAATTGTACTGCTTTGGAACGAGGATCTTTGGACAAGGAGAGCTTCACTTCAATTCAACCACCCTATTCAAGATGCTTTAGATGGTTAAATTGAACATTCTACATTGGATTTAAAATTAAATTCATCATTTAAGAGGAAGCTAAATACTAAAACGTGTTTTTTTAAACACATATGTTTAATAAATACCTATTGTTATTGTGTTTTGTAAAATATGTAGATATAAGGATTAATTTTAAATAAAATATTTTAGCGCCACAATTTATATTAATATAGGCAATTGTAAATACACTTGACGTGTATATAGAGTTGCCTATATAAAAGGTGTGAATATTTTAATTAAGTTTTAACACCTTTTTAATTGTTATAATTAGAATATTTCTTAATTGCAAATTTTACTAACTTAACCGTGTTTTTTTCTTGTATTACTATTGAGAATGATTTTATTCTCTATGTTTTACCCTTGATTATAATAACATTGTTAATAAAAGTAGTAATATGTTATTAAATAAAACTGTGATCAATGATAACAAAAATATATTTTACCTGTAAATATTTTTTAGTTAATAAGTTATATTTCATTAATAAATGTCAATACCATTCTTTATTGTGTATAATTAGAATAGAATATAAATAAAGGCATCATATAGCTATTATTCGTTAGACCAAATATATAGCATTTATTTACCCTGCCACTTAATGGTAACATTTTGAATATATGTATAAACATTCAAAATGAATGTCCTATTTGAATATTTTTAATAAATATTTTAATATATTAAACGTACATGTGTTTTATTTACAGCAAGATTCCATTACGATAACAATTAAAAGAAATATAAAAACTCTTAGAGCTCTTATTAAATATAACAAGAAGAAATAAAATAGCAACCTGAAATATATAAATTGCAAACCAAAAATATAATGGCAATATCAAATACTTTATATGTTAAGAACGATTCTGAAAAATGTACCTCATTTCTGTTCAAAATGAAATTTTTAATGACAAAAATGCACAAGATTTGGTTGCCCCGTGCGAAATTTTTCAACACCTCAAACAAATTTTTAACACTAGAGAGAAATGCTGAATTTTGTTGACTCTAACACTTTGACCTCGTTTTCAAAATTAAAACGCTAATAACTCCGTAATTAAAAAAGATATCGGAGCGCGCTTGGCGCCATTCGATAGGGAATTCAACCCTCTATCTGTACGCAAAATTACAACCCCCTAGGACACCCTTTATTTTTTGGGCCAAAAATTTTCTAAGGTTAACCCCTTTGCTCATTTTTGCTCCAAAAAATAAAGTTTGTCCTAGGGGGTTGTAATTTTGTGTACAGATAGAGGGTTGAATTCCCTATCGAATGGCGCCAAGCGCACCCCGATATCTTAATTAGTTTCTGAGTAATTAACGTTTTTGTAAACGAGTCTAACTGTTTGAGCTCGTTGGCCAACGATCTCCTATTTAATTTCCAAGAGAAAAATATTTTTAAAAATGGTCATTTTTGGTGCTAGATGTGGCTCTTTGAGACAAAAGAAATAAAATCTTTATAGAATAACGCATGGTTCTAGACTATGGCAGGGTTTATATGTTATTAAATTAATGTACTAATATTAAAGGCAACTAGATTAATAATATTTGTTGAATATATTTTTAAGCATTTTGATTTTTGTTTGTTTTGGCAACCAATATTTAATGTTACTGTTGCGATGCCTTAAGTTTAAAGATTATTCAAAGGATTCAAAGGAAACTATTTGAAACATTTATTAAAATTTATTAGAAAAAGAATAGCTTATAAATACCTACAATTAACACAATTAATATTGTTAAACATATTATTCCATGATACAAAAAAAAACATGATATTATACATCCCATATAGCATAACCCCTTGGATTGCTCGTTGATTCTTCTATAGATTTTCTCTCTGATGTATACCGGATGTTCGTATTTCCAGTATCATGCAAATATTTCTGAAAAAAAAAGAAAGTATTTATACAGGGTGATACAGTGTTGCGAAAGAGCGCTCCGTATCATGTCCTTGTTTGATATTTTCACTGCTCAAATATTTTTTACGACATATAAAAACGATGGTAACGTAACTTTTTAATTATTAATATATAATTTTCATATGCATGTTTACAGAATCAAATATATGTTTACATTGAAGTCACTCAAACAACAATGCAAAAAAATTACCTTATGCACTGCATCTCTTCATAACAATAATACATTTCTAACAGTGTAGAACCACCATTAAGATTTAAATTATCTATATATCAAAGAAAAAAGCATGTTCGGGAGGTACAGCATAGAGTCCATGGATTTGAATGTTCGAGAGTATAATTTCCTATTTGGAGGAATGATTTGAAAGCAACAATTAGAAGCAGAAACCATCTCAAGGATTCCAATCTTGTTACCCCAGCTTTATTCTTTATTGGCACACACTTTCATTGAAAAGCAGAGTACAATCGGTGAGGTTTTCTTATGAATCTCTACGCACATCTTATGAATTTCTACGCACACATCTTCCCCAAAGAAAATCTCTTTCTTTCCATTTTTCTTGGTTTATCCTCCTTTCTTATCTTCATAAGAAGCTCGTATCATGTATTATTACATATCTGTACCTGTAATAAAAAAAGTTTCGTCAACATACTCATTCATTGCCTTCACAGATTTCACTTAAAAATACGAATGGTAGATAAATAATATTAAAAATTAGTTATAAAGTAGATTATATAGATCGTACATTTTAATTTAACCAGTAGATTTGTTATTAAACTGAAAATAAACTCATTTTATTTTACTTTTAGATAGCAGATACAAAAAAAGATTTTTTTTCTAGAGTTAAAATCAAAATTAGTATAAAATTTTATTCATAGATGACTCTCACTTAAAACTTTTTGGGAACTAAAAATTATAGATTTCTTTAAAATTCTAAGAAAATTTTAACCGAGGTTCAACTATTTGACGATAGATAGCACTAGTTGTTTTCTTTTTTATATAAATCTATAAATGACTAGTTAAAATATTCAAACCATGAAGGCGCCACCCGTGCATACTAAAGCAGAAACCTATATTTGTTTACTTTTAGAACTTTCCGTATGGTGACGCCACAATCGTTTAGACGTTAGTTCCAAAAATTCTCACTGAAAAAGAATGGCGCTGTAGTCAATTAAACGCGCCAAACGAAAAATTTGAATAAACGGAACGTTTTTTAGTAAGTAAATGTATGATTTTCTTGTTATTTCTTCGCTGGTATACATCGATAGTACCATAAAATACCAAACTTACCAATTGTAGAAGTTGCTTAATGCTTTTTTTCTAAGATTCATAGTTAATAAGCCAAGTCCAAAGAATAATTAATTCAGTATATAAGTAAAATTTTCTAAATAGTATATTACCTCATTTCTTCTAATATTTATTATAATATATTATAATTAATGTATAATTTTGTCCCTTCGTTTTCTCTGTACTCTGTATTTTACTACAGTCGATAATTTTTGGACTGTGCCAATTGGTTACTAATCGACCAGATACTTTTTATCTATTAGATATGCTATAAAAGCTGGTAATTATACAGTTTGACCATTGTAAATACCCGACAAATTTCGCAAGGCCGACGAGGCCGATGTTTTTCACTGATAAGAAAAGAATGTTTTTTTTAGATATTTTTTCTTCCTGAATGCATATTTTAGGATATTTTATATTCTTTGTCCGTTTGGTCTGTTATACTAATCGCAAGTATCAAAGTTCTGTTTGTTCTAGTTTTAAAAAGCGTTCTTATTTCTTTATAGTTGTAGTGTAAAATTAGATTGATTTATTAAGTTTTTATTTAGTGTAGAATACCAGAAGTAGTTTAGTAGTGTTTTTATAACAGTTTATTTTGTAGTTAAGTATAATATGTGAAGGGATAATTTGGTTATTTTTCCTTTTTGTTTGATTATTTAATAAGTTTGATAATTTGTTTAGTGTAGAATACCAGAAGTAATTGTGTAGTGTTTTTATACGAGATTATATTCGTTTATTTTGTAGTTAAGTAGTAGGTGAAGGTATTTAGTTTTTTTTCTTTCAATATTTTTTTTAAATAATAAAATAAACTTACTTATAATCGGATTATGGAAAACCAATGTTCAGAATGATGGTTTAATATCAGAATTGTAAAAGGGGTCCAAAAAAGTCTTCTGGGCTGGGTATTTCGCCACTTGTACTGTAACAAAATCTACAAAATAAAATAGTTATTTTTTGTAAACGCCGCTGCGTTAATCCAACGGAGACCAACTTGTCAGCGGTATACTAATAAAACAAATTTGCCTAACTGGACAAAAAAATTCTTAACGTTTTAGGAGATATATCTCTCGTCATCGCAGGCAAAAAAAACACAAAGGACAAATATATATCACTAAATGATGCCAAAAAGTGCTCTAAAACCTTTATTTATTGTAATTTAAATTACTTTGAAGTTAAAATGTAGATATTGTATCGTGAAATAATTTAGTTTTAACAGTGTTAACATCCTTGGATTACAATAATGAATTAATTCAGCAAGCATAAATGTTTAAAACAGCCTTGTGGTCTTGTACTAGTCCCGCTAGTTTTTTTACTTCACACTACTTAAGACGGAGTTGATGTAGTTCTCTGTGTCTGTTATCACATCCAGCAAACCTGTAAAATTAAAAAGAAACCTTTAATAAAGAAACCTTAGTATTTTTTCGGAGATAATTTTTAAAACCAAAAAATTCTAAAAAATTACGGATTAAAAGTGGCACGAAAACGCTATGACCAATCAGAGCGCCGTCGGACTATCGTACGAACGGATAACGGACACACGAAAATCAAACTATACTCCACCCTTAAAAATATATGCACTTATTTAAAGCTCGGCCTGTATAAAAACTATGAAAAATACTTACCAGCCACATCACAAAATTCGCCAAAGGAAGTGCACGGCAACAGTTCATCTGTGTAATAGCTTAGAAGTTTCTCAGAATTCTTTATTAGCGATTCGTCATTATGACGAATATAATCCGCTAAATTATTGGGCCAGTGTTCCAGTTCGCCCTCTACATCCTATAAATAACAATAATAATTATAAAGTGGTAGATTTGCGTTCTTATGATATAGAAGAAATGGCGTTCGCAAGTTTAGGGCCAGGAACCTTTTATTTAAAAAATTGCCGACGTTTCGACCTGTATCTTCGTCTTTATCAAGGCTATTTTCAGCTAAAGGTTCTTTTGTCAGAAGTCGGGATAATATATTTGATTGCTTCTGATAATCTGATATTTCTATACTGAACAACTTTACCTTAAAGAAATATTTATATATTCCGTCAATCAAACCAAAGAAGACCAAGTATGGTTTGTAAACAGAATATTCTTTCACAGACGAGTCTGTCAGACCACTTCCAGTCCCACCAGGCTGAACATGGCGAGCTTGTGCAACTACCAGTAATCTAAATGAAGAAACATTTAATAAGTACTCGAATGTGGGACACACCCTATACATACCTAGACAAATGTACCAATCTTTCTTTTTCCCACTCTCCTTTACTTTTCAAGTACAAAGCCATGGTTGCCATGTATTGCGGACCTTCGGCTTGGAACGCCAAGTCAGCAGAAATATCGGTAGATGCGTAGAGTGATAGAGCAGCAAATTCTCTTGAGTATACCCTTGTTCTAAAATTATGATATAATTATAATTATTGTCAATAGTCAATTGAGTATACTTTGACTATACTATGTGTCACTTACGTGTTAATGACGTACAGACCAACGTGGATTAAATAAGGCACCATGTGCATGTTACTTTGAGGTCCTCCTCCACCAGTGTCCTCGTGGAAGGACTTCTCAAGAGCAAATCGTGATAATAGTAATTTTAAATCGTGTATCGTGGAACTGTGACCTATATCCCTGCAACAGAATATTACCTGCATTAAAATTCAAACAGATATGTGTGGAGGAACAAGTAAAAAAAGGATACATATTATTTTATACTGAATTGGTCATAATAAAACCATAGTCTGTACTTTAACACAAAGATTATCAGAGAAAACAACACAATCTGAAATCAGTTTTTGACTGATATGAATAGACATCATATATGCTGACTGAGTATGTGTGAATATGCATTAATGCTTGATTTTTCAATTAGGATATCTCAATCATTATCTTACACATTTAAAAGCAAAAAACGGATTTAGGATGGCCAAGCGTGTATATTTAAATAAGATATGAGTAAAATACTTAAATTTTAGAAATGTCTTACCGATGGTTAGTACTCTCCTGCAAGTAAGTGTTGTGCCTAGCTAAGCAACTAGCAAAAGCTGACTCTGGTACTTGGGGACCCCAGAGCGGTAACAGTCCGTTGCACTTTGTATTAGCGTTCTGAAGTGCAGCAGACTCCCATTCGTCGCGTGCTCGAGCTAATCGGACAGCTGACATGTGACAGTCAATATGTACCACATTGAAGTGTGTGACAGTAGAGTAACCTAAAATTGGAAAAGGAATGGTATATTAAAAAATCGTATATGTATCTGCCATACCATCTCATACTCTTGGTTAAAAGATTGTAATAAAAAATATATGCAGTAGTTTTGAAGAAATAATAAGTAAATAATAGTAAAGGTAATTTTGCATAAAGATCTTTAACCTAAATACAATAGTTTTCAAAATAGTTGTAGGTTAACATTTTCCCAATAATGCAACTCTGTACAGTCTGTCCAAAGAGATGATCCCTCACCAGTGACAGCTGTGTTTGTCATTTTAAATCACAGACAACTTGTATTTTCTGACATTATTTTGGATGATCTTTCAAAATCTTCCCTGACTCTTTAGACAGACAATATATTATCAAGGTCATTACGTACCAATAGTTTTGCGTTGTTTAGTTTCAAATTCCTCCACGTTACATCTTTTCGTAAACGTGTAAATCCCTAAGACTTTTGTAGGTTGATATTTGTAACCTTCCCGACAAATACAGCACACAAGACCAGATTCCTCTCCAAGCTCTTCAATTTGTTGCAAAATGGTAGATTTTGCTGTCACCTACAAATAGTACCATATTTACATAGCATGAACAAAACAGCCTGTATAATAAAATATACATACCTGTCCTTTATCGTTAGTTCTCATCCCGAGCTGCCCCAGTTGTTTTTCTCTCATGGCCATTGCTAGACGTTTCTTCTCTGATCGCGTAAACTCTCGAACCTATATAAAAATAAAAATCAAAAAACAAATCTTTAAAAATGTCTTGTACTCTTTTAATTACCTCTTCAATTTGCTTAGCCACTACAGGATTAGTACAAAGAGCTTCTAGTAAATTCTCCGCCAAAGAACCTACGTGTTCGTCAGAACTAACTTGCTCCAATCGGTGAATAATCGGTATAGTTTCCGCTTTTGCTATTTCTAACTGAGTGTTTTCGTGACTATACGCCAGTCCTGTCAAAAACCTGAAATTTTCATGTATTAAGACAAATTATTTAACTCAAAAATTACGTTTTAGTTATACCTTAGAATATATTTTAGTGCAGGTTTAGAAATAAAGTCTTTTAGTTCGTCACTGTCTGTTCTCAACAATGTAGGTTTGACGCACGGCGCGTGCATGGTTATATACTCTATAGCGTCCTTAACTATACCTAACGACAGCACATAATCCTTCAGAGTATTTCCTATGACGTTTTTTTCTATGCTGTTAGTTAGCATGCAGAACATTTCGAGTTTTTGTTGGTCTTCGACTGTATGTTCAAAGTCATACCTGTAAATAAAGAATTATATATATGTTTCCTATTTTTTAAATTGCTTTAGCATATCCTGTAGAGTAACTATGAATTATGGCTCAAGTCTGTCCAACGAGTTCGGGAAGATTTTCTCCACTCGTTGGACAAACTATATATCAATTTTACCTGTTAAATTCTAAAACGTTTTTGAAATGCCCAAGCAAAATCTCCATTTTCTCTTTGTTTCCATAAACCAAAGCCGCTAAAACTCTTGTTAAATGACTTAGAACTGACGCGTTGTTCTTTACCGCAGGATGAACCTAAATCAAATAAAAAAGTATTACACACTTTATCTTAAAATACGAAATAAATATATACCGTGAAAGTTAAAAGTGATTTAACGTATTCGGGTCCTCCAAAAGTTAGAGACAATTCTTCAAAAGTCTCCAGTGATTTACTGGTAGCTTGTGACATTAGCTTTTCCATAATGTCTAGTAGTTGTTCAGTTACCGCTGATTGACTATAAATAAATACATTGTTTGTTTGTAACTAGCATTTTTTTTCTTATGGCTTTAAAAATCTTACCTAGAATCTGTATCACCTTCAAGACATAATTGTAAAATTTTCAAAAACACTTCCATTGCTCTTAATTCCGGATCGATAAGAACTTTCTGACATTTATTGACTTTTATACTTAGTCTAAACAACTTTAGTAACACCTAAAAAAAATTAACAAAGCATACAGATAAATTCTTATGGAGTTAAAGAGATTCAAGGTCATACTTGTAATAAGGGTTTTGCTCTCCAAACGTTTTGTATGGCTCCCAAGCGCATTACCATAACCTTGAGACCGCCACAATCTGCCAAAACGTTGGCCATTTTATACACTTCCTCGTTATCTACGGCACTTTGTCCCTTATTGTCCAGAGTCTCGATAAATTCTTCGGTAGCGTCACCCAACAAACCTCTACACGAGAAAAATACTGTCATTATTGAATTGTTAATAAAACGAATCATTCTTAGACCTCATTCTATAAACTACGCGCATAGCATCGTGGTCACCTCCTTCAGCCAACCATATCTTCTTATAGACGTCCTTCACGGGTAAGTCTAGGCTCATAATTTTATTATTTACTAATAATTCCATTCCGTTGTCGTCCTCCAAGAGCGCGACTAGCTCACAATCTTGACAAATTTTGTTTTTAACGTCTCTCATTAACGGTCCCAGACCTGCTTCATTACTTGAGTATGGATTGCCAAGCATACGACCTATAATTAATAAAAAATGGACATATATAAGCAAATATATTCAAAAAAAATATACAAAAAATCGTAACGCACTGATTATTTTTAGCGCCCAACGTGGGACTCAAATCCACAATTCTGAAATTAAGTATCTCGTGCTCTAAGTAATCACAGACAGTGCATTATTTATTGTCTTCTAGTATGAAAGTAATAATATTAAAACATAAAAATGGGAAAGTCTTATTGTCTAACAGTTTGTGGAATTTAGTTGAGGACTGTCGTTTATTAAAGGTACAGTTTAACCTTGAATCTTCATCTCCCGTAAAATGGATTGTATATAAAATTCAAAATGCAATGTTAATGATATCGATTATCTCCAAAAAAACAATAACGATTGGAAATAAAGGCGTAACAAAAAACATTACACAATCATTTTTGGCGCCCAACGTGGGACTCGAATCCACGACACTGGGATTAAGAGTCTCATGCTCTAAGTAATTACAGACAGTGCATTATTTAACGTCTTCTCCTACTCCGGGGGTAGTAACATTAAGACATAAAAATGAAAAGTTTCTTTGTCTAACACTTTGTGGTATTTAACTGAGCACTATCTCTATCTTTATTAAAGGTACAGTAAAACCTCCCGTGAAATACTGTAAATAAAATTCAAAAGCAATGTTAATAACAAATATTGGAAATAAAGGTGCTAAAAAAGCAATTTTTACCTTGTAAAAAGTCCTCTTGTTGGGGATCTTTTTCCAAAGTCAAAAAGAATTCGCCCACGTCGTTTTCCTCCGGGTAAATAATCGAACACAGCCGTTCGAAAATAAAGACAGGTGTTAGAATATCCTGAAGGCTGTATCTCTCCACCGTTTTGATACACACAGACATAAAGGCTTTTGTCTCTTCTTCGGTGCCTTTAAAATAAAAATTATATATAATTATTGAGATTATTTCATATTAAAAAATAACATTTTTGTACCTGTTGTCATTTCTTCAAGCAGTTCCAACAGTTTCTCTTGAGTCTCATCTATAAGTCTAGTTCTTTGAACCACCAATCTTCTTAGAGACAAGTACCCATTAAGTACGGCCCCTTAAAAATATGAAATAAAATATTAAAAAATTATATTAGTAATTATGGTAAGACTTAAAACATTTTCTTTACAATTTTCTGATTCAACGTACCCACTAGTCTGGACTTGTACTGCCCCCTTATAGAACTGTCATCTAAAAATCCGGCCAACAATTCTGTTAGCTGGTTAAGAGCATAACCTTGGGCTAAATCTGACGTTAATGTGGTTGCCTCCAAGCGATGTAATTGCTCGATTTCGCGAGTCATAAGATTGGCCAGCACTAATGGAAGTCCTTTTATAGTTAAGTATTGTTTCCACGGAGTTTCCTGGAAAATATATATTGTAAAAAATACCTTATGGTCAAATCCAAACCATGTCACAATCATCAGACGTTCTAAATGCTTAAGCTTCATTCAGAACCTCGCAATTAGCGAAGAAGTTTGTTCCTTTAATTTCAATGTAAGCATTCAGAACGTCAAAATTAGTGGTAAACATTTTAAATTAGTAGAAAAAGTTACCAAACTTTTAACTTTTCCACTAATTATACTTCAAAATTTGCGAGAAATGTCATTTTGACCTTTGATTACCTTCCGCCAAGAAAAAATTGTGGATAGAAATCAAAAGTTGATTAGGATTGTTTTATAAGCTAAATATTAGGCTTTCTCTATGGATACAACTAACGCAAGCTGTTGCTAGATATTCTATTAATTTTAATTGTGTTTTTTAAATATTGTTAACGATCTTAAACTAAAAAGTATAATGTGTAATTTAAATCACTAATTTATTCCACTAATTGCGAGGTTTCTGAATGAAGTTTTACATTGATATTAGAGGAACATCTAGGAACTTCTAGTCTAATTGAAACCACTAATTTATTCTACTAAGTTCGAGGTTCTGAATGAAGCTTAAGATATAATATAGCCTGTCCAACTAACTAAGGAAGAATTCAACAGACAACATCCAAAACATGACAGAAAATACAATTCGCCTAGGAGAGCTAATTAAAGTGACAGACACAACTGACACTGTCATGGATCTTCCCGTTGGACAGACTATACAGAAGCATAAACTTACCTGTATCAAACTTTGATATAGATTTAAAAATTCGGCTGACGATTCCCCGGCGTCGCTTAACTTAGACAAAAAGCAAGTGAGAAGAGTGATAATTTCCCTCTTATGTTCGTACGTAGTGCACATCGCTTCGACAATACTACAAGCCACCGCCTCGCTTGCCTGGAACTGGAATTAAACAGAACCGTTTCCAGCCAAGAGGTGGCGCTTAACGCCAATCTACTCGTTTTCCCACTCTCTTAACGTATCTTCTCCATTTCCTCACGTACTTTTCGGCTAAATATAAATTACGAACTTCCTGCTTGGTGCTAGCCAACGAGGAACTCGTCTCGGTACGACGTAACAACCGACCTTTCCAACCTAAAATTCAATAACTGTCAGCAAAAGGTATTTTAATAGTTTATCTCTTCAAAACCTGTAAATGAATGTGACGAATCTTTATTTAAAAATTTTCGTACATCCACTGGCGCCTCGGAAGGAGCTAGCTTGTTTAATCCAGTATTTCTAGAAGTGTTCGATTTTTCTTTAGATTTTTTACTAGTACTGGTACTTCCAGAACTGCTAGCTGGTTCGGAAATTTTCATCAAACTTTGTATGATCTTTAAGCAAGGCAGAATGACGCTTTCCATTACAATAGGACTCTTTGAATCTTCGCAAGCTTTCAAAAATAATGACATCATACAGCTAAGTTTTAGTTCCCAACACTCGTCTTCTTTCTGGACCATCGCAGCTAGTAAGGCTATTTCATGCCGAATGTTAGCTCCTAAATACAAAATATTTAAAAAATAACCTTAAGTGGCGTTATATATTTCTAACTTACCTAAGTCAGTACTGTTCAAATTACCGCTTAAGCTGTTTGTAATCCTCCTCATCAACAAGTTACACAAATCTTCTGTTGCTTCTGGATTATCTCTGGTTAATGTACAAAGGAGTAGTCGTACATCTTCTTGGTTGCTTATATTACCTTTTCTAAGGTTGTTCCATACCAATTCCTAAATGATTTTTAAATTAAAGAAATATACTTTATTTATATAACGGTATCATACCTGTACCAAACCATAGGAGCATAAAGTTTGCCTAGTGGTCTTATTAAGAGCTAAAGCTCTTAAAAGTGTTAAACAATGTTCAGTTGCTGCTGTGGCACAACCATAACATTTATTGACAATGCATGGAGTTTTATAAGTGATCTAAAGATGCAAAATAGTAAAAATGTTTGTTACATCAGAAAAAACTATTTATATTACCTGTAAATCATCGAAAATCGACAAACTCTCTGACAAATCAGTGTCGTGATGTTTTCTTTCGTATGTAACTAGCTCTTTTCTAGAAGCCAACACCTGAAGACAATATTATTTTGAATAAAGTATCCAATTTAATTTTATCCTAGATCATATAAGCATATACAGTGGATATACCTATTTCCCAAATAAACACAAGTATTGTGCGATGAATCCACGTGAGTATATTTTTTTATGACCTAGTAATTTTATATTTTATTTAAAATGAAATAATATAAATAAATTTACCTTCTGAATAATTTTACTTAGTTCTTCAAAGGAGGTTTTACACTCTGTGCAGTACTGTTGCGCCAGCATTTGAATGGTTTTGTTTACTTTTACTTGCGCCATCTGGACGGAACTAACAGAATTCTGAGTGTTGTTGTTGCTCGATGTCTGATCCTCAGGTTTCCTATCGTTTCGATGTTCCGTTATTTTTAAAACTAGCGATTCCAATGTAGGTTTATTAGCTATTAGTTGTTTGTAAATTCTGTCGGCTTTCTCCAACAACGAGTTGATATTCGATACCATTTTCTTCCGATCTTCGTCGCTCTATAACGTGGTAAAATAGTAAAATTCAATAAATACAGGAAAGATTCGTTTTACGCGGTTTAACTTATACGTGTTTGTACCTTTGACACAAGTGAGACTTATTTTAAGTATACATAAAAAAATGGACACCATAATTGGACACCGATATTCGTATAACTCGATTTCAGATATCCAGAAACGTATCTAAGGATTTTATGTAGTTATCTTTCAGAAAAAAAAATAGAAATAAGCGTCTTTCGATCGTGATTTTACTCCACTAGACAGGAAAACGCGCACCTGTTTTTCTTCGATTTAATCAGATCCCCAAGCGATTCACATTCACACATGTAAATACCGACCCAAGATTAAGACTTGCCAACTCGGTATAGTTCCCAAGTGTTTTGCATATGTTTCGAAACATAAATCGCTTTTTGTTTCGAAACATTTTACCAAAATATGGTTTCGCCTACATAAGCTTAGTGTCACAAATTTTTCGAAACTTTTAAGAAACAGATGTGGCTCACATATAAAGATTTTGTACCCGTTTTGTACCTGAAAAGTTTCCATAATTCATTTGATATTCTGTCAAATATGAGAATATAATCTTACTTTAATTGTTTGGATTTTGTTCTGCTATTTTTATAGTACTATAATTAAAAAGTAGAAGGACATATTATAGTGAGTACAAATACAGATATTTTTCTTATGCGATTTTGTAATAATTTATTATACGCATTACAGAGATGATTTGTTTTAGGAATAAATGCAATAACAGCCATTACCCATACCCAACAGGAGACTGAAAAAAAATGTTACCTGCAAACGTTTTTTTCTCTTTTTTCCACAATGGAAAAAAATGTTTTAATTATTTTAACCAGAAATTTTGATCGGCGTTGTTGACAGGTGACTAGTTCGAAATTTCTACACAGATAGCAGTTTCAAAACACGAGTTTCTGTCTTTTTAGACACAAATATGATATAATGTAGATGATTTGTGTCCGACTCCATGCCAATTTTTCAAAATTCCGCCTTGTTGGCTAGTTATAGCGTTTTAACTAAAAATATATGTTTTTTATCGGCTGTTGGGCTTTTAAACTCATAAGGACGCGTTCTATTTACATTAATTTATATATTTTTATTTTCAGAATTAAAATAAAAATCTATATTTGAACAAAAATAGTTTGTAGCAACAAATAATGATATATAGAAGGGGCATTAAAAATATAAAAGTACATTATTAAATTAAACGACGAATTTCATTTGCCAGACATTTTTTGTGCGAGAAATCCTAAAAAAGAGATCTTAAGACAAAAAAAATATGGCGGAGGTCGACATTGTTGATGGTTAACAGTGGCTGCTGAAAACGGGAACATCTTGGAAACAAATTGCAGAAAATGTTTCGAAACACTTCATCTAAAAGCTTTGATTCAGCATCAAAACATTTCAGGAAACGGCTAGTGCCACCACATTGGAAACACATATAATAAAGCCATATAAAATAGGTTTTGAAAATGTCTCCTATTTGTGGCATACCGTTTCCATTTTGTGTCAAGAAACAGAGACATAATTATTAGAAACATTACCTAAAATGTATCCAAAAATGCTACTTGGGTTTATGTAACAGAAAGGTATTTTCATAGGACGTAACACCCGCGTAAAACGAGGTATTTTGGTACATTTTGAACAAGACAAAGGCGTAGGAATTACTTACTTCGATAGGCTCGACTGCGCAGCAAGGTTTGGCGTGCAACGAAAAGTCAAACTTGGCATACTTGCAGAAGCCACAAGCGTGGCACAAGAACGGGTCCCTCTCGTCATAGTTTATGGCCCTGCATTTATGGCATTGAAAAACGTTTTCGCCGCAATTCGCGCACACCCCTGGATTAGCGGGCACCGAGGCGCTACATCTAGGACACTGCAGTGTTTCGCTACTAGCCTAACAATAAATAAATAAATTTTAGATAATCCTTAACAGTCTATTATAGGTATATTACTTGTATATTTTCATAGAAATCGGCATATTCCACCATAAGATTACACGCAACAATCGGCAACGGAAACTCGATTTTTACCTCTGTCTGGCCCGATTGCAAAACCACTTTTTTAGCTTTATGCCACAGAGCAGGCTTGTTCTTTATTTCGACCACTGCCTGCACTGATCTATTGTTATAGTAGATATTTATGGTGCGCACCATTTTAGTTTTCTTCAAGTCACCAATTCTTACTGTAATTTTGCTGATAATATGACTGCTTAACAGCTTTACAATTTGAGTTGTCGTAGTAAATTTAGAATCAACCTTAATTGAAGATAGTTTGATAGTCGTAAATGGTACCTGGAAAAAATATTGTTAATTTTATTTTTTTTCTATTTTACTTATACAAAACAGTATACCTCTGGATTATTGCAAACCAGGCATGGTTCAGATTCTAAGTAGTAACCGTCTAAATCGACAAACTGGGACATATGAGCGTAGAGATTGGCATTTGGGTGGTAAGCAAGCATTTCGTTTTGGGCTCTTAGTACTGAAACAGCCTTTTGAACGTACTCGTCGATTTTAACTTCTCCTTCCTTTTTCTCGGTGTATTTTAACGAAAAATAGCCTAAAATAATATACTGAACATATAATATACAGAACGTCAACCGTTTCTGTAGACGTATCTGTTTTAAAAAACTAAAGGGTTCTCGAATAGTTATATATATATAAATTTATACAAACTTTTTTACTTATTTTTATCTGCAGAATATGCTGTCGAAGTTTCCCGAATACCGCAAAAGACTAATAAAATTTAAATTCCTTTTTTTTTTCAAGAAGGGGCATTATATTTGGGGATTCGCGTGCACAGGTACACTTATTTTGGTTACATTGTATTTACTTACCCAACAGATCTACAAACTGCGCAGCTTTTTTACCGTAGGCTGGCAGCAAGGGCCACAATTGCCACAACAGTTCCAGCAAAGATTCCTGCTCTTTAGGTTTGGAATTCTTGTAAATCGCCAATATTAATCCGTGAGCTTGCCAACGGACTGCAGTAGTATTATTCTCCAGAGTAAACGTTTTAATAAATCTAGCTAGAATCTCTCTAGATATCTGCTTATTGATTTGCTCTACCAAAGCTACACAGTTCGATTCTTCAAAGAAGGCTTCCACTGCGGAATCGTCTGATTTTTCTCTATCCTTTCGACTTGTCTAAAAATAATAATTAGTTTAAACTCGCTATTCAATAAAGTTCAAAGAAAGCCATTAATCTTATTTGTTAATTTATTTATGACGCATGACTCTGGTCGACGAGTCATGGAAGACTCCAGATTTTGAGACGATATCCAAAAAAATGAACGAAACAACAGTCACTGACATGTCCACTCCCAATGGAAAGACTCTAGAAAGTTTTTCACAAAACTAAGCGGTTCTAATGTCAAGTTGCCGTATTTATTTACTGATATTTTGATTACACAGTTCAGATTTGTATTATGAGCTTTTGGTTTAAACGAATTGTGTTGTAATATTTTGAGTTTAAATTTTGTACTAGCAGACCTTGCAGTCGAAAATTGTTCTTTTCATAAAATATTGTAGTGCGAAGTGTACAAGATGTCGAAGCAGCTTAACAGCCGTTGCAAAAAACTTATCGCGTCTTTATTAAAATATTTTGAACGGGAACGCGGTAATAATGGCCCTTTATGTCCCTTAACTATTGTTAAGGAGGCGAGTTTCGTTGATGTAAATAATATCTGTTTATAATTAATTCATTTTTGTTATCTAAAATATTTTGATTAAAAGGAAATATGTAAAAGTCGGCAACGCTGTGCCGGTCAAGTTTATTTGGTATGATCTCTACCTAAGTTTAGTAGTTTATGAAATAACTTCAATTTTATTTTGCCAAATATATATATTTTTTCTACTTACCTTACTGCTACTCTCGCCTTTCTTAGTTTGTGGATTCGAATTAACTACTAGAGCACTAGTTAGGAGTTGCAAAATAGTAGGAGCTACGCCCTCGTCCAACAAGAAACTGACTCTTAATAAAAACGGCAAAATTTCTTCGGTGTGCAGACAATATCTTTGCCAGTTTCCAGTTCTAAACAGAGCGATATCTAGACAAGCCTTTAAGTGTTCTACTAACTCTACAAGGCTGTCGTAAGGGAGGCTTAAGGCATGTTGCAGATCTGTATTGGACTGGTAGCCACCTTTAACGCAACACTGTCTCACTCCTGAAAATATTAAAAAAATTGTAATTTATTTTAGATCTTGTAACCTACGGTAATCGCAAAACATTTTCCGATGCACGTTATCAATCATATCGAAATTGACATTAAAGCCTATAAACCTTGCATAATTTAAGATACCGAGCAGCTCTTCATTTTACTTTATAGAGCAAATGATTGTAACAGATTAACAGATATTTTATTTAGATTAAAACTGTAAAAATTGGTTTAAAGCGATTTTTATTATTGCCATGTTGGTCACACTGCGCCGCAATCAGCAACGTTGTCGTTTATTATTTGACAATTATCATAATGTCAATCATTGTTTTGTATAATATCGTGTTGTTGAATCTTTCAGAGTAATTTTCGTTTTTTGCCGATTTTCATAATTTTTTTTTAAAAATTGTACTTTTAAGCACAAACAGTTCTTTTAAGTAAGAACTAAATTTTCGAGTTTTGGTATTGCATTTCTTGAAATTGTGTGTTTAAAATATGCCGAAGCATTTAAACAGTCGAAGCAAAGAGCTTGTAGTTTACCTAATAAACTATTTTGACTGCAGACAGAAAAGTAAGTTTGATTGGTAAGTATATTATATCACTTTCAAAGTTATTTCTACTTATTTTCGATTTGTAGCGGGTAGCTGCTGCCTTAAATTTAAATACACACACCGGAAAAATCTAGGGATATCATTTTATTAAAGTTAAAAATAAATGTTTTGAATAAACAACCACATATTTGTAGGCCGATTCTTTCTACTTCGATTGAAACGAAGTAGTCACACTAGTTATTTCTAAATTTGGGATATTTGCAGAAGTGTTTGTGCATTTTTTGTCAAATGTATAACAAGCACCTAGCATCAATTGTCTGAATTTAACCTGTACTGGCTATGTTTTTATGATAACTGACCAGAATTCATTCAAATAACTCTGTTTAGTATTAAACGACATTATGGAGCGTAGACATCTTAACAGAGACGAAATGCTAAGGGCCATGGGTATGCTCGAAGTTGGAATGCGCCAAATCGACGTAGCTAGAGCATTAAATACAACGCAAAGTGTAATATCGCGATTAAGTGCACGCTACCGTGAAAGTGGTGATGTTGCTGAAAGGCACACAGGGCGACATCGCATTACTATCTCTCAGCAAGATCATTTTTTTACAATTAAATGCTCGACGCCGACCGACTCTTACAGCACCAGAGCTTAGTTTAATTCTCCAGGAAACACATAATGTAACCGTTAGTCCTGACACTGTTCGCAATAGATTAAGATAGGTCAACTTAAGAAGCAGACGCACCTGGAGAGCTCAACCCTTAACGAGAGGAAATCGAGAGGTACGATATGTGTGGGCTCAAGATCTTGTTCAGTGGTCGAATGAACAATGGGCCAATGTTCTCTTCACGGATGAGTCACGCTTTGGAATTCATCCGGATTCGAGAAGGCTTAGGGTATGGAGAGAACCGGGAAATCTTAATCGGTTACATCATGTTCAGGAAGTGCACCCTTATCAAGATGGAACAGTTATGGTCTGGGGAGGAGTCCAGTTAGGCCGAAAAACCGATCTCGTTTTTCTTGAAAGGTTTCTAACAGGAATCACATATCGTGATTTAATTCTTGAGCCTGTCGTGTTACCATATGCCAATGATTTTGGGAGAAACTTCATTCTCATGCATGACAATGCACGGTCTCATACAGCCAGAGTGGTAAGTGAGTTTATCAATGCTCATCAATTGATGAGCATTGAACATCTTACCCTGGCCGGCACAATCTCCTGCCCTCAACCCCATCGAGCACGTATGGGACGCGGTCCAAAGAAGAATTTTGAGAATGGCTACGCCTCGTGAAACTCGTAGGGATCTGGTTCGGGCCGCGAATTCAGCGTGGCAGGCTATACCTCAAGAAGAGATCGACAACCTGATCAGGAGCATGGAGAGACGATGTAGGGCTGTAATGAACAGTAGAGGAGGCCATACCCTTTATTAAGTAAAAATGGTTTTATCTTTTTTTTTAATTCACAGTTTAGAATAAAAAAAAATGTGTGTATTTTTTGAGTTCAATAAAAATCAAGGTAAATTTGAAAAATTCGGTAAATTTCGCATTTTTATTGCCAATACGTCCTGTAACCTATTTGTTTATTTTAATTTTATTATATCAGAAATGCAAATAATAAAATTACTGGCGACGGCTGGATAAAATTGTAATATCCCTAGACTTTTCCGGTGTGTGTATTTCTACTGTGAGTTTTAGTGACTACTGTTTTTAAATAAATTAATTACTAAAATATTAATTATTAAATTAAAAATAAAACGAAAAAACCTTTAAAAAATGATATAATACAAATGTTGTTTTCCAGTTTTACATTAAGATTCATCTCATAAATCCATCACAATCTGGCAGCGCTGTCGCCATCGCTTGTCACTCAAAGTTAATCACATGTATCGGAAATTGTTTTGCGATTACTTTACGTGCATAGTAAATTCGCTTCATTGTGGTTGAAAACATATCAACGACATTTTATCATCTGACCGTACCTGTCTTTGATACTGTCTTGATAGATCGTCTGTCTTTCTATTGTGTATATGTCATTATTTGAGAAATAAATTAAAATTTTAGAAAAATCGTACTAATATGAACAAAAAATTATTGTTATGTTTGTTATTTATTGGATATATTTAGTGGGATGTTGAAAAGTCAAATGTCAAACATATTTCAATGTTGCAAAATCGTCGTAGCTGCGTTTGCAAGTATGTAATATTTTTAAACACGAATTAACATATGATTTTACTATGGTAAAAAATTTACAAACGTGACAAACGTTTTCTCCTGTGATGTTACAAAATTTAACAAAACATCGACAATGAAAGTCTATATTAGCATCACAAAATATTTTACATTACTAATATTTACATACCTTTAGTATGGGTGCTGAGAGCATGCAAATCTCTCAACTGTCTGTATTTCTCTTTATTTCCGCAAATATACAGCAGTAACTTTCGGGCGTTTCTTCTTGAAGGCGGCGGTAAAGATGTCATCATATATTCACACAAATATCTACAATACAACATATATATAATTATAGACAGTTCTTTAAGACCACCAAACAAATAGACGGAATTTTAAAAAACTAACCTATACCACTGGCCGTCAAATACTGCGCTCATACTATCGTTCACTTCCGACAGTCGTTGAACTTGCAGTGGAAGTCTTAATATGATTTCTGTGATGAGATGACGGTAGTTATTAAAAACGTCCGTAGAATTGTCTTTCAGGTGATTTTTCAAGAAGAATGGTGTCATATCGGGCAGGGGATAGTTCAAATGAGGTTTCAGTAGATTACCATTTGTGGCACCTTTAATAAACAAATTCACAAATATGTATTAATAAATACAGTAGTCAAGTTCGCGGCCTGTATTTTAACTGAGTAAGACAAAGATGTCTTATGTTATAACCAATTGATAGACAAACAAACGCACAGTTGTCGGTTATCACAGGCGATATGCATGATTTAGGAATAAGAGGCATAAAAATACAAACTGAATTAAGCTGAGCACATCAACAGAATATAAAATATTACGTGTGGTATTAAAAGCAGGGTTGGCATGATTTAAATCGTTATTTAAATCAAGTGATTTTCTTTTAATTTTAATCACATGTGATTTAAATAAAAAAAACTTTTATTGAAACTCTATAATAGATCAAAAAATAACTGTAAAAGTTATAAAACTGTGTCCTAGAAAACTAGAAAAAATATTTCTATAACAGATAGTAAATCAAAAAATAACTGTAAATGTTATAAAACTATATAAAAATATCTATTCATCAATTTAAAGCCCTAATGTTGGACGGATTTTTCAAGTAATTTCGTGTGAATCCATTAGACCGCTAAACGCAGGGATTTATTTTAAAATTTATGTATAAGTGACAAAAACTCGCTGTTCGAATACATATTATTCGCAAAGTCTAGTGCCAGAAATAGGTTCTTCTGATATAGAGACTATATCTTCATTCCCGAGAATCTATATCGTTGTCAGAAAACGAAATGTTTCATTTTTTTTTTGAAACGCTTGTTTCCAAATTCCTACCGACATTTTGATCTGCAGCAAGCATTTTACACTTTGACATTAGATAATACATACTAATTTCATTCTCGACTTAAGACTATTTCCGAACAATAGTGTAGGGTTTTATTAGGAATAAAAATTATACTTTTTCTGTACCTTTGAAGGACCATCTTAAAGTTATTCCGACGTTACAGGGAACACAAAAAGTACATTTTTACTCCGAATAGAACATACTATAATATTATATTTCTTTTAAAACATTACAAATAATTTTTTAATCAATTTCAAACATTGCAGATAATATGAACAGTAATCGAGCAACAATTTGTACATTCGTTGAATTTGACACTTAATATTAGTTTAATAATATATTTTTGTACCTTTTTCTTAGGTGTAACAGTGCTTTACTTTTATGCCTAGGCGTTAAAATGACAAAAGTTAATATCTTTGAGATGTTTGAAAAAAAAATCCTTTTGATCTGAAGCGAGCGACTTTTTTTGCGGAATATATTGGTGACCGATGTGGAAAAATGACACAGGCCGTAGAATTGTTAATGTTATCGGTATCAGGCAGAGTTATAAAGATTTAGCCATTTAGGATAGGACTTTAATAATTGGAAAAAAGTCCTAGTCATTTGTAAATCCGATTTAAATATTGTTTTGAATTAAAATCAAAAAAATCTGATTTTTTTGATTTTTTTTAAATCATGATTTTTTCCAACCCTGATTAAAAGTGTAAAGAAATTACTTAAATTTTTGATATTTAACGGTCAAACCCGTACCAAATTAATAATCAAAAAAACTTTCGTGATCGATATTAAATATTTTAATCAAAAACCCATTCTCTATCTCTTCTTTGGCACTTTTAAATTTCCATTAAGGTATCTCCATAATCTTACACGTTAAAATCTAGACCAAGGATTTAAAATGATCAGGGCTGTATACATACCTGTACTACTCTCTTCTTCAGTCTGATTTTTCCAATAATCATTGTAGAGAGTCTGGCAAATCTTCAAACAGTAATTTATAATTCCGACTTTGTGAAGATAAGTTGCCGCAGTTCTAGCGACATAATTAGTACTATCTGCGGCACTACTTGATTTGGACGTGGAAGATGTTTTATGTCTTTGAAGTAAATTGGCTAAAAATTATTACATTGCTAAGATAGGTCCCTTAAAAGTATCTGTGAGGATGACGTATCTAATCTAGACTCGCCGAACAGGCTGAACGTCATCTCTCAATAAGAATCCAAAACAGCAATACTTACAAATTAACTTCAAAAGAAGGAGGTGAACCTCGCCAGTTTTACTTCTAGTGCAAATACTCTGTATATTTTCTCCGTTGAATTGTAATTCTTCAGTTATAACAAGCAATAACGAATTTAAACAAGTCCTGTCTCGCTCGCAGGCACCATCCAGATCACCGGTAAGTTGAGAAATTACCTAAAAAAATATTTTCCATTTTAGTGTATTTACTTTGAATAAAAATATTAAGAAAGGAGCATATCAAAAATCTTAGATCGACCGCGACGGTGTCCTAAAATGGCCGACTTAAATTTCAGTTTACCAGTGCCGTTCTAATTTTATTCAAAACGTGTAAAAATATGATGTAGGGTAGACTAAATAGTTTGTTGTTTTATTTTACTTTGTAATAAATGTTGGTAGTTATTAAAATTGTTATAAAAATGTACAATTCTAATAAAAATAACTAAGTTATATTAATTATTTATTAACACAAACATCCGATACGCTACTGAAGCAGGTAAGTCAAATTGACGTTTCTAAATACTTTGACATCTTCTACATCTAATCTTTGACAAGTAGTAAATAAAATCAAACATGCAAGAAAAAAGATATAATTAGTTAGGAATTTCATAAATGATAGATTTACTACACGTATGTATATTATATAGTCACTTATTAGCGAAAAGTTATTCCATTATTTCCCTCGATTTTTGACGTTTCGAGATCTACCGCAAACTACACAACCAACTATTTTACAGTCTTTTTCGATAAATCGCAATAGTGTCACTGTTGATTTAAGTTCTTCTACAATTTCTTTCTAGATTTACTACCTTGAAACAACTATCAGTAGTAGAATAAATAATAAATAACATAAAATAAGCCCAGTAAAGACTGACAAATCCATAAAATTTCAAATCAAATTCAAATGTGTCAAATGAATCGTCAAACAGAACTGTCAAGGATCCCCTCCCTAGGGCCCTTTGTTCGTCTACCTTGCATGAATACATAGATAGCTTTATACACTTCCTTAATTTCTTATTGAAAGTGTATTTACAACAGAAAATAGATATAGCTTACTTGAAGTAAAGGTATTGTTCTGACACCTTCAACATTTTTCAGTTTAGGTAAATATTCGATAACTTTTTCCAACAACTGTAGTCTGAGACAGTGTAATTTTGCAGTGTTTTCGGTTTCGCATTCTAAGTCTTCTTGTACTTGAGCCAAAGTATCGCTTCCTTGAGATGGTCGCTGTATGATTCCTAAAATTTTAATTGCGGAAAATATTTTAGAATTCTTTAAACGAAGATTATTTTTGAAAATTTACCCTGTGCAGAAACAATACCAGAACTACTCTCGGTAGTTTTGACAGCAGCTCCGTCATCGCCGTAGGCTGATGATCTACCAGACACATTATGTTCACCTAAAAAAAATATTTTTGAGCATAGATAACCTTGAAAAAGTAATAAATTAAAAAAAATATATTTTTTTACGTGTAATAAAAAGTTTTTTATACGTAAAAATAGATTTATGCGTGTAACAAAGACTTTTTTACGTGTAATAAATAGTTTTTAAAGCGTCAAAAATAGTTTTCTAGGCGTAAAAATAGTTTTTACGTGTAACAAATAGTTTTATACGCGTAAAATAAAAAATTAGAAACAATTAAAATTACAATATTTTTTATAAACACGTGAACTGTTCACAAATACACGTCGCGTCACTACGTATACTCTGTTTTTTTATTTCAGGTAAGATTTCGACAGACGATGGCAGAAAATCGTCCATTTATTTCACTAAAAGACAATCCATTTATTTCACTATTTTTCTAATATTTTTTAAGTTAACTATGGATGGGTTTATAAATAAATACGTCATGCGTCGTTTCTTGTTGTTTTTAACCAGTTTTATTGGTTTATTTAAAAAATGACAGATCATATTTCAATATTATTGGTTTGACGCAACGATGAACGACAAACGGACGCCTATGCGTATGAACTCGGCTTAAGATTTTTGAGAGTTGTCAAAATCTTGCCAAATTATAGGTTATAATTTTGTACCAAATTATGTCAAATAGAAATGATAAATATTTTGCATTTTGGACTGTGTTGTTACTTGTGTTTCGTGTTTTTTTAAAATTATGTGGAGGAACACACATAATTTTAAAAAATAAAACACACGAGGGAAAATTAAGTGTTGACCCAGACCATAGTTTACAGGTAATATTCGATGCACAGAGACCGCTAGAGACACAGTTTGCCAGAGACTATGGTCAGAGAGTTGTATTAGCCACAAATAAAGTTGTATATCATCTCGTATATGGTACCAAAAACTGGAGTATCTGTAAAATAACATCACACGCTAGGTAAACAATACATTTTAGTACTGCAGAAAAAAATTAAGATTAAAGTTAATTAACCAAGATTAGATTTTTTCAGTTTCATACAGTTTTTTTTCACAAAATTTTGAAGTAATCACTTGTCACTCAAAATTTATATATTATTAATTATGCGTTCCAATTGTACCAATTTATTTCTTTGTAAAATAAAATAAACTACTTTGAAATTAAAATGACAGACAAATCTATCTCTGTCAAGGACCTTGTCCTTGGAAAGACTATATTTCTAAGGCAGTCCTTACCACTTTTCGTCTTGCTAGCTTGTGTGTTACGGCCTTGAATTTTTATCCCCAGCGCGTAAAAAACTTTCACTTCAAAAAATTAAATACCTGTAATACTATCTACGCCACTGCCTCCGCTTTCTGAGCCAGCGCTTCCTCCTTGATCGGCGGGGGAAGTACGTAACGTGGAACCATCAGTAGCGGCCGTTGACCCTATTAAACATAAAAAAATTAAACTCTTCGATATTAAACATTAATAAATATTAAGCAACCTTCATCGTCCGAACCAGCTGCCGACGCTGTTGTGTCGCTAAAATTTGCCGATTCCTGCTGGGCCTGAGACGGCGCAACCGCCGCTTGGCCTTGTGTGACGTCTCTAAATTGAGCCTGCAAATTCTGCACTACCTGGTGTTGTTCGGCCGCTCCAGCGACGTTCATTTCGTGGTCCTGCAAAGAACAAATAAAGTAAAGTCAGTTCAACATATAACAAACATCCTTAAAAATGACCACAGTTGTATTTTGAGTTACTTTAGTTTGCAATTATACAATTTAAAATAGAATAAAGCACTGTGTCAAGTTTTCTTCTCCAGTTTGTTTCATTTTAATTAAGCAACATTAAAAAACTTTAACTCTCATTTTCTCCATAATTATCTTCTAGGACTTCATCCAGTTAATTTCTGAACCCCTCACTTGATACTCAAAGACAAAAAGACTGTCGAAGCTAATCCGGTGTTTAACCATAGTAAATTTTTGTTATTTTTAAGATAAAATTCAGTTGAAGTGATTAAAAAGTACGCCCTCAATACAAAAAGAAATACAACGAAGTTACAATTAAGGAATAAATAATAAATCAAATTCAATACAATTTTCACTGCTTTGAAATGACGCGTAGAAGATTGTGACGTCACCTATTAGCATTTGACTGAATAGTTGACAGAGGGCGCGAGCCTCTGAAGAATAATATTATGGCGTGTCTAGTTCTCTGCTACCGTATTTACACAATATATCTTAAAATCACGTTAGATTTTTCCATTTTTATTAAGATCGTTAAAAAATACGTTTTTATGTGGGATTATTCTTTATTACCCCAATATTAAATTTACTTTTATATTTTTTACTACTAGAAATTAAAACTTAAATTTTTATAATTAATAGGTTACTGCCATTTTTATCGAAGCACTAAACACTACCAAAGTTGTTCGGATGTTCGAGGCGTTCGAGGGTTCGAGGTTAGATTTGTATTTTGTGGATTTTGCGTTTGGCGTTAAATATTTTTGAGTTTTCAATTTTGTTTTATTGTGCCCTCTTTATTATTTTTGTAATGAAGGGTGTTAAAGTTTGTTTTGTGAAGGGCTGTCTAAATAACTCTGAAGGCTCTCCAGAAAACGTTTTTATAACTGTTCCTTTGGATGAAAGCCGTCGAAGAGCCTGGTTTGAAGAGGCAAGACAACAATATGTCAGCAAAAGTACGAGATTTTGCTGTGAAGATCATTTTAACGGAAGTTCCTTAAGTTTTATTTTACAATTAATTTTATATCTACTTTAAAATACATTTAGAAAAATGTTTTTTATGTACCTTTGTACCTGGTGGCAAACCGTGACACTTTTGATAGGTGACGTCAGAGATTGCAAAAGTGTACATTTGAAATTCTTAATATTGATTAATTTTTAAAAAAAAAGGATGAAATTGAAGTAAAATAAAAAAATACGGGTGTCATAAAATTGTATGAAGATTGATTATTTGCAATAAAAAAAAACTATGGTTAAACTTCGTTTCGAAGAAAAAACGTAAATAGCCGTAAATAATATTTAACCTACCTGCAAACTCAGAGCTATCGCCAACGCCACTATATCCTCATCCGCACCCGCGGGAATATCCAACAAGGGAGGAAACCCGACTCCTCCACCCAGCAAAGCTTCCAGAGGGTTGACACCGCCACCTCCCTGGTGCCTGCTCTGCTCCAGCAGTTCGATGGCTTCGACCATGTCGACGTCGAAGGCTCCCGAACTCGAGGCCACTTGATGGGCCGGTAACTCGCTATGATTGGCTGACGATGACGTGGAAGGTTGAATCGGGTCGGGAGTGTACAATTTCATCGACTGGGGACTCTCGCAGCGAGTGGGGGACGGTATACAGACGCGTCGGCGCTTGACGTGCGGTTTCAACACCTAAAATAAACAGTAAAAGGTGTTAATTGAATTAGTTAATGTACTATAAATATCTTAAATCATACAGGGTGTTCAAAAGTCTATGCTAAACTTTCTAAAGTATAAAATTATTATTATTATTTTTTTAAATAAACACACTGTATATTATTTTTTTTATTAGAAGGAGAGTTAAAAAATAAACATTTTTTGTATTTAAAGCATTTCAAAATTTTTAATGGTTTCGCAGATACAAATAGTATTTTTTCATATTGCTCTTTCAACGGTAAAATATGGGAGAAAAATTACTGGGCGTTTTTCATAAAAATTTACTGTGGAAAATGCCATATGAAATATAAAACCGCGAATTTTAAATTTAAAAAAAAATGTTCATTTTTTAATTCTTCATCTCTTGAAAAAATAATATTCCATGAGGTGTTCCATTTAAAAAAACGAAGAAAAATTATTTTATATTTTAGAAAGTTTGGGGTAGAATTTTGAACATCCTGTATGATTTACGATTACCATATTTACAGCAAAGTAAGTACAGACGATCTAAACTAAATATATATAGTTTTGGTTTCAGGACAGTTCTTATATTTTTAATATTTTTTTTTTCAGAAAGGCTGAAAATATATATTTATTTATTTATTAATATTTCTGAAACTATGGAAATATATTTACTCATATCTTAGGATTATGTGAAGACAAAAATGCAATAATATACAGAGTGTTCCATTAAAAAAACATCCCGATCCACTCCTTTTTTGAGCCACCCTATATAAGTTAAAATATTTTCCTGAAATACATCCTAGTACATACTCTAGGTTTGCACTTCTTCAACAAAATTCCCAAGTTTTTTATTCTAGGAGCTACAGATGCCCGACGCACTATTGCCGCACCCTGTATATACAATACTTAAATTATTCTTACCTTACACAAAGCCTGTTTCGCACTAAACGCTATAACGGGATCGTCGCACAATAACAACTGCAAATAAAGCGAAATTGCAACGTTGCTGTAATTCTCCGAACTATAGAAGGCATGTATAATCTCTATGAGTGAGTGAATAACTTGTTCAGTATATCTGAAAAACAAACAATAATAATATTTCTAATAAGTACCCTTAAAACAATTACGTACTTTAATCCAGGAACAACTACTGGAGCTAAAGCAGGAATTTCGGGATTCAGTTTGTGCAACATCCATAACACATCTATTAGTTGTATTAATAAATGTTTGCTCTTTTTTGTCTCTTTATTTGAGTCTTTTTCAGGTTCTTTACTGCTCTCACTAGTGCCCAACGGATCTTCGACTATCGCGTCTTGAATAGAAGCGTAACTATCGGCAAACTTAACCAAATTTTGCGGTCTGGCCACCGCAATACTTCTAACTATCAATACTAAGCGGTAGTAGCTTTCGGCATCTAAGTCCACGGTCTCGGTTCCTAAAAAATTCAATTATAGTTTCAGTTGAAATCTAAGTTTGTTGATATGGTATTTCCATAATTTATTTTTATTCAAGGGTCGAAACTTTTGAATAAAAAGATTAGGAAAGGAGTAGTACTTATGCATGGTAGACGAACAAAGGGCCCTAGGTAGAAGATCCTTGACAGTTCTGTTTGACGATTCATTTGGCATATTTGAATTTGATTTGAAATTTTGTGAATTTGTCAGTCTTTACTGAGCTTATTTTATATTATTTATTATTTATTCTACTACTGAGAGTTGTTTAAAAGTAGTAAATCTAGAAAAAGGTAGTAAATCTAGTAAAATAGTGGGTTGCGTAGCGTGCGGTTGATCTCGGTCAAAAATCGAGGGAAATAATGGAATAACTTTTCGCTAGTAAGTGACTATATAATATACACATACAAGTAGTAAACCGATCATTTACGAAATTAACTTAAAATTAACTAATTATATATTTTTACTTGCATTTTTGCTTTTATTTACTACATGTCAAAGATTAGATGTCAAAGAATTTAGATACGTCAATTTGACTTACCTGCTTCAGTAGCGTATCGGATGTTTGTGTTAATAAATAATTATTATATAACTTATCTATTTTTATTAGAATTATATATTTTTATAACAATTTTAATAACTACCAACATTTATTCACAACGTAAAATAAAACAACAAATTATTGAGTCTACCCTATATCATATTTTTACACGTTTTAAATAAAATTAGAACGGCACCGATACACCGGAATTTAAGTCGGCCATTTTAGGAACCCGTCGCGTTCGATCTAAGATTTTTGATATGCTCCTTCCTTAATTTTTTTATTCAAAGGTCGAAACGAATATCTTTTATATTACCTTTTCTTTCTGTCATAGACGTCAAATTGCATAGAACGTGTTCCAGTAGAGCTTGATCCTTGTAATTGTGATATTGTTGCTTGGTAGGATGTAACGTCAACATCAAAGCTTTTGAGTGGACTTGAATTGACGGTGGGGTGGGTAAAGTTAATAACTGGGTAGCTAAAATAGATATATATATATATTTTATAACGACTTCAAATAATGGTAAAAACGATTACATACCAATTTTCAAGGCAGCGGGTTTAAGTTTGGTGAATTTTTCTTCTGATAAGTGGGCATAAAGTGAGGCGTCTAAGCTTCTAAAGATGTCCATTGCCAAGCGCTCTAATTTTGACAGTTGTTGAGGCAAACCACATTGTTGATCCTTAAATATTGCAAAGTTTATAGCAAATGCCATTAAAATAAAAAATTGTGTGTGCACTATGTGCGCATATTTGAAGTGAAACAACAGCTATAAAATTGAAGGATTTGAAGGATATATATTTGTTTATGAATGCTTTTTATAAACTTCAAAAAAATTAGAGTTAATATAAAACCGTATACTATTCTAGCTTTATAATTTTATGTTTTTTAATTTTTGATTAAAAAACGATAATTTTATTACCCGGCCGGATAGCTGTAAACCAAAATACTACTACATCTATATCTCTGACTACTACTAACAGCTACCAACCAACAATTTGTTTTGTGTAGTCTGTGGTCTGTTTTTGTTTAAATGTTTTGTTCATTATTCATGTTGGGGATTTATTTTTAAATTAATGTTAATCGTTAGGCAACTAGTATTTCTTTTGCATAATCAAAATTGTCACTAAATTTTACATAACCAAATTGTCATTCTAAATCGCTGTCTTTTTAGACAGATGTCACTTGTCCTGTCATTATTCGAATTCTCAGAATGTTGTTAACAAAAGTTTAATGTTAAAATATATTTTAATCAATCACAATTGTTTATCTCCATCATTTACCGGATTAATAATACAGAAATTATAACTCAATTACAAACAATTCATTATTTATAGTGATTTACAGTAATTTTAATAAATTATACGAATATTCTCGTTGATTGTTCGTTTAAAATAAATATGACAGTGTCCTCCAATAAAAATGCGAGTTACCAACTCTAAATTCTAATTCTGAGCTGGCAAATGAGCTAGATGCTTTACCTAGACCGTTATTCAGAATCTACCAACCTATTGATGAAAATATGCATGAAATCAAGGTTGGTATGTACAGTATCAAGTTTATTATAGTGATTTTCTTAGCCGCGTTGGCACAGATAGTTACCCAGTGTTGTCACAAGCTTATTTTTCATCGGGGTAGATTATCACGAGATAACGGGGTTAAATTTTTTTACAAAGGGGTAGATCTACCCTGAAGGAAGTAGCTGTGGCCACTGCCGCTATCACTTTTCCTCTCGCTAGCTCGCGCGTCACGGCCGTCTCGCTTGCGTCACGCGGCCTTCATTCAAGGCCGTGGGTCACATTCTTGGGAACATTTCGTCTGTTTTAATTACTTACTTCAGTATTCGAGGACAACCCTTGATTATTGTTACAGTTACTGGCCGAGTTAGCAGCTGCACTAGTAACGTTATCGTCGCTGTCTTCGGGCCATCCGAACAAATCTTTCGTTTTGCCGTAAATTTTCAGACTATCCACCATCGTCATCAGCTCGGGATCTTGACAAGGTCCGAAAACTATGGCCAACTTTTTATCGGCTTGTAAACTCTCCTCTCTAGAGAATGGCACATCATACCAACGACTTCTCGTGACAGTAAACGAAATAACTCTTCCGAAAACCTAAAATAATTTTCAAGGATTTAAAATACATTAGAGCTAATACCGTACGTTCGAAAAAAAAACACGGAGTCAAAGACGGCTGGGGAATGACAATCAATGAAAAGTTTAGCATGGTCAATCTCTAGACATTATTAAAAATCATACATTAATAATTAAAAAAAGATAGAACGTTTCAAGACACACAAATTTATTTCCAAAAAAATATGATTTCTCGAATTTTAAACTATACCATTTAGAAATCATTTTTACTGAATATAAAAATAAATTACAATCTTCTAAAGCCAACTGGCAGTAAGCGTCGTTAATAAATAAAGAAGAGTAGACGTTTGTTCCAAGTAAATGACGTGTAGGTCTTGACCTCCCTAAAATTATCAACGATTTTCATCCCCCAGCCGCTGTTTTTTTTTTCAATCGCATGGTATATTTTGTACTCCTTACTTCTACGTAAGATGGAGCTTTTTGAGGATCTTGAGTGCCTACTAAAACTCTGATACCGCACATGACTGTGTTCGGATCGTTGTTGGTAACCTCTATTTGGAATTGGGCCTTGTTGCAAACTATATATAATCCGGTAGTATTTAATCTAAAACGGAAATAAAAAAATAACATATCGTATATTTTGGCTCATTATAGTAAAATGTACAAGTTAAGTTCACTTGAGTTCAACTTCTACAGAGCGATCATCAATGAGTGAACTAGTTGGCCAAACCAAACGAGCAAAATCAGAATGGTCAATTATTTCAACCCTAGTTGATCTCTCCATATATATTCACATGACTTAATTGATTGCTCTTACCTGTGTTTTAGTTGGGCCGCATTGTATATTTGTAGCAAATCGTTGCCGCCATATTCTACGTCGTTCATTACAGTGCAATGTTCGAAAAAGTCGACGGGGAATGTCGGAGCGCTCGATGTTTTGCCAGATTTTATCGGCTTTTTCTTTTTAGGTTTCATTAAAGTTCCTAAAACAATATACAGCAACATTATGGTAATGTATTAATTATTAGAAATACTAATAATTGCCTGGAATTTGATATCTACAGAAAAAATACCACTACACACAGATCTGTTCCTCATGAGTCTTATCATAGTGTTGAACATAAGATGGCTAGTTTAAATTTTTTAGTTCATGACTACCTACTTAGTTTTCCACTTACCAACGAAAGATATGAAATAGAAAGAAATTACATTGGGAATGAAGCTGAGTGTAATGGATTTTCAATTCCTTCATTAGTTGATAAAATAACTAGAAAACGTAGGTATAAGTTTGCGATTTCTGCAACTTCGACTTTTCGAGTGGAGAAAGATACGTCAAAATATATTTCAATACTGTTTTTCAAGAATGTCAATAATAATTATAAACTTGTGTCTAGTGCTAATAATAAATTACAAAAACTATTAGGTATAATGCCTTTGAATAAGATTAAGGAAGGAGCATATCAAAAATCTTAGGTCCATCGCGATGGGCCTCAAATATGGCCGACTTAAATTCCGGTTTATCAGTGCCGTTCTAATTTTATTTAAAAAATGTAAAACTATGATGTAGAGTAGACGTGGGGTAGACTCAATAATTTTTTAGTTTATTTTACGTTGTGAATAAATGTTGGTAGTTATTAAAATTGTTATAAAAATATAAAATTCTAATAAAAATAGATAAGTTATAATAATTATTTATAACCATAAACATCCGATACGCTACTGAAGCAGGTAAGTCAAATTTACGTATCTAAATCTTTGACATCTAATCTTTGACAAGTAGTAAATAAAAGCAAAAATGCAAGAAAAAATATATAATTACTTAATTTAAGTGAATTTCATAAATGATCGGTTTACTACACGTATGTATATTATATAGTTACTTACTAGCGAAAAGTTGTTCCATTATTTCACTCGATTTTTGCCGAGATCTACCGCACGCTACACAACCAACTATTTTAGAGTCTTTTTCGATAAATCGCAATAGTGTCACTGTTAATTTAAGTTCTGCCACAATTTCCATCTAGATTTACTACCTTTATACAACTATCAGTAGTAGAATAAATAATAAATAACATAAAATAAGTTCCGTAAAGACTGACAAATCCACAACATTTTAAATCAAATTCAAATGTGTCAAATGAATGGTTAAACAGAACTGTCAAGGATCCCCACCCTAGAGTGCTTTTTCCGCCCACCATGCATGAATACATGGATAGCATTATGCTCCTTCCTTGGTCTTCTTATTCAAAGGGTAATGCTAAAGATAAAACACCTCCACTGGAAACGTCAGGTATTTATGAAATCTTATGTAAAGATTGTAATCAGATCATTGTAATCATTAGGCAAACTAAAAGATCAATATTAACTAGATTTAAAGAACATATGGTTCAGATAAGATATGGTAGACCGAATAAATCTTACGTTGCTCAACATGTTGTTTGTCTGTTAAAATGTTTATAAATTTAATTTTAAATATTGCAACTTTTACCTATAGGAAGAGTAGGCTGAATATTATTGGACATCCAAAATCCGGTTTGTTCCATATTAGCGATGAACATCTTCAAACTACCATCCTCGCACAGCAAAATCAAAGTAGTTCTTAATTCGCTACCCGAATTATGTCTGATAGCTACCATGTCCATTATTTTTGATTTCGCTGGTACCACCTACCGAAAAAAAATAATAATAATACCGAAAAAAGTAAGATAAAATATATGACAGACCTTAATTTCTTGAATTAGGACAGAATCAGGCTTAAGCATCAACACTACAGGTTGGTTACTGGACTGCATCGCGCAACATATCAAACCCGGATGATTGGGTATCTCAGTCCATTGGCACAATGGTTGAGGATTCGAGCTTCTTGTGCTGTTACTTTTCGTGTTTGAACCGTTAGACGATGTAGTCGTTGGAAGGTTGATCGGAAATACTGGAAAAATCATAGTAAATTAGTTAATTTTGTTTTTGGTTTATAAGTTATAAGTTACAGGCAAGCCAAAGTACCTAAGCCTTCAAAGGTGTATATATTCTGAATCTAGATAACATTTCCTACAAATGCTGAAATTTTTATAATTTTACGTCTATGTTTACTATGTTTTTAAGGCCTTTGAAAATGGGTAGGCAAGATAGGCATTTTTTCGACTTTTTTCCCCATACATATATAGTCATGAAAATAGGCGATTGTCACCGATTTTATTAAAACTGCGGTTACTTACTAAGGTGTAGAATAAGAAAATATAAGCCATTGTAGTCTTACGAGAACAGTGATTGATGTATGGGACGTTTTAACCTTCATCAAAAACAGCTGAAAACAAGGGTCCAAAAAATGAATTCTCTTATAAAGCCAAAGGACCTAAGCCTTCAAAGGCCAATCAAAAATCATTATGAATCTACATAAAATTTCCTACAAATGCTGAAATGTCCATAATTTTACGTTTATGTTTACTATGTATCTAAGGGTTTTAAAAATATGTAAAAATAGTCAAAAAAGGGCATTTTTTGAATTTTTCCCATATATAAAGTCATGAAAATTGGCTATTTTCGTCATGTCACCGATTTTATTGAAACTGCTTAATAAAATGTTAAGTCTTACGAGAACCAGGAACGCATAAACGGGAGGGGTAATAGAGATAATTACCTCTCCAAGAAAGAAATTTATATTTATAAATATTATGTCCGTTATTTCCCAAGTTGATCTTTTTTTTGCTGCCGCCCTCTGATATCTTAGTTTTTGCTCAAAAAAAATTATCCAACGTAAACAAGCTCTTAATTTCTAATTTAAACCGTGCCGGTATCATGATACTTTTCCCATTTAAGTACCGTAGAAATTTCTGACCTTTTGCATTTAATTTTTTATCTCCAAAACAAATGAACCTACAGCTTCGGCAAATACATATTCTAATACAAAATTTTACGCTCTACAAAAAAGGTCTCTTTGGTTTTTTCCATAAAAACATTCCTTTAAAAGTTATTCGCGGTCAAAGTTATGCACATAGTCTATAATCATTGCAATCACTGCAATCATTCACTGCAAATTCTTTAAATTTAATTTTTTTTTTAATTAAATTCATTTAATTAATTCGATACAAGTAATATTTAAGATAAAAACCACTCGAAATTTGTTCATTTTTTTCAATTGACACACATATTTACGAACACTGAAAGGCAATGAAACAATAAAAAAAACCCTCCCAGACTCAATCTCTAGATGCACAAAAAAAATTAAACCCAAATTATTTCACGTTTACCTAAAGACAAGCAGTTGCTCTTCTGAACTATGGGCGAAATAAAGCTTTTTCCTTGAGCGTAGCTATAGAACAGCAAATTTAACGTGTGCGAGAAGTAGATGGACACACCTCCACCCGCTACTTGTCCATTCAGATCTGTCACGTCCAAGTGAAACACCTAAAAAGTATTTTAATATCAATATAGACACCTTTAAAACCTAATATTAAGAGGAACATACTTCAAGTGTGTTGGTGACGTAAAAACTACCATACTTTGTAGAACTGTCATCGTTCAAAGTTTCGATATAGATGTGTCCTGGCGATGACATTATCAGGATTTGGTAAATGCCTTCCTCGTATATGAAAGTGCAATCTCGAATTTTTCCACTGGGAACCTAGAAAATATACAATGTTTCTATTTGAAATTAAACAAATCTAATAGGAAGAAACCTTAATAAAGTAATCGCAAAACAATTTTCGATGCACGTCATCTACTCTGAGTGACAAGCGATGGCGACAGCGCTGCCAGATTGTGATGGATTTATAAGACGAATCTTAATGTAAATTTGAGAAACAATATATTTATATATCATTTTTTAATGATTTTTACGTTTTATTTTTAATTTAATAACTATATAAATAATTTTGAAAGTGGTATAATGTGCTTACCAATCAAACTTACTTTTCTGAGTGCAGTCAAGGATAATAAAGAACCTTTATTGTCACGTTCCCGTTCAAAATAGTTTATCAGGAAAGCTACAAGCTCTTAGCTTCGACTGTTTAAACGCTTCGGCATATTTCAACACACAATTTCAAGAAATACAATACAAAAACTGGAAAATTTAGTTCTTAAAAGAACTGTTTGTGCTTAAAAGTACAATTTGAAAAAAATACTATAAAAATCGGCAAAAAAGAGAATTACTCCCAAAGATTCAACAACAACACGGTATTATATAAAATAATGACTGACATTATGATAGTAATTGTCAAATAATAAACGACGACGTTGCTGATCGCGGCGCAATGTGACCAACATGGCGATAATAAAAATCGCATTAAACTAATTTTTGCAGCTTTAATCTAAATAAAATATCAGTTATAATCATTTGCTCTATAAAGTAAAACGAAGAGCTGCTCGGTAACTAATTTAAACAGTTTTGCCAAAGTTTGATTTTAGTCAGGTTTATAGGATTTAGTGTCAATTTCGATATGATTGATGACGTGCATCGGAAAATGTTTTGCGATTACCGTATGTAAAATTGCACTATTTTGTGAAAATATGCAAAATATTAGAATTTTAGTCGCTTATTAAAAAAGCTGTAATATATCCAAATTACTTTCTGTTAATTTTCTTATATTTTTTTCTGTGTAGACGAAATGACAGTTTTGTTGAAAAACTGAATGATCCCCTCCATTCTCTCGATAGCCTTCCATCATAATTCAGTTCTAGTAAAACGTCTGATTTTTTCGTCAACACACAATATTTTACTTAACACTGTTACGTTTTGACTGAACAGGTAAGACCGACAGGTAAAACGTTACGTATAGTCGAGGCTTTAGAAACGTATTAAAACTCATACATTTTAATACAAGTGTTAAAAGTTTTAAAAAATACACTTTATAAAATATCACTCATTATTTAATTAATAATCTACTTACCAAAAAGTGGTATTGCGGATTGATAGCGTCCTTGCTAAGATCAAAAATCTTAACAAAGTCGGCAGTAACTAGAGCTAGTTCTGTCTGAGACCCGGGCAACCATAAAGCCTTGATAATAAAGTTGCCCGTTTCGAGATGCGGGTGTAAAACTAAGTGATCTGTCACTTGTCCGTTGGAGTTAAATGTCAAAACGTGACAGTCTTTCAGGCCACAAACGGCGAGAAAGTCCTCGTTGCAAAGATTTGATGTCATTGAAAGAACTGTAAAAGAATTATTAATTTTTGAAAAGAAATATATATGATTGACAATTAATGACTGTCAATTTAATTCAAATAGAAATTACTACTATACCATACTTTAAGAAATCACAGAAATATACCTGTAAATGGTATTGGTGCGGAACTAAGTCTGGTCAGAGTCAACTTTCTCGTAGCAGAGTCAGCTTGCTTTAGCAGAGCTGACAGTTGAAGAACGGTAATTTTTCCTTTTTCATGGGATACCGCTAAATGTTGTCTTTTGCCTAAAACAAATAACCATCTTTTTGATCTAAGCCTTTCATCAATATTATAGATCTTGAAGGGTCACGTCTAGAGAAATGGGTCTTTACCTTGAGTAGTAGTCATACAACACATCGCAACTCTTCGAATAATATGAGCTGACAGTAATTGTCTTATCGTTTGACCTTGATCGCCAGCGTACGACATGCGCACGTTTTCAAAAGCGCCCTCTTGCGAGCCTAAAACAATGCAAAAAATAATTATTCTTTGTTGAATTCAGAGAAACGCAGGCAGAATTAGTATTCAATATATTAATTCATTCATGTTCTGCAGATAAAAATAAGTAAATCTGTTCGTATAAATTTATGTCCAAAATGCTTCGTTTCAGAGATACAGGGTGTAGAAGTTTCATTTTTATTTCGATTTTTTTCCAAATAATTAAAAAACGTCGATTTGATGAAAATTGGTGTTTTTATAAAATTTAAATAAAACGAATCTATGACTGTAAATAAACGGGCTTGTTCCTTACCTAGAGTTGGAACCATCAAAAGATCCGTGTGCACGTACTTTTTCTCCGCACTATATAATTGTTCCAGTGCCTTAACACCTCTGACATGACACCCCACTGGGCTGTTCTGATTGCATGTTGCTTCGATAGCGGGAATCAAGCAGTGTAAAAAGTCTGTCAAAAACACAAAAAATGACATAAAACATTTGAAATAAAATCGTTAAAAGAATATAGTACCTAACAAAGACGCTGTCACGTTGCTGGAACTCAAATTATTAAGTAAAAATTCTTTAGATTCTTCTAGTTTCTTTTTCTGGTGGTCTGGCCGTTTTTCTTCAAATAGTATTTTATCGGTTGGTACAGGCGAACTTGTTCTCCTTCTAAAACATCAAAACTTATCATATCTTGTTATCTTCTAGTATTGAATAATTTAATACTTAGTATAAGTACAGGTACATTTTATTTTTTATTGCGGATATATGATTGTTCTTAGATTCAGAAATAAACTTAAATACTATAAACCTCTGGATAAAGCTGGGCCAAAAGATACACACAGTCTTGTTTCAATGAGTACAATATAATTCCGCCAAGAATTTATTGTTTGTTCAGCCATCGTTCAACGTCATATATTGTCGAACTCTCTTTCTTTCACTTGATAACCAGACGAAACAGACTAACATTTGTACGTTATGAAGTACAATAATTATATAAACTAACCTCAATGAACTGGCCAGGACATGTTCACCGTTTTCTTCCTTCTTTTGTCCACCACTTCCTTCAGCGTTCGAAGTGGGACTTCTCTTTATCAAAGCCTGACAAGATCCGTCCTCTTTAGCTCCACAATCACAGAAGAAATTTCCATACTTTGCGTAACTTATATCGTGTCCTTTATGACAGACGCGCGCGCATATAGAACATACGCCTACGCCATCTAGCATTTTACAAGTGTGGCAATGATACCTGTACAGGAAAACAATAATTGTGATCATTATGTAAGAAATATTCCTTCAAATACTTTTATGTTGAAAGAAATTATCAAAATATAGGATAGAAATAAACTTACCAATGTTGGTTCATAAACTCCTTCTGAGTAACTGTAAACGTGCACAACTTATTACACAACGAATCCTCATCAGAATCTTCTCCACTATCGTCATCTTCGTTGATGTCTTCCTGCCAATCCAGTTCTAAATCTAATGGGCTTTCATGTTCCCACTGTGGTGACACAGATCTGAAAGATAGAAAAAAAAAATGGTAATATAGTCCGTTCCACGAGTAAAGACATGACAGTGAGTTTTTTTTGTTATTTTAATTGTATTTTCTGTCACTGTTTAGATATCGTCTGTCAAAATCCTTTCTTATAAAACAATTATTTATAATAATAAATAATACGCTTTATTAAAGCTATATTATATCAGAAACGCTCTGACATACAAACAAACAAAATACAATTTAATCATTGATTCGTTATCTTTACTTTTTTATCATCAATAGTCGAATACCTATTTATTTTTTAAATTTACTCCATTTACAGACTTTTCGACCTTTAATGGAGTAATAATTAAAAAATATTAGACATTAAAAAAAAATGTAATCTTATAACTTACCTGGGTGGTTGTTCAGTAATTAACAAAATTACGTCGCTTACATAATCCAAAATACACGACGCAGCATGTAACATATTACTGTTTTTAAGCGAATCGGGAGATGTTGCCATCTTTTCGCTGATTTCCTTCTTCTGAACGTACTTAACACATAATTCAATCTTTAAAAATATCAAACATATGTTAATAATCCTATATATCTAAAGTATTAATTATAGAGAGATCAATAAAAGTTGGTATGCATATCATTAAAAATGTAGAAAATATTAAATTTCAACTAGTAAATTCAAGTACTAAAATATCAAATTAAATTTCTAATAAAAATTCAATTCAAACTTGGAACGTCCTTTCTCTATAATCTTATATCCTGGAATCTCTCCTGGATATAGACAGAGTAATAAAGCAGAAAAATCGGTGACAAAAGTACAAATTTTAATTGACACTAGGTAAAATTCAAAGTAAAAAAACTAGCCGTGGCAAAATGCGACGTGCGTTCGTCAAATATTTTGATGACATGCTCGCCAACTTTTATTAGGTTTGTTCCAACACAGCAAAGAACTGTTTTTGGTACGGTTACGCTTACGCGCAGTAAAAAGAACGCGTTCCATCAACGAGAGAATCGTTTAGCGAACGATAACTTTTGCGTTCCAACCAGAATGGTAATCATTCATGAACCATATTCGGAACGGTGATTATCCTAAACCGGTGACTATCCTAAAAGCAAGAATTAAAAGAACTGACGTGCGTATTAAGACTGCCTGTCAGCTGATTATTGTTTTTCTTTTTTTTCTTTGGCTATTTTCTGGTTTTAATTTGCTGATTCCTGAAATTTTATTTGGTATTTATCGTTTTATTACATATTTGAAATAAATATTTTTATATTTTTGTACTAAATATGATCAGTGACGAAGAGGACAGTGATATCCAGTATGTGGATACCACTGAAGATGATTTAAAACTTTTGCTAAATAAAGAAAAGGCGATTTCGTGTTAATTAAAAAATAAATAAATTCAATAATCCGTAAATAAATCCAATAAAAACACAATTTATATCGAAAAAATATTTAACCTATATTAATAATTAAAAATTAGGGTTTGCATTTGATTCTATAAATCGGTTCAAAAACTGTTCCAACCCGAATTTAATTTTGGTATAGTAACTGAACTGCCAAAGCCAACACATGCGCACAACTCGATGCCGGCGCTCCGAATTACCGCTCTAAAACGGTACAAACTTCTATGCTGGAACAAACCTATTAATTTTTCTTTACTAACCCATTCTGACACAGCGGGAAACAGATAAGTGTGCCCTCTACCCACTCCAGCATCAGCCAACATAGTCATAACGTTCATCAGCTCCGTGAATCCTACACCTTCTAAACTCGGGCCCAAAATGTGACTTCCCAACGGTATCAAAGCCTTCAGTATAGTTACAGAAACGTCTTCGGCAACATTGCTAGTCTACAAGAGAGAAACGTCAAAAAAATTAGTTCGCGAGAAAAATAGGAAGTCATACCTGCTTAACTATATAGCTCGTGAGGGCCTGTAGCAGTTGGCTGTTTTCTTGTACTAGGGACTTTTTGTCGTCGTTTGATCCCATCGTTACGTATAATTCTTTACCGTCCGAACTAGACGTGCTTGATTGTTTTTTCAGTTTCAAAACGAGTCCACTAAAAATATAAATATCGCAAAAATTGAGAATTATTTCTAGCGTTGATTGATGAAATAAGAAGATGCGCAACTTTTGGGCGATTTCTTGGCACAAAACCTGTCCGAGATTTAGTTTAGCTCTGCGTCGCTGCGCGCTGACAGTCGTTTAGAGCGCAGCGGATAAAGAATACTGTACCGTAGTTCTGCTTTCAGTCGACAGAGTGGGTGATTGCCGGAGAAAGTGTTGCCAGAACTACGGATTAATTCGTAGATTTACGGATTTTGGATACAGTATGTTAATAATACGGATTTTCTGTCATTAAACAATTTAATATAATATTATATGATTAAACAAAGAATGACATCAGAGTTGGCGTGGAAATGAAGATCGCCGCTATTTCAAATGTAAAATATTACGGTAAATGTCAATAGTCGTAATTTCCAAGCCAACTAAACGACTTTTTTCGATCATACGAAATATTCAGTACCTATAAAAGAATTTGTATTTTGTTGTTTATTCTATGTTTAACATGAATAAATTTTCAATACATAAACGCGAATTTTTCATACAAATTTTTCGTTAAACGTATTACAGATATTCCACACCGTCTTCGATATGCCTTCACTGGCCGAATAAGAGAAAAAAAGTGTTTTATGCGTTGGCCGCAGAACGACTGGTGGCTCCACCGTACAGCATTTGAGACGTAAGGGTAAATCAAATCAGCCTTGTCACGAATTTGCCCATTAGGTTGCATATCTTCCCAATTCTTTCAATCAACGATTCTAGTTTGGCTGTACTTAAACTGCCGTTAAACGGTAGCTTACTAAAATGCCGTTAATAGGTATGACGTCGTTGTGACGCACTTGACGGCTTTATGAAATATAGGAATTTTATAAGAACTAACCAACGCTATCCACCCCACCAAATAACCAACTTAACCAACGCAACTAACCTCGACACCGATAAAAAAATATAAAAAACAAATATAAATTAGCCAACTAAAAAATGAATTAACACCCTCCAAATAACCACGCTAACCAACTCGCTAAATAACTAAACCAATCCAACCAAAAAGAGTGAAACCAATGCAATAAGATCACGCTATAAGCAAAAAAAATATATAAAAAAGTCTTGGTCGGCGTGAGATTTGAACCACGGACCATTCGCTCACGAAGCGATAGCCTCAGCCACGGAGCCACAGGTGCTCTTGCAAAATGCTTATAGCTAGGCATTACTTTCCGCCGACATGAACGACGTCACAATATCTATTAATGGCATTTTAGTAGGCTACCGTTTAACGGCTGTTTAAGTACATCGTTCTAGTTTATACTAATTAGAGGTCTTTCATTAATAACGTGAGGGAATCAGGGTGGGAGGGTGTCAAAATCTCTGTAAAACTCACGACGTTGAGAGGGTGGGGTGTTGCAAATATCAAGTAATTTTTTTAGGCAAAAATAGTGTAAAAATTCATTCGTTAGAAACTAAATTAAACAAGGATGTATTCGGTCCCTTTAAATCACCGGTGAGTTCAAGGCGCATGCGAATGATCAATGGCTCCAACACAACAGCTGTGCGATCGGACGACCGGCAATGCGACGAATATCCTTTTTTTCGAGTTCAAATCGAAAAAAAAACAAGAAATGCAAAAAGAAATATTATTAGAAAATGTTTTTTACTTTTTTTAGAGCGTAGCTTTGCTTTTGCTGGGCCTTTGGCGGTATTAGTCATTGTTTTTTTCCTTATATAGTCTGTAAAACGAATAACTTTGAATTTGACAGTTCCCGCTGGCTTTTCTAGTGTAAATTTTATTAGGTTAGCAACTTGCGGCCATGTTGATGCAATGCCGTCTCTAATAGAACAGCCTCCGAGCGAGATTTATTACGTCACGCTAGTTAGATACTACGGATTAATTATGTTGTAGAATACATGGAAAACATAATTGTTCCTCGTATATGTAATTTTTTGGATTATATTCGACACTATTTTTTTCATATGACACAACACTGATGAAGGCTATAAACGTTAGCTATAACGTTTTTTTAAACCAACAAAAATAATGAAAAACCAAATAAAAACTTAATCAGCGTTTTTCCCGAACCTAAATTCCAAGGAAATCAAAAATTTTAGAATAATTTTACAAATAAAATGACAGCGATCTTTATTTCATAGCCATCGCTGACGCCTTTTTTTCTATGATATTGTATTATTTGCAAATATAATTTTTCGAACATTGATGCTTGCAAAATATACATATAAATTTTGTGAATGGAAATAATAATATATCACTATTAGTAGATATTGAATGTTTTTTGTTAAATTAGATCGATTTTCAAACCCCAAAATTTAAAATATATTTTACATTTTACCCATTATCTTATGTACCTATTCATTATTTGTATATTGTAAAACATTTATTAACTGTATCTTTCATGTAAACTATATCATTCTTAAAATACAAACCAAAAATACGAGGAATAATTATGTTTTCCATGAATTCTACAACATATTTATTAATCCGCGGTATCTAACTAGCGTGACGTCATAAATCTCGCTCCGAGGCTATTCTAATAGAGACGGCGTTGGTCTGATATTTAGAAATGTCAAAGGCTGATGACATTTTACTACTTTTGTCAGTTATGACATTTCGCGTTGATTTTTGGTAGACGAGAAAGAACTATCACTTGTTTTATTATTTTCCTTTTCTATTTCACGAAAGTAAAAAGAGTTACCTATCTGATTCGTTCAGGCACTCATTTTAAAGAATATCAGTAACTTTTTGGACAGAGATATTTTATATTTGCCATGTTGGTAAAAAATAACGGTCAAAATTCAAAGTTATTAATTTTATAGACTATATATATATATATATATATATATATATATATATATATATATATAGCCCATATATATATATATATATATATATATATATACTTTCCCCAAATGTCAGGGCAGTGGAATAATTTTTTTTCGAGTACCAAAGGACGAAACAACGTAAGTACCTACTTAACTACATTCTTATGATTGGTAGACCTTGATTTTCTACAAATTTTCTGCCTGTTGACTACTATAGAAGACAAAAAATGTAAAGAATCATGAAAGTTGGAAATGTGTTTTTATTTGTAGTTTGCTAAGTTTTTGCTAAGTTTGCTGTACCAGAAATTATTACTACAGGCTGATTAATTTACATTTTTTACCTCCTGTTTTTTTCTCATAAAATTTCCGATTTAAATTAAAAATTAAGAATGTAAATCATATTGCGGTCTGGTCGACTTTACGGCCAATGGATTTTTAAGAAACACAATTCTAATATACTCAACTTTTATAGTAAACTTGTTACACTCAACTACTATTAAGACATAGAAACTCTTGCTTTAATAATAAAAAGACTATTATCTGATTAGTTGGTTGTTTTTTTAGTATTCATAGAAAATCTTCATTCGTCAACCAATCTTACTTTTATAATTTTTAATACCGGTTTTGTCCCTTGATGTTTACGCTTTTACCAAGTGACAATATAAAGAAATATTGCCCTACGAATTGGTACTTTCTCGTAAGAACTTAATATATGACAAAAATCTAAAAAAATGCATTCCCAATTTTAATTAGGAATATATTTTTTACAAAAGGCAACAATGCATTTGAAAAAAAAACGAAGTCTGACAAAGGTTCGAGGCAGTCCGAGGTCACAGCGGCATTTACCAGAAAGATAAAATAAGTGCCACAACTGATATAATAATCTGTGGTAATGGTATATCGAAAATATCTTTGAATAAGAAGACTAAAGAAGGAGCATATCAAAAATCTTAGGTACACCGCGATGGGCCTCAAATATGGCCGACTTAAATTCCGGTTTATCGGTGTCGTTCTAATTTTATTTAAAAAATGTAAAACTATGATGTAGGGTAGACGTGGGGTAGACTCAATAATTTGTTGTTTTATTTTATGTTGTGAATAAATGTTGGTAGTTATTAAAGTTGTTATAAAATATATAATTCTAATAAAAATAGATAAGTTATAATAAGTATTTATTAACACAAACATCCGATACGCTACTGAAGCAGGTAAGTCAAATTAACGTATCTAAATTCTTTGACATCTAATCTTTGACAAGTAATAAATAAAAGCTAAAATGCAAGAAAAAATATATAATTTAGTTAATTTAAGTGAATTTCATAATACTACACGTGCTATATTATATAGTCACTTACTAGCGAAAAGTTGTTCCATTATTTCACTCAATTTTTGCCGAGAATCTACCGCACGCTACACAATCAACTATTTTAGAGTCTTTTCGATAAATCGCGATAGTGTCACTGTTAATTTAAGTTCTGCCACAATTTCCATCTAGATTTACTACCTTTATACAGCTATCAGTAGTAGAATAAATAATAAATAACATAAAATAAGCTCCGTAAAGACTGACAAATCCACAAAATTTCAAATCAAATTCAAATGTATCAAATGAATCGTCAAACAGAACTGTCAAGGATCCCCACCCTAGAGAGCTTTTATGGTGGCTTTTCCGCCCACCATGCATGAATACATGGATAGCATTATGCTCCTTCCTTAGTCTTCTTATTCAAAGGAAAATATGGTTCCCGTTTCCTTAATGGTTGAAAAAGTATGGCGCGCAGTTTAAATTTCACAGGACAAGTTAGTTTAGAGTGTCTAAATCAGAGTAAAAGTCAAGAGGCAGATTATTTTACTAAATTTCGCATGGATCTGTTAGTACCAACAGTCACTCCTGAGACCGTGCACTACCCTCCATAGACTGAATTAGAATGAATTTGCAAAATTCATCTCACCACACTGAACTGTAGATAAGTAAAATACTGTCAATAAAGAAACACTAGTAAAGATTTTACCTTGATGACACCTCAGTTTCATTAGGACCGAGAATAATCTGCCTTAACCACATCTGCAATTTTTCGCTCTCCACTTCAGCCAGTTTACCCATACTGGAACAAAGATAGTTCAAACTGGGATCGGTAGAACTCTTTTCGGCCGCTTGGAACAGCTTGTTGAAAAAGTGAAGTACTCGGGTACTGTACTGTTGGGACATGCGAGGACTTGACACTGACATTAGCACTTTTACCAAATGCTTGTCCCCTAAAATTTTAAGAGAAGAACTTTATTATATCTACAATTATATTTATTTTATTAGTACCGCTGAAAAAGCTTTCTAAAGCTTGTCTTCCCGAGCTCTTTTCAATAATTTTTTCGTAGAATTTCAGGCAACTGTGTAATATTTTTTCGTCAACCTTTGTCTTCTGTTCGTTGTTAGAGCTGGTATAGTTCATTAAGAGGTTGTAGGTATGATCCAAGACTCTGCAAGATAAAATAAAAAACTGTTAAAAATTTACATATGATTTAACCATAAACTATCGATCTTGTTAATAGTTATGAAAAAAGGTACATTTGAAGGTACATTATACAGGGTTTTTCATTTAACAATTTGATTTTTTTAGAATTTAATTTATAAGAAAACCAATCATCAAAATATTTGACAAATCAATGCTGCCCCGCATACTTCTTTTACTTTTGACTTCTGATAAGTGTCAAATACGTCATGTTGTCACCTTTGAATAAGAAGACTAAGGAAGGAGCATATCAAAAATCTTAGGTTCACCGCGATAGGCCTCAAATATGGCCGACTTAAATTCCGGTTTATCAGTGCCGTTCTAATTTTATTTAAAAAATGTAAAACTATGATGTAGGGTAGACTCAATAATTCTTTTTTTATTTCACGTTGTGAATAAATATTGGTAGTTATTAAAATTGTTATAAAAATATAAAATTCTAATAAAAATAGATAAGTTATAATAATTATTTATTAACATAAACATCCGATACGCTACTGAAGCAGGTAAGTCAAACTGACGTATCTAAAAGCAAAAATGCAAAAAAAAAATATAATTAGTTAATTTAAGTGAATTTCATAAATGATCGGTTTACTATACGTATGTATATTATACAGTCACTTACTAGCGAAAAGTTGTTCCATTATTTCACTCGATTTTCGCCGAGATCTACCGCACGCTAAACATACAACTATTTTAGAGTTTTTTTCGATAAACCGCGATAATGTCACTGTTAATTTAAGTTCTGCCACAATTTCCATCTAGATTTACTACCTTTATACAACTATCAGTAGTAGAATAAATAATAAATAACATAAAATAAGCTCCGTAAAGACTGACAAATCCACAAAATTTCAAATCAAATTCAAATGTGTCAAATGAATCGTCAAACAGAACTGTCAAAGATCCCCACCCTAGAGTCCTTTTTCCGCCCACAATGCATGAACACATGGATAGCATTATGCTGCTTCCTTAGTCTTCTTATTCAAAGGTTGTCACCGATTTTTCATTTCAATTTTAGAAACAATATATATTTATTTATTTCTTGACATTGTCATTCGTTTTGACACTTTAGTATTACGAGGTTTAAATAAATTGTAATACTTTAAGCTTAAAAATTTTTACTAGCAGACCTTGCAGTTGAACACTGTTCTTTTTAAAACCTCTTTTAGTGCGAAATGTAGAAGATAGCTTAATAGCCGTTGCAAAAATCTCATCGCAACCTTATTAGAATATTTTGAACGGGAAAGTAATGGTTTTTTATGTCCCTTAAGTGCTGCTAAGGAGGTGAGTTTTGTTGATGTAAATGATAACTGTTTACATATTTATAATTAATTTATTTTTGTTTTCTAAAATATTTTGATTAAAAGAAAATATGTAAAAGTGGGCAATGCCGTGCCCAAAGACATGCTTTGCCGGTCAAGCTTAATCACGGGACTAAAAGTATATTTGGTATGATCTATATTAGAAATTTAGTTTTGTAATATTTCCAACGGTTTTGATGACGTAGGCGCGAACTTTTATTGATTTCTCTATAGATAGATAAATTTATATTATTATTACTACATCAATTTCGATTTCACCTACCTGATATACACTCGTTTTTGCCTCTCATCCGTCTCAGCATCACCGATCATCTTTTCCAAAGCCTTCGACGAGACGTTATACAAATACTCAGTCCTGGCATCTGTGGTAATCGAAATTAACATCTCGATCGCCTTATTTTTCGTGTCGGTATTCTCGATTTTCGGCGCGTGTTGCACTATGAACTTGACCAGATTCTCCAGGGTACGTTTTAGGGAAAGGTCGATGCTAAACGTTGCCGATTTCGACATGGATGATATGTGGATATCGATAATTTTCAAAATGTAACTCTCTGACGGTATTAAGTCGTTGCAGTACTGCATCTATCAAAAAAAATTGAAAAATATGTATAAAACCTGTATTATAATTAGACTTTTATTACAAAATCTAGATATACAGGGTGAGTCTTAAATAAGTGCAAATATTTTCAGGGCACACAATCTTTTTAGCAGCTCTTTACTTGTGCACGAATTTATAAATAAAACTTTATTTACCGAATATGTATCTTGTAAAAAGTTGGTTCTCCATTCCAGTAAGATCGAACTGATAGTATTGGGCAAGTGCGTGTCAATATCCTTAGCCAGGGTAGTCAACAAGCTATTATCATTAGATGCGATAGCTAACACGTCGTGCATCGTTTCTAAATCCTTTAGTTGTACCTAAATAAATAGTTTGATATAATAAAGAAAACAGTATACAGAAAAATAAGATTGTTACCTTATCAGAGTTATCACTATGGTCGATAATCAAATGAAAGATCGACCATCGGGTACAGTGTAGGAGGGCTTGGGCCAGCTTCAAAACGTGAGGGAACAGATCCTGGATACAGGAATGTTCCGAAGCGGTAATGGAAGGTGGGACTGAGTCTAAAATGTCGTCTAGTGCCACCTGAAAAGCCCATACTATTTATTTTCTTTAATATACGTTAGAGATGAACAAAAAATCACTATCTATACTAATATATAAAATCCTTAAGTGACTGACTCACTGATTAATCACGATCCTGCTCAAACCCCTCAACGTAAGAAGCTCAGTTTTGCCATACAGGTTGATTCTAGGGTGTAGAGGTTCGATAAGAAGAGATTTTTCGAAATTCCAGTTCCAAGGGGGTGAAACCACCCCTCAAATATTACAATATGTTTTATTTAAAAAACGGTCAAGTTCCCGAAAAAAAACCGCTTAAACACGTATATTTTATTTTTTTTACATATTTTAAGATTTTTTAAAAATGTATACAGGGTGTTTCGTAAAAATCTGGTCATTCATTAATCACGATCCTGCTTAAAGCGCTTGATGTAAAAAACTAATTTTTGGAAAACGGATTGACTTTAGGGTGTAGAGGTTCGATAAGAAGGGATTTTCCGAAACTCGAATTCTAAGGGGGTGAAACCACCCCTCAAATATTAGAATATTTTTTATTTTAAAACCGGTGAGGAAAAACTCTTAAACACGTATATTTTATTTTGTTGTTTTACATATTTTAAGATTTTTTAAAAATTTATACAGGGTGTTTCATAAAATATGACCATTGAGTAATCACGATTCTGCTTAAACTGCTTGACGTTTAAAGCTGATTTTTGGCAAACGAATTGACTGTGGGATGTAGAGGTTCGATAAGGAGGGGTTTCTCAATTGTTTTTTCTCATGCTGACATAAATGTGAGAAAATTTTATCCAGTTTGTCTGTTAATGGAAATTCTTGCTTTGCTTTATCATGACCATTACAAATGATTAATTCGACGCGAACGAAGTCGCGGGTACACGCTAGTATGTGATATTTTTTTCACAGAAAAATAAAAGTAGGAATTTACAACCATTAACAATAATTAAAAAAAAACTGTTAATGACTAAAGATGGGAATGAAACCTTACCTCTACCTTTCCTATTAAACAATCCAAGAGAATCAACTGCCATAGCAAAGGCAACTGATCTTTCATTACAATGCCCTTGCCTATTTCCGGAGTTAAGCTAATAATACAAGTCTTAGCCAGAGCTGCATCGTATTCTATGTTGTTAACAGCGTCAGACACTGCTTTTAACAATTTATCCGTGTTCTGAGTGAACATACCCTAAAAATAAATAATAATTTTAAAAATAATAACTTTATCTAAAAATGCTGGTCAAACCTGTTTGACCAGGCAATCTTTTAACCATCTGTTGAAATTCTTATGTCCAGATCGAGGACCCCATATTAAAGAGTGCATTAACAACGAACCGGGTGCCAGTGTTTCTCCAGTTGCAAGTCGTTCCATGTACGAAATCGATGGAGGTAATAAATGTAACAGCCTGTAAAATAAGTATTATACGTATAATATCGAAAAAAGAAAAAAATCCTAGATTTACCTCCAACAAATTGTAAAGCAGTATTGTGTGGCGCATAATCCCAATATAGATATCTTCGGTATACTGGCTGCGTTTATACCGTGAATTACGTTTAGAATTTCGATCAGTGCGTCTAACAATAACGGGTATCTTAGTTTATCGGGCGTGCCCAATATAAAGTTGCAGGCTAGTCCGTCTAACTTTGGAGACTCTTGATTGTTAACCTTAAAATAAATCGCATAATAAAAAACCGCCGCTTCTGAGACTTCCAGAATTAAACATTAGTTGATCCCCTGAATAGGTACATAAATTTTTTTATTTCATTTTTTCAAAAGCTTATGATCTTCCAAATGTAATGATGTATCGCACTTACCCAAAAAATGTTGCTTGTTTTTTACATACACATAATGAAAGTGATCTGTATACCATCTTTCTATAACAAACTGTCTCTTATGGGAATATTCTTTATTGCTTTTTATACAGGGTGTTTCAAAAAAACATGTGCCATCTCTCGTGGGGAGATTCCTCACGTAAAAATTAAATTTATTTTTCATATCAATATAGGTCCGATTCTCCTTTTGTTGCGTAGCTACAGGGTGTTAAAATCTTAATAATTTTTCGATTTATTATAATTTTCTTCCAAGTACTTTTAGTGATTTGAACGAAATTTTGAGGGTATAAGTTACTGTAAGTGCTACATATTTTAATGCCAAAAAAGTGTCGATAAATTCATCAGGGTCGTGCATAAATATCACTGAAATATTTAAAAAAAAAACATGTGCGCCACTGACTTTTTTCTTTTGATATCAAAATTGTGCAGGCCGTTTAATACCAATTAAAAGTTATTTCTAGATATTTTGTCGAATTCGGCGTCCTTGATGAGATAAATGCAATTTTATTAATCACAATTAATAAAATTAAAATAAAAATAAAATTAATAAATTGTATAATTTAGTTAATTTATTATTAAATATTATTACTATTAGTTATTAATACTATTAGTCAAACCTACAGCAATTTCAAATAAAAAATTATGGTATTTAAGATAATTACAAAAAACTTAATTTTAAAAATTTTAACATCCTGTAACTCTAAAACTATGCATATCCATACCCATATTTATAGGAACCTTTTTTCATAGTTTTTTGATGAGGAATCAATGAGTACTTATTTAAAACTTTCGCAAGTTAATGCTATTAAAATTTTTTAAAGGTTGCTATTAGACTTGGATCAAGGCAAATTAAAAAAATTGCGTTTATCTCATCAAGGAGGCCGAAATCGACAAAATATCAAGAGACAACTGTTAATCGGCCTTAAATTGCTTACACTAATTTGCTAACAAGATAAAAAAAAATGTCAGTGGCGTACATGTTTTTTTTAGAAAAATATTCCAGTGATAACCCATATACACGTCCCGGGTAAATATGGCGACACTTTTTTAGCCTTAAAATATGTCGTATTTATAGTAACTTTTACCCCCAGAAATTCATTCAAAACGCAAAAAGTACTTGGAAGAAAATTGTAATAAATCGAAAAAATATTAAGATTTTAACACCCTGTACCTAGGAAACTTATCTACTACAAACTACCGCAAAATCGGACCTAGTATGTTGATATAAAAAATAAATCTTATTTTTACGTGAGGAATCTCCCCACGAGAGATGGCACATGTTTTTTGAAACACCCTGTATATTACTTTAGAAAGTGTTGTATTTGGGACGTCATAAGCTTCGAAAAAGTGAAATAAAAAATCCAGATCCCCAGATTTAAAAAAGTTGATAACAATCTCAGAAAAAAATTGATTTTTCATAATACCAAAGAATGAAGCCATAAAGTGACTTTAGAATGTATTTGTAGATTTTTATGAACTGTCAAAATAAACTCCTCAAGAAAATAAAACCAAAAACAAAATGAAAAGACAAAAATAAGCTTTTCATTGAGGCTCATCGACATGCAACTTAATATGAGCCACTCTGTAATTTATTACTGCTTCTGAGATCCCAATGGTGGGAGAGTCGAATATCAAACACCCGGTATAACTTACCTCCAAGTTTGACAGTTTATAAAATTTAGGTGATGGATGGTTCTCGTTTGAAATTTTCCTATAAGGATCTTCTATTTCCTTCCACACGGCCTCAGATTTAAGAGACGTCATATCTTTGAAATCGCCGTTCAAATTCGTCAAATCGAACAAATTACGCTGAATCTAAACAAACAATACTTTTAATGTAATATTATGTTGGTTTTAAATATAATACCTTTTCCAAAAGTGATGCTGGAACGTCATACAGATGCTTCATGATGTAATCAAACAGCAAAAGCAACCGCGACAAATTCAGAAGTTGCGAATCTTTCAAATTGTTCCTCGCTATTTCGGAACATCTCAGTACACCGCCTGCCATCAGCAGTACTACAGATTTTTTTTGCATTAAATTAAGCGAATGGAATAAATAGAGTAATACCTCGGCATGTTCCACATTTAAATCTAAGTAAAATATCAGTATGTTAGAATTATAATTCACCGATAAAGGCCAGAAAATATATATAACCTTCGCTTTCACCATCGAATCCTTGTGGAGCATTCAAGACGTTTTCTATCAAAGTATTTACCAGTCTATGCCAAATACTTATTACGGAGGCTTCTTTTTCGTTCTGTGGCCTAAGTAGTAACACCTGAAAATATGTTAATATGTAAATATGTATGGCCATACGCCACAATGAACAAGTGGGCGTCGACTTTGACAGTTTTATATCTCCTTTTTTGAAATAAACAACAGAACACACAATCCTTTTCTCAAAAGAAGACGATTCAAGGGCAACATGTACCTTCAATAAACGCCTCATTAGCCTTCAATTAAATACTACGTGTTCTTTAAAAACTTTCCCATTTTTATGTCTTTTAAAATTATTACCCTCATAAAGCCCCAGAACACATTAAATAATGCACTGTCTGTGATTACTTAGAGCATAAAACACCTAAATTCAGGGTACCGTATTCGAGTCCCACGTTGGGCGCCAAAACGGTGTGACGGATGTAATAAAAACCGTTACACATTTATTTTTGGCGCCCAACGTGGGGCTTAAACCCACAACTTTGAGATTAAGAGTCTCATGCTGTCAAATTCAGGGTCCTGTATTCGAGTCCCACGTCGGGCGCCAAAACGGTGTGACAGGTGTAATAAAAACCGTTACACACTTATTTTTGGCGCTCAACGTGGGGCTTAAACCCACAACTTTGAGATTAACAGTCTCATGCTGTAAGCTGTAAGTAATATCAGGACATAAAATATTGCACTGTCTTGGGAGGATTAATTTACTGCAAAACCATAATCATTACAAAAGATTGTATTACAGACCCGGATATATATTCCGTTATTGTCTCACTTCTGGTTTTAGAGTGAGAGGTAATGTGTAAATACCTGGCCTGGATCATGACAGTTAATCTAATGGATGTTAATTCCTAATTTTTGTACTATATTTAGTACATTTTGTAAAATGGAAGAATAGTTATACAATGATATATTTACGTTATAGTAAATTTGAGCAATCTGAATCATATTTTCTATTCATCACATAGATAATTATTTAGAAAATACAAGAGGTCATGTAAGAAACAAAACATGTATTTTTTGTAATACCTAAAATTATTACTTAGTACAATTATTTAGTACAATAACGAGATGTACAACCGCAGATGTACGTTTAGATTCGACTGAATTATTAAATCTTGAAAATATTATTGACCCTGAATTATCACCTTTAGTGACTTTAGTGACAGTAGACTGTCTCATATGTTGGCAACAGTTGGAAAAAGTTTGGTTCCTGTGAAAATAATGTATCCTTTAGCAAAACACAAATGTATGTATTATCTACTACATCACAGAATTATTTTTTGTAATATTTACCTGTGCTAACACTGTTAACGTCCGAGGATACACTTGCAATGGCCAGCCATGTGGAGTATCCGCGTTCCAAGGCGACACCCCCAAATGATTCAACAAACAAGCTTGGAGAGACGTTAAATTATTGCTCGTTATTAAATTGTGAGTAAATTTCATCAAAGCGCTCGAAAATTCGCTATACTGTTCGCCTAAAAGAAAACACATTTATATATTTTAAATGTACACCGTTTAATTGACGTTTTGCACTTACTAAATTCCGATTTTGCCCATTCTCTATCGAGATCTCTTATAATCGCTGCCAGAATAATCATTTGTTGTTCGGTCAGACCGTTTTTGATGTAGCGACTGATCAACGTGGCTTTAGAGCATAGAAAATGCTTATTTAGGAACACAAATATGCTTGTGGCTAACGAAATGTAACCATCGACCTAAAAATAAAGTTATGTCTTAGATATTTTACTATCAGACACATGTATAAGGTAAATTCGCTTCGTTTATGTTGAAACATATTAAACTATTGACTTGATCGATCTTCTGTCTTTTTTTTTGTGTATATTATGTCATTTTTAAGAAACACTTAATTTTAGCCAGGAAATCTTACTAATATGGACAAAAAATTATTGTTATATTACTTACTTATTGGAGATATTTACTGAGAGGTTAAGACCACGCGACAAAAAGGTACCAAACTGTATAGAAAAAAATGAAACAAGGTTGTGTGTAACTACAACCAAATCCACAAAGCTTAGAGGTTAAAAGAGTTAAATTAGAAAATATAATTTTTTCGCTAAGCGTTACAGTAATGTTCTTCCAAATAGTTTGCAGAGTAAAATCAATTCCATTTTGCAAACTGCATAAAAATGTTAATAATAATAAATAATAATAGTTAAATATTTAAAATTATACAGTAAAATGGGGTTTTACAGTTTTTTTATTAGAAATTACCTCTCCTTTTTCAGGAACAATCGAATGGCCACGATTTGACTGATTATTCGATTTAGACTCTATATTCTCGGAACTTGACGGTGTTTTGGATTCGGTAGTTTCGGGTGGTACTAAGGTTTCTTCAAACCATTGGCCTAGTAGAGGTTCACTGTCATCATCTGTAAATGGACAATATAATAGTTTTTAAAAAATTAAATAAAAAACCAGATCCGTATTTAAAAAAAAAACTATAAATTTTGATTCCCTTGAGAGTGTAGAAATATACGTTTCAGCGCCATAAACGGCCCTATCTTTCTTTTACGTTAACTTAGAAGTTTGATTTTTTCACAGCTTCAAGAGACTGTAGACCTGACAATGTTAGGAACGTAAGGAACAGAAATTGAAGCTAAATTTTTGAGATGGAGCTATACAAAATCCACATAAGTCGGTCCTTTTCGTTCAACAGCTTTGAACTAGTCAAGCGTGAGAAGTGCTTCGCGATTAGTTGATTTATTTCATACTAACCAATAGAAGTAGTTTTCGACCTACCACGTAAATCAATTGAGCGTCTGACTATTCGCGCCTTTACTTATAAATTTAAATTTAATCTCTGACATATTTAAACAAAAACAAGAAACGGATAGATATGATGAATATTTAAAACAACAGGCTGAAATAATGCCATTACCAATAAAAAAATAATATAACTATTATACGTTATTAATTTTAGAGTTTAAAATAGTGCGGGGGCAGATGAGAGCGTTCAGCGATAGACGAACGAGATCGTTTTATTTAGCGCGTGCGTACGAAAATCCTGTTGAACCAAAAGGATAGACCTATGCAAGATTGATTTCCTATTTCTTTTCTTTGGCTTCACTTTCCACTCATTGTGTAAATGAGGTAGTAGCAATAATATTCTTATAATATATTTGCTTTATAGTATACGAGACACCAATTGTCACCCTCGAATTTGGAACACCCTGTACACGCTAGAAGTCTACTTACCATCATCTGTCTCTGAGTTTTCATCGCTGCACAAAATCATATCTTCAAAATAAGCTGCGAGTCGGACTGGCTGAAATTATCGCCCTCTGGCGGGAATTAGACGCTTCAAAGAGCAAGCCTTCCTGTAGCTGACGATGGATAGGTAGAAAAGCAAGTGATTCATGGGTGCAGCGCTCAGTACTCTGGCCACGCGTTGCAGAGCTGTAAATTGGCCCATCATAGCCAAAGGTGCGGGCTCAACCTGAGAAATATAAATTTAAATAGTTCTTTAGGCGCATCGTATGGTACTAAAGAAATAAAGGTCAAAAAGTAGGTAAATGGAACATATTTAAGAAAATTAAATATAGTCTAAGAAATACAAATTTTATTAATTAATGTAAATTGTAAGAAAATATATCAGCTAGTATATACTCTGTTTTTTTTTCAGGTAAGATTTCGACAGACGATGACAGAAAAAAGGCAGATGACGTCTATACCAATCTATTTATAAAAAAAGTTTCTAATATTTTTTAAGTTAACTATGGATGGTTTTAAATATAAATCCGTCATGCGTCGTCCCTTGTTGTTTTTAACCAGTTTTATTGGTTTATTTCAAAAATGACAGATCATATTTCGATTTTATTGATTTGACGGAACGATGAACGACAAACGGACGCCCATGCGTATGAACTCGCCTTTAGATTTTTGAGGCTTGTCAAAGTCTTGCCAAATTATAGGTTATAATTTTGTATCAACTTATGTCAAATACCATGCGTTTTGGAACATGATGCATTATGATTCGTGTTATTACGTGAGTTTTGTGTCTTTTGAAGTCAAGTGGAGGAAAAATCGAGGGAAAATTAACTGTAGACCCAGAGCACAGTTTATAGTTAATACTCGGTGCCCAGACAGAAAGTCTTATACACCAATAAAGTTACCATCAATAAAGTTGGTATACCATCTCGTCATAGATAAGTGCATCTTGTATATGGTACAAGGACTGTACTGAACATATACTAAAAACTGGAGTAGCTGTAAAATCACGACATCACGCGATAGGCAAATAATGGATTTTAGTGCTGCAGAAAAATAATGTCAAAAGGTACTGGTTTAGAAAAATTAAGATTAAAGTTAATTAATCAAACTTTAAGGTATAAAATTCAGTAAGTGTTATTATTAATAAAATAATTTGTTTTATTTATTCCTGTGGAATATTTCAAATTTGTATTTGTACATAAGTTATATTGATAAATATAATAAAAGTAAAAAGTAAGAAATAGTTATTTTTTATATTTTTTGGTATACGGTGTTTTGTTCTTGTTTGCTTTGTATTAACACATACCGTTTTTTTTAATAAAATAACTCTTTTATAACATTTTTTCAATTTTATACAGTTTTTTTTCACAATATTTTGAAGTAATCACTTGTCACTCAAATTTTAAATATATTAATTTTCTGCTATGCGTTTCAATTATGCCAACTTATTTCTTTCTAAAATAAAACAAACTACTTTGAAATTAAAATGACAGACACATCTATCACTGCCAAGGATCTTGTCATTGGGCAGACTATACAATATTTATGTCTTTTTATCAACTTACCGTTGCTAAGCTTCCGGCTGGCCCAATACACACTTCCAGGCTCAAGTCGTCAAATAATTCGGACAAAAGTGCCAGAGCTCGTGTAGATAAAGCTACACTTAATACTCCAAAGCTTTGCTGAAACTTTTGTAGACCGGATCTGGCAGGTCCGGCACTTCCCGATGAATTAGCAGCACTTGCTTCCCTGTTCTATACACAAAAAGAAACATATAGTTAAATTGATATAGTAGAAAAAACATCTAAGAAGCAAATATTACCTGTCCTTGCTTGCTAGGGCTGGGTCGGCCCTTCTCAACTTGTTCCCTATCTCTGGATGATGGTTTATCAGTGGTAGGACCGCTGGTAGTTTGGACAAGGTGGGTTTGTAATCCGGAAACTAGAACCCAGGCGCCGGCAAGTAGATAGTTTTGATATACCTATACAAAAAAACGACGATAGGTTACCAGATGATCACCAAAAAAACAGCAGATGGCGTTACGGGTCGTCACGCACGGTACCAATATTAAAATATTCAGAAATGCTTCTTCGATGTATACAGGGTCGCTTTTATGTATGGAAACGGTCGATTATTACGTAAAATATAGGAGGTACCACAAAAAGTTAAATATAAAATGGGTTTATAAATATCTATTAGCGGGTAATAAATTTAAGTATACAGGGTCGGTCCTAAAGTCGTGGCATATCTATAATATATGCTAACTTGATACTAACTCTATAATGCTAAGTTGAGAACTAATGTCAAATATTATTAAGTATCACAGTTTCGGCAAAATGACATCGTTAAATCAAACCAAACACATCGAAATTAATTAAATCGAATTGTTTAAGTGATATTTTCAAAAGTTAATAACTCGGAAACGGTTGCTTTGAGGTACATTGTGTATATTTCGATTTTTGCTTAGAATTGAAGAAAGTTGAAATATGTAATAATATACAGTGGGTTCTATTTAGAAAAATGAAACTTTGATATGCCACGACTTTATGAACAATCCTGTATACTTAAATTTACTAGTAGCTAATAGATATTTAAAAATCCTATAACTTTTGTATTTAACTTTTTGCGGTACCTCCTATATTTTACCTAATAATCGACCGTTTCCATACATAAAAGCGACCCTGTATAATATGTTCAATACAATTAAAAAAATACTTGTAACTAATGTATTAGTACTTCAAAAATTACTAAAATATAATGTATCTTACATGTCCACCAGCTCTGGTTGATCCCTTTATTACAGTCCCTATATACATATACATATTCAACGCCTCTTCAACCAATTTCACTGCATTGGCATCTAAATCTTCTTCTTTCAAATTTGCAGCCTGTGCCTTAAAACATATATGAAAAAATAATTAATTTTTTAATCATAAATTCAGCTGTATACCTGTTGTCCTCCGCATTTTGGTGAGACCATATTTGCTGCGGCCAGACAGGCACTAGCCGACGATTGCGCTATGGCACAGTAGAGCGTAGCCATAGCTAAACTGCACAATTTTTCTAATTTTGTGGGGTTGAGGGGTTCCAAAACAGGAAGATTAATTGCCGAGATGGTTAAGGATATTTCTGAGACAGTTTGGGGAAGACTAAAAGCAAATTCGATTTAAAAAATACCAGTAGTAAACATAACAATTTTCGTGGCCTACGTGATGATAGAGGCCTCAGACGACGATTCATAACGTCACAAAAGTAGGCTTATTATAAAGCGGTCCAGAATGTTCAGCCATCGTTCAATGTCACGTCTTGTATTGTCGAACTCTCTCAATCACTTGAATCAACAAGATGAAAGAGATTGGGGACGCTATTACGGCATTTCGTAAATTAAATCATCAAAATATAAGTCATTTACGGCGTAGAAAGCCTTGTCTAGTAAATAAGATTTCAATGCTTTGCGAAATGAAGAAAATTATTTTATGGATTTGATTTCAAATGGCAGGTGATAGTGCATTTTTTTCGAGTTGTATAATATTGAACTTTTAACTAACTCTGAGCGTGGGGTAGGTAGATAAAGATCTTGCTCCGCATTCCTGAGTGGATAAGTGTGAGGTGGCCTTTCTTGAGAAGCTGATACATGCTTACGTATTAGGCAAACGGATTCAAATATAAATAAGGAAGGAAGAGTTAATATTTTTAATTTTTTAAAAAAGTCCTGGCAATGAGTTCTGCTGTTTAGTTCCAGTGAATATCGAACAGCTCTCTTCTGGAGCTTGAAAATGCGGTCAAATTGAGTCGCACAACACGTACCCCAAAATGGAAGGGCACATCTGAGGTGCGACTCAAAAAGTGCATAATAAACAGTTCTAGCCACTGACAAGTTAAGCTTCATAGAAACAGATCTTAATGCAAAAACAGGCAGAGTTCAATTTTTTCGACAAAGTGTCGATATGCATGTCCCATTTCAGAGAATTGTCTACAACAAGCCCTAAGAATTTTACAGATTTTACGACGTCAATGGTGGTGTTGTTAAGTACAAAAGGCTGCAGCGAGTTTTTATACGACAAAGCTTTAGTTTTAGAAATGTTGAGACTCAGGAGGTTCGAATTGCACCAAGATTTAATGGTGATTAAGTCATTTGATATAATCCTATGAAGTGTCGTCACGTCCTTGTTACTCCAAGTAAAGCTAGTGTCGTCCGCAAAAAGACATATTTTACCACTGATGTTTGTGTTAGTTTGTGATAACCCCTAGATTTGGGGTTATAATTTTATTAACGGATATCGATCAATGTCAAAATTAAAATGATTGTTGCTGTAAAACAAAATTTTTTTTATTGCAAAAATACCTCAAATATTTAACCAAAACTTACAAAAGCTCATTGCTGAGCTTATAAATTATTTTCTCGAGAAAGAGACGCTGGTAGTAACGACGCTCTTGCCCGTGGACGACGTATATGAAGCACAATGCAAAGGTATAATATTCCTATGTAAAATACAAATTGATAACGTTTTTAAATAATATAGCGAGTTGCTGATGCTTTAGAAATAGGAATTTAAACAGTCCAAAGGATTGTAACTGATGAAGAGTTGAAAGAAAAAATGAATAAATGCCGAAAAAAAACGGAACTCGCTCAATCCATAATATAGGAACGTACTTAAAATTTTCTAAACAATATCATTGATCTCAGACACCCTAAAACTAATATAAATAATGATGACGTCACGGTAGAGGTGTGCAGTTCGTGAACGAACTAGTTTCAATGAACTATTCCGACCCCGGAATGAAAGGAACTAGTTCTTGGTTTCTCAAAGAACTAGTTCCTCAGGACCTATTCCGGGATCGAGACTGTGACCGATATAGAATAATATGCGACGGATCGGCTAACGCGCGTAGCCCGATGGTAGGCAGGAGTGGGGAGTGCCAGCCGTACGATATCGGATCCGGACCTATAGGAACTAAACTAAATAAAAGACTAGTTTCTAGTTTACATACGAGCGGATCGGGCCAGCGCGATCGATGCTAGGCAGGAGTGGGGAGTGCCAGCCGTACGCCGTATGTTATCGGATCCGGACCTAAAGGAACTAGAGGAACTAAATAAAAGACTAGTTTACGTATGGATCAGCCAGCGCGATTGATGCTAGGCAGGCGTGGGGAGTGCCAACCGTATGTTATCGGATCCGGACATAGAGGAACTATTAAAAGACAAGTTCACGGGAATCTATTCAGTCGGCAGATCCGAGATATAATACAAGGCGACGACGATGGATTCGGCCTTGTCTATTGCCACAGAAAATTGTCGTGGATACTGTTTTTGATTTTTAGTTTGTTTTTTAAATATTTTATGGGAATGTTTCACGTTAGGTCCCTAAAATTAAGAAATATCTTATAAAACGAAGTAGATATTCTGAATTTTTAAACAAAAACAAAAAGCTTGAAGTGAGGAAAAATGCATTTTTTCGTAAATTTTTTGTAATATTTGCTCTAATTGATTTGTGATATAGTTTTTTAAATTCTGATTTGAGTTTTTTTATTTTTTTGCAATAAAACTTACCTATATGTTTTTAACATACACAATTACACATCTCATTATATCTCCGTACATTATAAAAATTATACAGATCATATTGTGAATAGTTCTGACTGACAACGAACGCATTAGCAAGCAAGGGGGATGTCAATGTTAGTCGGGAGCTATTGTGAACTAAAGACTTAGTTCAAGGAACTATTCCTTTGGAGGAACTAGAACTAAGGAACTAGTTCCTCCCAAGGAATTAGAATTCCCACCTCTACGTCACGGTGAACGATGCTTGAACAGCCTTTAGTTACAGTGTGTACTAGAAGTACATTTGGGCCTATGTATCGCAAATATGTTATAAAAATTCACCTACCTGTTTCTGTGGGCTAATGCCTCCGCATGATTGGAAGGTATACTAAAAGGTCTGCCGGCCAGTGCTTCTTCAACTTTTAACTTTGACTTTTTAATAGTTGGTAAATTAAGGCATAAATCGATAAGAGTATCGCCCGCTCTAAGGGACTGTAAATTTTCCGTATTCGTTCGTAAAAATAATCTCTGTAAATGACAAATGACCTCAATAATTTTATATATTGCCACAAAATAAAAAATAGGAATTAATTTTCAAAAATAGGATCAACTTACGGTTATTTCGGCGGTAGGATCAGATTCGCCAGCATTTTCTGTAAGGGCTTGCGCACTAGATAGAATGTCCTGGTTCGAATGCGGACTGTCGCGTATTGGTAAGGTGAGTCTTTCGAAGATAGCTACAGAGAGATCGGGACGGTTTTTTGACGTCTCCTGTTTAATACTAATCTCTTTTTCACTGCCTAAAATACGAAAATTACTCAAGCTTAATGGTTTATGCTTCCAATATTAACATTAAACATGATAAGACATTAGTCCTAACGGGTCCTAAGAGATATAAGATATTTTATATTATTAAGGTGCGTCCACATTGCTCATGATCCTGCTCGCGCTCTTGCTTCTGATTGTGCTTGCGTTGCTTGCGCTTCCTGTTTGTCGTGTTTCTCAAGATCTTTCGGATCGCAAGCAACGGCGCCCACATTGTAATGCAGTGTTTGCGTTCGTGCTATTCGGACATGGATGATACCGAAGTATTTTTAATAGCGGCTGCTAGTGCGATCATTATTGCAAAACGAAGGGGACAAAGAAAAAAAAGGCGGTGTTGGATGTTTAATAATTTCAAAAGTAGATCCCAGCACAGTGAAAGTAAACATCTTCGTGATTTACAAACAGACAGAATATTTTTTAATATTTTTCATCGCATGTCCGCTACTGATTTTGAAAGACTTATTAACTCAGTTGGCCCCCGTATAGAAAGAAAAAATATAACTTTAAGGAAGTGTATTCCGGTTAAAGAAAGAGTTAAATAAAGATTGCCCATAACATTAAGATTTCTTGCAACTAGAGACTCACTACCAGTTTCGGTTATTTATTCAAAGTTTCCAAGCAAAGCATTTCAAAAATAATACCAGGCGTATGCCAAAATATAAATAAAGTTCCCAAAGATCATATATTTTAATAAAGGTATATTTAATATTATTAATCCAAGAACACACAAATATTTGTAATTCCGAACAAAATAAAATAAAAAAAATCATGGTAGTATCATCGTACTGCAGTAAATACCGAATCCTATTTATGAAACCAAACTAAAAACTTAACAAACAACGCAAACAACTCGAGCGCTTCGAACCTTGCTCGCATGGCTGCGAAGCGTCTCTTTCATGTACCGCGACAGAGCCGAACAGTCGAAACATGCATTTTATGATCATTTTATGAGATCGCAAGCACGTGGAGCACCGCGAGCGCCGCGAACATCTCGCTCCGACTGTTTGCCATGTTTCTCATGTTTCACGTGCTCGCGAGCTATGTGGACGCAGCTTTAGGGCTTACGCTAATACAAAATTGAAAAACTTTTGAGTGCCGCTTGTTCAGTTTCCGAAAATTTGTTTACAGTGCCTCGAGAGAATGCAATGTTGCCACCTCCTACGTTCTCGACATTCTGTATATTTATAAGTTCACATTTTTAAATTTCTACAAAAAAATATACTTAAATTAATTTTATTCACTGTATATTTATTAATCTTTGTAGATTACTATTAAGTATAGCGCACCGTCTACTATATTTTAAATACCTTTTTTTACAGTTTAGTAAACTGAAATAATGAACAATTATAGCAGCTTTTCAACGGTTCAGAATCAGCGCCCTCTATTAGATATGTAAATAGTCAACCTTTGACCTACATTTAAATAGATCAGCAGATGGAATTTTTAGGTTATACAATTCATTTGAGATTTTACTCAAAACAGTAAACCTCTGACAAAAGTAAAAAAAGACAAATGTAAGGTAAGCTTAGCGGTAATACTTTTATTATTTAAATAGAAATATCAATTATTTTGGTGTTTGTTCACAAAACCAAGAGTGTGAGATAGAAAAACAAAGTTTAAATTCTCAAAAAATGATCCTAAATAATTTAGGTGGCATATAAATGTATTTTGTACCAAATACACCATGAAGTGTAGTGCTGTCACGAACCGCAATAAAATGAAGTGTTGTTGAATAAAAATAATTGCATCAATCTGCTATCTATCAGAGTCCTGTTTTCTAATGTTAGGTAAGTTTTTTACTTTTAATCTGAATTTTCCAAGTCGTTTCTAAATCTAGTCGATGTGTCAACACTGCACGTCAAGCAAGTTGAGATTATCTGTTCTGATTATCAATTGCTGCAGGCGGCTCTCAAAATGTTACCATTATTTTTTTTAAATTTTTAAAGTTAAATAACTCAGTTATTATCAATTTATTTTACAAATGGTAAAGAGAAAATATGTCTCTTTTGGCCAGATCTACAACCCCTTAAAATAATTGCACTTATTTCAGGGACGCCCTGTATAGACATTTAGTAAGCGACAATGTAACAACACTGGAGTTAGTTCATAAATTCGCCCTCAAATTTAAAACTTTACACTAATCCCCACTCCAAAAAGCAAAAAGTGTCTTTCAAGTCTTCCAGTTTAGTATTTACCAAAAGGAAAAAGGATATATTGGGGAAAACAGATAAATAACCAAACAAAACTAATTAACTGTTAAAGAAATGTTTACCAGGAGAAGTATTGGTTTGTTGTGGTAAATTTTCTCCCTTCATTGTATCGACTAGACTAGAAACTTCCGTAGTGCTCAGTAATCCCGTGCCTATGCACAAAACCCTTATCGCATTCAGATAGCGCTCTATGGCGGCACTATCTTGATACTGTTCACTTCCCGCATTCTGCAGTGCATTCAGAAGGTATTTCAACAGAACGCGACATGCTGCACTGGCTGTTTCCAGTTGTGTTCCTGACACTAAAAAAAATCAGATCAAATTAGTTAAATTAAACCTTTATACTTGGGTAGGTATAATGACATAGATTTTTTTATAACCTATAATACTGTATTGTGTATTTTATTTAATGACGCAAATTGTGTGCATAGAATTCTTGGCACCCACACCTATATACTGGACTGATCAATCGTTGAATAGATGATGTTATGCAGTGCTTAGTGAAGATGATAATTGTTACACTAGAAACTTACATTTTGATATACTGCTACTAATATAATCAGCGGCTAATACGGTGAATGTATTGTAGAAGTTCTTGTGGCTTTCTTTATGCCTCCAAATCTCAGATTCGCTAAAAATCAAAGGGAAAAAAAGGTCAATAAAAATATACAAAAAATTCGTCTCCTGTCAGAACGAGTATAAACTGATTTTATTCGGATACCCTTTTAACAAGTAATTTAAGGTGAAATACCTCTTTACAATTGTAGAACATAGCTCTATCAGTTCTGTAGTATTGGAACTTTCATAATTCGGTGATAGAAACGGTTTCAAAACAAGAGACCAATCGACTCCGCCACTGCTTGCTGCCATTACTTCGACCATTTGTAAATTTGTGGAAAAATGACAAACATGACAAATATTTTTTCAGGATGACTTTTCTAGTCTAGAAATTTCGATTAATAATTTGACAGATGCCCATATTTGGAGCGTCCATGGTTAACTTTCAATGACGTCATAACGTGTTCTTTAGGAATTTATTGTTCCAAAATGTATTCAAAGAAAATATCTTAACAAGAATTTACTTAAATTAAACAAAAATAAACCCAAATGGCCTTCCAAAATAATGTATAAGAGAAATCTAAACTCATTACCGTTCTGTTTCAGTGTTCTCACATACCAAGAAAAACCGATTTACCAATCGAAACGTCTTTTTCTAGTATAGAGAATTTTGACAATGACATTTAAAGACACTGCGATTTTGCATTTTTGACAGAAATCATAAAATTTTTGTATGGTTCTTCACTTTTGTAGATAGAAATTTATCAATGTTGTTGATGTTTACGAGTACCAAGTGCGTACCGCGTATGACTTGTACTTATAATTAGCTGGTTTTACATAAGAGTACCCACTTTAGAAATAATTAACAGCCGAATATGCCACAATAATGCAATCTATTCCAAAGGTTGTGTCGATTCAAATGATATAATTTTTAAACAAGTATGTATTATATTTTTATTATGTATTGAGACTGTTTTAGAGTTATTATTTCCAGTTATAATGTTTGTTATTTTGTTATGAATGATATTTAGAAATAATGCAATGTAATATATTTGTTTAAATTTACTTGTATAAGCAACTATTGGATATTTATTATTAATTGTAGAATGGCTACAGCCTTTATACCCGAAACCAACGACGAACTGTGGAGAGAGTGTGCCTCCTGGCTTACGAGATGGGAAATATTGAGGCACGATCATAAAGCTAACTGGCCCGACAGTAAAATTGCTGATCTTGCCAGTATACTTCGAGACGGTGTATTGCTGTGCAGGCTGGTAAATAAAATCGACCCAGGCTGCATAGACATGAAGGAGGTGAATTTAAAACCTACAATGGCTCAAGTAAGTTTTAGTGATAAGATGTGAACCATGACATGAACCTGATAAATATTCAGGATGTTCATTTAATTTTACTGTTGATTTCTTTCAATTTCTGCTTAATCTTTCAGAAACAAATCTATATAATATTTTCTATCTATGTTGAGTTACCTAAGTTAGATTGTCCTTAAAATTCGAGTTCTAAATAGTATACCTATGCATGGTTTGCATCAATAATTGCTTAGATATTTTTTAAGTGTGGCTAATGATTCTGCAATTAGCACCCATTTGTAATATATTTACTCATATTTTTTTAAGATAATTTGAAATAAGTATTAACAATAAACATAAATTTTCTCTTATACCTATGTTTCTAAAACAGTTATTTTTTATTTGCAATCGTTATAGTTTTGTATTGTAGTTTGAATATTTTATAAGAACTATAAATAAGTTATAAACAGCTGCTACAGTCAACCAGGTCACTTTATATTTTTTTTCTTTTGTATTGTATTCAATCAATTAACTGATACCAATACATAAATATTAATAAACAATCATTTAAAATTTTATTACTAATAAAATTAATTATTTAAAGATCTCAAACAGATGGTATTTAGTTCCTCAGTCTTTGAATTGTTTATGTGGTCATTTCAATACAATCTATACATGCATTTTGTAGTATTTTTAAGTCATATCTAGTACTTAATACCACTATACAGGGTGTCCGGAAATTAATGCAACAAAATTTGGTCATAGATTCTTGAGAAAAAAACAGGTGACCCTTATTTTTTATTTTTGGCGGGTGGCCCCCCTTTTCGGATTTACAGCCCCCTGAATTTCGCCCCTAAAAAGAGTTTTTTTTTAATATCTCAGGGCCCTGTTAGACGAAAATCACTAAATTTGGTACACGTTGTTTTACTATAAAATGACATTTTTTGACGCTATTATTTTTTTTATTTTCATCAGTGGCGTCCCTACGGTATTTAAACTAAATATTATTGAAGAAAAAAATGGTACGCCACTGTTTTTTTTTAAATAAAAATTATTTTTAAAATCTACATTAAATTTGGAACAAATTTGATCTCTTTACTTTTTTTTTGATGAAAATAAAAAAAGTCAATAGCTACAAAAAATGTCATTTTATGGTAAAACAACGCGTATCAAATTTAGCGATTTTCGTCCAACAGGGCCCTGAGATATTAAAAAAAAATTCGTTTTAGGGGCGAAATTCAGGGGGCTGTAAATCCGAATAGCGGGGCCACTCGCCAAAAATAAAAAATACGGGTCACGTATTTTTCTCAAGAATCCAAGAATGACCAAATTTTGTTGCATTAATTTCCGGACACTCTGTATAGAGTAGGGTATTTTTTTTTCACATACTCTGAAAAAAGGTTGGTAGACACCTCAAAAAAATCTCTCAAAGTATGAGCTCTTAATTTTATTAGGAAGGTCATCCGCCTTTCAGTTTTATATTTTTTCCGTATTATTAGAAAGAAAAATTCATATCTCGGTGTCTACTGTTTGAAAAAATATTTCGTTTAATTCCTATTAAAATTAAGAGCTCATACTTGGAGAGAATTTTTTTGAGGCGTCTACCAACCTTTTTTCACGAAAAAAACGGCGTCAGAGATGGCTGGGGAGCGACGATCGATGATTATTTTGGCGAGGTCAAGCCCTTAATGTCATTACTTGGCCCGCACTCTTATCTTTTAATGGCGCTTGCTGCCAGTTGTTCCTATTTTAATCTTTCGATAATCAGTGTTAATTTTTGACAAGTTTTATGTCAATTTTTAAATAAGGACATCTAGAGATTGACCTGGCCAAAATTATCATCGATTGTCATTCCCCAGCCTTCCTTGACGCCGTTTTTTTTTCAATCATACGGTATTATCTGTGGTATTATTATTGTTTCATTTCAAGAATTTTGTTACCATGACAAGTAAAGTCTTTGATGCTTATAAAGTTTGAATATTTGTCATGGTAACGGTTTTCTTTACATGAAACTATAATAATTGTTTCATTATAAGCAGGAGTAGCGACAGTCCCGTTTTCAATTTTCTTTGCGGCTGCGCGAAATAAGTAGTTTGTCTGTCATATGAAGAAGCGAAGTTGCCACTGTTGCCATTTATCAAGTATCTCTATATACTTTATTTCAAGTATGCCTCAGGCAACGAATCGTTTTTTTAATTATTTATTAGCTGTAAGATATTTTATACATTCAAATTTAGAAATAAGGATAAAACAAAACAAAAAAATAAGTATAAAACTTTATAATTAATTCCACTTCAAATTATGAGCAGTGTATACCATGTTTATAGGATCATTTTATAAGTTGAGCAGTTAAGTACGTAGTCTATCTGTCAAACACGTCAAACGAGAGAGAAAGAAAATTTGGTCCCACCACATCAAAAGAGCCGACGCCGACGGTTTCTGTCGCTACTCGGCGATCTACTTACTCTGTTATAAGCTTATATTTATTATAAGCCAACTTGACACTGTTTTTTTTTATCATATACCTAGTATACTCAAAACTATTTTAGTCAATATTGGTAGTTGAATTAAGCCATATATTATTTTAGGATATGGAGTGATAATTTTTCTGTTTAAAACTATTTTTTTTTGTTCCAGTTTTTATGTCTACGCAATATTAACTTGTTTTTGAAAACCTGCAAAGAAAATTTCGGGATTTCGGATTGCTTTGAGGATACAATGTTATTTGACTTGACTAACTTTCATAAAGTTCTTTGCACATTGTCCAAATTATCGTTATGTCCAAAAGCTTTGAGTAGTGATATTGAGTAAGTATTAAAAATAGTATAGTTTACAAAAGAAGACGTTATTGAGTATAATTCCACCAAAATATAAAATTTAAAAAGTTCTTAGTTAGTGTCTATGAAAGCACCTAATCAATCACTTTGTTATAGACTGTTATCTAATCAATTACCTATCAACATTTATAGTGACTGCATCAATATTGGACATCTTTATTTTTATAATAATCATAATGACTTGGCAATTGCACACCTACATATTCTACTAATTAAAATACTTTATTTTTTAGTGCACTGTTTAGATTTCGTTACTAATCGAAATAGATTATTTTATTATTATAATACCGTGCGAGCGCCAAGTCATTATAATTATTATAAAAAAATTATTAGAAGTAAAGATGAAAAATTGTAAAAATATTCTGACACAATGGTTATCTTTTGTAAACAAATATATTGTTTTCTATTTTTATTGATATTTATTTATTATTATTTTTTAAATACATAAATATATTATTTTTGTAGGGGATTTTCTTCACAAAAGCTAAAAACAAGAGAGGAAGATGTAATATATCAAAGTTTAAAATCTGTGTAAGTACCTAAAATATAAACAAAACAACAAAGTATGAGTTCATATTATTGCGAAATGTATGTAAATATCAATTTTAAGCTTCTTGATTGACAATCAGGAAATTCACAATGATTTTGAATTCTTCGTAAATTCTATGACCTTATTACTTTGAATAAAAAGATTTAGGAAAAGGAATATAAATATTTTAATTAAGCAGCCATATATTTTTCCCCATCGCGAGGGAAACATAAGTTTGTTGATATGCTACTTTTCCTTAGTATTTTTATTCATAGCTTTATTATAATAGGTATAATAAGACATTTACTATGTATTTAACAGAACTTTAACATCATCGCATTCAAATGGCAATTCAGATAGTCATTGGCAAATGTTTACCATTCCTTGTCCTCGAATAGAGACTAAAGAAGAAATTTACGACGATTTGTGCTACGTCACTTTTCAAACATCACTGCCGGAGGTTAGGTTTTTAAAATTTGACAAAATCGTATTATTTTTTTCGCAATTTTAGTATTTTTTTGCCTTGGTTTTGTTTATTTCTCCGCCATTTAAACAACCAATACATATATTATTAAATGTTTACAAAAAAACAAGTGGAATTATTCATCCTAATAGACAAAAGGTTTATTATAAAATTAAGTAATGTTATGATGTAATTTTCGTATATTTTGAGAAAAGCTATTTAGAACATTTCTTGTAATTTAATTAAATAAATTACGCTTGGATAATAATGGTTTAAGTAAACAAACCTACATAGAAAACGGCGCCCAGTTTTATTTCAAAGCCATCGCTGACGCCGTTTTATCGCCATCATATACTTGTATCAGTTTGGTTCAGAAGTATTTTTTTCAACGCAAAAAATGAAAATAAGGTTATGAATTTTATGACAGTTTCCAGAGTTGTCCTTAATGATGTTTAATTTGTTGTTGCGATTTGGCGCTAATATTTTGGAAATTTTGTGCTCTATTTAACTGTGCGAAGAGAAATATAGCCTCCTATTTAAATTTTTTACGCAAAAGCGCAATATCTGTTATGATGTCAAACAGCGCCCTCTAGCTACCACGAAGAAAATTGTGGAAACAAAATTTATAATGGAGATGATTAAGGAAGAAAAGCTCTTTTAAACCAGCCCTAGTTTGTTTAAATCGCATAACCTAAATCAGAGTTATCCTTATTTTAATAAAAGCAAATTTAACCTTCCCCCACCACTTTATTTTATGAGATACAGCAAAATACTTTATATCAAAAAAATTACAAATTACTTGATGATTACAATAGTAATATTTAAAGTACCTGTTCACCTGCATATTTTTGAGAAAAACCCTGTTTTCTGATTGGCTACTAGAGAAACGTTCCCTAGCGGGCATTTTTCGAACTTGAAAATAATTTCCAGCGTTTCCTCTTGGTCGATTTACTCATTAAAATTTGTTTTCCAAAGTTATACGATAAGTAGTTTCTGAGATATAGCCGGCGTCCATTCTTAGTTGGCCACCCGGTACTTTTTCAACCATATGAAATTGTACTTGTTGCCTCAGATATTAAAAAGATGATAATTGATTTTTAATTATTGACTGAGACTAATACAATAATATATTTTGTTAAGCAGTGATTAAACACTCCAATTCAAATGAAAAAAAAATTGGTAAAATGTTTCCAAATGAATTGTCCAATATTTTGTACAAAATTAATATGAAGTTGTGCACTGCATAAGACTTGTCGTAATTATGCATTATCCATGTAACTATATACAATCTAGGGATCGTATGTCTTGAAAATGAATTAATTAATGTACTAAACAATAATTTTAGGTATTTAAAAATATATATTTTGTTATTTACATGACTTATAAGGTATTCTTTAAATAATTACCTACGCGATGAACATAAAATATTTTTCAAATCGCTCAAATTTTGCTCGAAATATACAATTTTAACATTATTCTTTCATATTAAAAAATGTACTAAATATAGTACAAAAATATTAGGTAACGCCATCCCTTGGCTTAACTGAAAAAATATGATTTTCCATTTAAAAATATGTGTATTGTTTATTATTTTTTAACATAATTGTTTCTTTGATTTTTGCATGTATTTTCTTTTATTTTGCTAGTCAACCAGTGCATAGAGGCTTAGAAATTATCGAAAGCGATTGTGGAATATCACACGAAGAGATCTATCAAGATTTGCTTGTAGTGCGCTCTAGTATTGAGGTATTTTGATTTAATCTTATATAGTCTGTCCAACGAGAGAATACATAACAGTGATAGTTGTTTTCTGTCATTTTAATTCAGAGACAAATTGAAATTTCTGTCTGAAATATTCTCTGGCTTGTTGGCCAGACTTTAGGTAATTTTAATATTAATATTATGTGTCATAAATATCAAATTTTAGCAACCCCAACCCTTAGAAAAACGAGACTTTGTAATAAAGGAGTTACTAGACACTGAGAAGAATTATGTAGACGTCTTGAGCAAGTTAAAAAATAGTTTTATGATCCCCCTGTGTAACTTGATGAGGTCCGAGGAGCATAGTGTTGTTTTTCATAAAATTAAGGTAAGAAATATTTACTTATACAGGGTTTTACAAAAAACATGTGCCATCTCTCGTGGAGATTTATTTTTCATATCAACATAGGTCCGATTCTGCTTAGTTTCGTAGCTACAGGGTGTTAAAATCTTAATATTTAGCGTTTTGAATAAAATCTTGAGAGTAAAAGTTACTATAAATGCGATATATTTTAATGTTAAAAAAGCGTCGACATATTCACCAGTGACGTGCATATGGGTTATCACTGGAGTATTTAAAGCATGTACGCCACTGCCTTTTTTTTCTCTTGTTAGCGAAATAGTGTAAGCAGTTTAATGCCGATCAATAATTAAGTTGTCTCTATATTTTTGTCTATTTCGGCCTCCTTGATGAGATAAACGCAATTTTATTAATTCGCCTTGATCCAAGTCTAATGCAACCTTTTTAACACCCTGTAGCTACGAAACAAAGCAGAATCTGACCTATGTCGATACGAAAAATAAATCTTATTTTTACGTGAGGAATCTCCCCACGAGAGTAGGGCTGCACCGAGTACCGAGTAGTTCAGTGCTCGGCCAGAATTTTAACCGAGTAATATGTACTCGGTGCTCGGCCTTACTCGGCCGGGTAGGCCGAGTAAAGTATAGTAATAGAAACAGTCCGTTTATGCATGTCCAAAACAGAAAGAAATGAGACTCACAGTGGCAAATAATAAAATAAACAAAAAGTTATTCATTCATAACTTTAATTAATGTATTTTAGCAAAGTAATAATAATAAGTATAAGTAATAACACAGAGTGAAATAATAATTTAATACTTATGATCTAAAAGAGGTCAGCACTGTCACTTATTTTAATATATCTTTAAAGGGTATTATTAATTGTTTGAATTATTTTTCAATTTTAAATTAGTTATACATATAAGTTTTGCTTAAAACAAAATCAACGTCGCCACCGCACCTTGAAAGAGTCAATTCAGAATCCAGCATATTAGAAATATCAGTTTGCATGGAGAACCACAGAACAAAACAATATCTCCATAAGTAAATCAAACCAGGTCATTGGTTTGTAGTCGGGGAATCCCAGCCGCTCGCCAATCATAGGCAAAACAAACAAGGTCATTGGTTTAAGGCCGGGGAATTCCGGGAATTTTAACTAGCTTTCTTTAATGTTAAATTATATATTTATATTTATATTATGTATAAAATATAATATTATTATGTTATGGTGTATAGTATAATTAGTATATATTGATAAAGGACGCATAACTGTTAAAACTATTAAAAACCCGACAATTCCACTACTCGGCAGCTGAGTACTAGGTACTCGGCCATTACCTTTAGCCGGGTACTCGGTACTCGGTCAAGTTAAAAAACAGGGCTCGTTACAGCCCTACACGAGAGATGGCACATGTGTTTTGAATCACCCTGTATATTCAGTAAATGAATAAATGACAGTTACAGCTTCCTATTAGCACAGAATATCTAGCTACGCAACAGAAAAATACTCGAAATGAAAGAGCTAAAATTGCACAAATAGAATACTAGATGGCGCGACAATGTCATAATCAGAATATAATTAGAAATTTTGAACTTTCCGTTTTGGATCGACGGCTCGTCGACTGCCTTGTAGCTCGGCTAAATATGCACAGTTGCCGGATTCAAAAAGACTTGAATTGGCATCCCATTCTTTTTACAGTGTATAATTAATGCAGTATGTGTTTCTTTCTATTCTTCTTTTCTTGTCAGATACACTTATATTAATTATACCTTTGGCTATTAAAATAGTTTTAAGTATATTATTACAAAACATATACATTTTTAATATACACTATACCTTATAATGTTAACTAAGGAAATACCTTTAATTACCTTTAAAATTAATAATATACAGGGCGATTGAGAGTGATATTTATTAATGCTGGAACGTTAGTAATGAAATATAAGTTTAATAATAATGGAAATAATTTACTAAAATGCAGTACAAAAAATGTTAACTGACTAAAAAATACTTTAATAACAAATTTCTTCCGTTTGCCACGTTATTTATATAGACCTAGGTAGATTTTAAAAAGTGACACAGGTACAATTAATAATATATTAGTTCGGCATAAAAGTTGCTGTCACGACATCGAACAATAAATTAAAATTCGTAAAATAAATTAAAATTATTAATTAAACAAATCTTTATAAAGAAACGCAAGTATACCAAATTTGGCCCAATCGAACTCCAGGAAATAATATCATAATAGTGTACTATATTATGGTACCACTTGATATGCTTTAAGGTACCATAATATTGCAATGTCACCGAAGATCCGTAGTAGGTATACCAAATTTAAGAACAATCGAACGCCATGAAATGGTATCGTAATATGGTACTATATTACGGTACCACTTTATATGCATCATAGTACCATCATATTACAATGTAACCGAAGATACGTAGTATACCAAGTTTAAGCCCAATCGAACGCCAGGAAATGGTATCGTAATATGGTACCTCTTGGTACTCCATGGTACCATAATATTACAATATTACCGAAGATACGTAGTATCCCAAATTTAAGCCCAATCGAACGCCATGTACATAATATGGTACTATATTATAGTACCAGTTGATATGCTTCATGGTACCATAATAATGCAATGTCATCAAAAATACGCAAGTATATATCAAATATGAGCTCAATCGAACGTCAGGAAATGGTATTGAAATATGGCACTATTTTAAGGTACCACTTTATATGCATCATAGTACCATCATATTACAATGTCACCGAAAATACGTAGTATAACAAGTTTAAGCCCTATTGCCGCCATGTACCTAATATTGCTATTTCATCAAATATGGTACTATAGAAAATACCACTTTATATGCTCCATGGTACCATGATATTACAATGTCACTGAAGATATAGTATATCAAGTTTAAGCCCAATCGAACGCCATGTATCGTAATATGGTACTATATTATGGTATCACTTGATATGCTTCATGGTACCATAATATTGTAATGTCATGAAAAATAGTATATATCAAATACCGTATGATACCGAAAAAAACGGCGTCCAGTTGGCTGGAAAAGGACGATCGATGACATTTTCCATATAAATTAATATATAAAATGACAGCAATATTCATTACATAGCCATCGCTAACGCCGTTTTTTCCCGATTATACGATATGAACATGGTATGAACACAATCGAACGTCTGCACAAGCTTCCTCCACACAGGTGAGGCAATACTTATTATATTGTCGCCGAATTACAATAAAAATTCAGGATTCAATTATACAATCAAACGTCAGGAAGTGATTGTAATTTAGCTCATAAAATTTAATTCCAACTAACATGGCAAGTTGAAAAAAACAGCTCTGATCTATTTTAATATGTTTAAATGATGTAGCAAATTTGAAGGTAGGTTTTATCAGGAAGTATTACGATATGAATTACACAATGGCAACACTGCACAAAATTCTTTTAAATTTTGTTTGTAGAAAACTGTTTTCTTTTAAATTTATTGCCCTCTATTATGTAGTAGCGAAACTACCGCATCAAAATATCTGATTTGGAGACAGGCTTTAAAAGCCTGTCTCCTTTTGCTACCTACAATTTTATACATGTAACGAGGCTTCTGTTGCGTAGCTAGATATTCTGTGCTATTAGATAGAATAAAAACACCGCAGTGTGGTCCGGTTTTTTTATTCTCTGCTTACCTTTGGTCTCTGACTATGCGCACTTTCAAGAATATTATACTATAATTTCGTGTTTTATATATTTTAGGAGCTTTATGAAATCCATTCGTCGTTTTTGCACGAACTGACTAGGACGAAAACGAACCCTAACGTTAAACTTTGTAGCGTTTTTTTACAATTTAGAGAGAAATTTTTAATATACGGAAGTTATTGTGCCAATTTGACTAGGGCCACCACGCTTTTGCAGGAACTATGCGATCAGAACGAGGCATTTAATCAGGCTGTCATTGTAAGTATCTTCCTTCTTGTTTAACTTTATTGTGTGGTGTACAGGGTGTCCCAAAATCAAGCCTCATCGTGCATTATGCTTGGTAATTATCTGGAAAATTGGAAGTCGTCCGATTTTTACCAAAGTTGGTATACACCCTATTTTGAGGTCGTAAATTACGAATCTGAAGTTTTTTCTTGGCGGTCTCTTACCGTTTTTCAGAAAAACGGAAATTAATTTCAACATTGAATTTTTCTTTATTTCGGCCCTATAAAGTAATAATTTCACTATATTTTCATTATATTATAGTTTATCTAAAAGCCACACTTGATTGAGGATAGGAAAATGTCCAAAATTTTACTGAAAAACACTTTTCTGAGCAAAATAGCAAAGAAAATTGTGACCAGATGAGGGCCAGATGGAGGTTTGACATTTCATATATCCTTCTTTTTCTCTCCTATGTAATGAGAGAGACAAATTTATTCTAGACCTAATCTAGAAATTTGAAATTTTACAACGTTGCCATATCTTCTATTTTTTCGGGTGATTAGGGATTTTAACTAAATTACCTATTATGAGATCTGACAATAGTTAAATATACCTATATCCACAAAGTTACGCGGAAGAGTTTTGATTGCATTGGTTTTAACTTCTATGCGGAGGGGGTTAATCTTTTTTTGTTATATTATATTAAAAAAATATTAACCCCCACCGCAAAGAAGTTATATAAAGACTATTTATAACCACGAAGTTGCACGAAAGAGTTTTGATTGCATTGGTTTCGACTTCTTTGCGGAGGGGGTTAATCTTTTTTTGATATCATACAACAACAAAAGATTAACACCCTCCGCATGGAAGTTGTAACCAATGCAATCAAAACTCTTTCGTGCAACTTCGTGGTTATAAATAGTCAGATCTCGTTAGTAAAATAGCAGTTATGGGAAGGAGCCGTTCTTCTGGTAACCGCCTTTCGTAATCCCAGAATGACAGAAAAAAACACGCTAAATTTAGGTTTAGCATTGGCAACGTTGCTTTAAATGCCAGAAACACATAACCCAACATTTTCAGATTGTTTACAAATTTATTTTAGCAAATTTTCCTCTATTATGCATAGAATTGGTTAAAAAAGTAACAAAAAATAGTAAAAACATCATTGTTTATTGAATACCTAACAAAATATGTGCTAGAAAACCTTAAAAATATGATAAATTAAGAAAAATTTGATGTTGAAATAATTTTTCGTTTTTCCGAAAAACGGTAAGAGACCGCCAAGAATATATTCATATTCGTAATCTACAACCTCAAAATAGGTATATCAATATAGTATATCAATTTTGGTGAAAATCGGACGATTTCCAGTTTTCCCAATAATTACCTTATGCTTTTTCTTTTACATTCAGAAATACGAAAAAGAAGTTAATAATGGAAGGTTTAAATTAAGAGACGTATTATCAGTACCGATGCAACGAATATTGAAGTACCATTTATTTCTAGAAAAACTAATTGAAAATACCGACGTGGTAAGTATATTAAAAAAAATCTAGTTGCCAGCTTTTTCGCATACGCCGTATAATAATTTTGTATTGTTCAGAACCATGACGAATATGCTGATTTACGAAAATCGAGGGAAGCCATGCTGGATGTAGCCGGTTATATTAACGAGTCCGCCAGGGATGTTGAGCATTTAAACGTGATCAACAATCTCCAAGAAAATATAGTTGAATGGGACCATGATCCGTATTTGAAGTAATACTTGTTTCCGGTTTATTTTGAATGTTTTTTACACAAAATTGTATCGATTTTGTAGGTTATCGGACTATGGAAAGCTAATTAAAGATGCCGAATTGAAAATCAAGGCTCACGACGATCAGAAAACCAGAAATCGATACGTGTTTATTTTCGATAAATCGATATTGATTTGTAAACAGTTAAGGGTAAGTTTTATTTTCACTAATAGCAGCCCCGGATGTACATGTTTTTTTTGAACCGGTGCAGAAACTTGATAGTAGCGCCTCCTTTCTTCAGTGTTTGAAATAAATTACTTAAAAGTTTTCAGTTAAAAAACATTATTTTTTGATAATATGGCAACATAGGTAGTAGATTAAGTTCACATGAAAGAAAACCTAGAAAAGATCCAGTGGTTCTCAAAATTTAAGCAAAAAATCATTTTTTATTTGGAAATTTTTAAAGTAAAATATAGTTATTTTGGACTTATTTGAAAAAAGGTAAAAAAAATATGTTTCTTTTATCGAGATCTACCAGCCCTGAAAATATTTGCACTTATTTAAGACTCATCCTGTATAATGGTTGGCATTTTTCGCCGAACGGGGCAATAAGAAACTTTCGACACTTCATTTGCGTGGTCTGTACTTTAACGCATGCGACAGAGATAAATATAAATGTCCGGTTGACAGACAAAGAGACAGAATAAAAAGCGGCATACAGTGTTGCCGGTTTTTACCTGTGTAGGAAAATGCGTGTAGAAAAAAATAAACTATTTTAAAAACTTCATGTATACTATTGAAATGAAGATAATATATCTAAGCTAAATATAATTTATTACAGCTGTAGTAAAATGAGTAACTAATTATGAAAAATAAAATTTCAGTTCTAGATGCAACATTTTTCATAAACGCCTACTTGTGCGGTTTGAAATTTTGATGCAAAATCCGGCAATACCGCGTAGAAGAAATGTATCAACCGACCTTTTATCTCTTTTTAATACATTTAATTTTCCATTAAGCTGTTTACATCACTGTCATACACGTTAAATTCTAGACCACGCTTTTAAAGGATAAAAAAACATTTTGTTAGTAGATGTAGAAAATAGACGTGGGAATTCTAGTTCCTTGGGAGGAATTAGTTCCTTAGTTCTAGTTCCTCCAGAGGAATAGTTCCTTGAACTAGGTCTTTAGTTCACAATAGTTCCCGACTAACATTGACATCCCCGTTGCTTGCTAATGCGTTTCGTTGTCAGTCAAAACTATTCACAGTATGATCTGTATAATTTTTATAATGTACGAAATATAACGAGACTTGTAATTGTGTATGTTAAAAACATATAGGTAAGTTTTATTGCTGATAAAAAAAAATAAAAAAGAAACTCAAATCAGAGTTTAAAAAACTATATCATAAAGCAAATATTACGAAATTTTTACGAAAAATTGCATTTTTCCTCACTTCAAGCTTTTTGTTTTTGTCTAAAAATCTTCGTTTTATAAGATATTTCTTAATTTTAGGGTTCTAAAGTGAAACATTGCCCTAAAATATTTAAAGAACAAACTAAAAATCAAAAACAGTATCCACGACAATTTTCAGTGGTAATTACGCCGGCTGTGGCAATAGACAAGACCGAATCCGTCGTCGTCGCCTTGTATTATATCTCGGATCTGCCGACTGAATAGATTCCCGTCTTTTAATTAGTTCCTCTAGGTCCGGATCCGATAACATACGGCTGGCACTCCCCACGCCTGCCTAGCATCAATCGCTCTGGCCGATTCGTACGTAAACTAGTCTTTTGTTTAGGTCCGGATCCGATAACGTACGGCTGGCACTCCCCACTCCTGCCTAGCGTCGATCGCGCTGGCCGATCCGTACGTAAACTAGTCTTTTATTTAGTTCCTCTAGGTCCGGGTCCGATAACATACGTCTGGCACTCCCCACTCCTGCCTAGCATCGGGCTACGCGCGCTTGCCGATCCGTCGTCGTCGCATATTATTATATATCGGTCACAGTCTCGATCTCCGAATAGGACCTGAGGAACCAGTTCTTTGAGAAACCAGGAACTAGTTCCTTTCATTCCGGGGTCGGGATAGTTCATTGGAACTAGTTCGTCCACGAAATACACACCTCTAGTAGAAAATAAAAAAAATAATTTTCTTTTTGCAGGGTAACCAGTTCGCCTACCGCGGCATATTAAATATAGTAGAATATCACGTAGAGGAAATACACAACCGTCCCATTTTAAACAAAGACGCCAGATGGTCGTATAATTTTCTACTAGTTAAAAACGAGCGTCAGATGGCCTACACGATTTTCGTAAGATCCTTGGAATTGAAAGAACAAATAATAAAGGCTATAAATGACGCTTTGTAAGTATATTAAAAATAATACAAAATTCGCTAGTTTAGATATAAATATTTTGATCTCTTTTAGGGATAACATCCAGCCTAAGTCCCTAACACTCACTACTCATAATTTTCAACTAAATACCTTTCAAACCCCCGTTCAATGCGGATATTGTTATAAATATCTTAAGGGCCTTATATTTCAAGGGTACGTCTGTATCATATGCAAATTTTCCGTCCATAAGGATTGCATTCAGTTTAGTGGGAAATGTGGAGTTTCAACTACTAGGTATGTATTAAAATACTTGTTTTCCATAGCACCTGTTAAAATTGCCTTATATCTATCAAAAATAGTAGATAAAGTAGTACTTTAACCGCAAGGGTAGATTAAATGATACTTTAACAGCGAGGATAGGTTAAAAACTTTATTTCTTCTTGCACGTCTTTAATTGCTTCCATTTTTGAAAATTTTTCTATTCCTTTTCATAAGTTATTCGGAATTTAAATGGAAGTAGTTTGGATATGGCGTTTGTCGCCTCAGCCTGAATATCTGTTGGTAATTTACTTATTTCGTTTTGAGCAATTTCTGGCTCGAACTCAATCAGCAATCGACATGAAGGAGAATTAAACACAAAACACCATCCTTTAGAACTTCGTCTATCATGTTAAGAAATGAAAGTAAATAATAAAGCGCCTCTCGTGTTTGTTCGCACGCTAAAAATTTCAATTATTGCCTGTATATATTTTTTAAATTTACATTTTTTTAATTGTAAAGTAATATATTACATTTAAATGGAATATATTACTTAACAATTATGTCAATTATAGGATTACAAGCTTGTTTTCTAACATTTTTTAAATAAAATGAATTATAAATTTTCAATATGTATATTTGTCGTAGGTATGAAAAAAGTATATATATAAAATGGACAAACGCTTACTTACATTGCAATAATACTTCCACTTTTCGTTTTGCAATCCAAACGCAATTATTTCTATTTCACAAATAAAAATATCCGACAACACTAAAATCACTGAAACTTCCGCGGCTGACAACGAAAACTGAAAAATATAACGGCACTTTTTGTTTTGGACCTGCATATCAACATAACGCTGTACCATTATGTTTTTGTTTTTAAAATAATATAAAATATCTAATTATAACTTGTAAATTTTAATATTTTAACATGATTTTAACTATTTCTGACATTAACTAACTTTTTGTTATCAAGATGACATTTTAGACGGCAACTGACATATATTTCATAATATTTAAATTTTAAATATGTAAATATAATTTAAATTAATATAATGCAACTTTATACTAAGAAAACATTTATACATTCACAAAATACAACAAAGTATAATAATATAGTTTGAAAACAATGAATATTGAATTAAAATTAAAATTAAAATTAAAAAATTAAACGCGACCCCTTGTGTCAAAATTAGATGATTAAATTTTCGCAATTGTTGCACCATTTGATAACCGGTGGCGCCTCTAGTGTTTGTTCGGGCGGTTGGTCTTTTACTCCCGCTTATGGCCATTAAAGAAAAAGTTCTAAAGGGGGATGTTTTGTGGAATTAAAAAATATTTACTTAAAACTGACAACTAAAGAGACAGCTTTATTTATTTGTCAAATTACATAGAAACCAACGCCAACCCAGCACAATATTTTTTCTACTAGTTAATAAATTCCTTGAAATAATAATTTCTGAATATTTTTTAAAACTTAACTCGCTATGGAAAAAAAATATTGTTTTATACACGACGATAAAATTGCAATATCGTCCCCCGAAATCTATTCGGTCAACGATAGAATACCAGTTTATCGTCTTGTATAAAAAATAACTATAAAAAATTATTTTTCAGCAGTTTAATCAAAATAAAGTTATTGTCGTCCGTTTTTTCTACAATCTCACTTTTCATTGGGCGGTTTTTGACACAAATGCATAAAGAAATTCTAAGACAAGTCAGCAAAGTTTGCCAACAAATAATTTTTTGTATTGAGTTTCATAAAAATGTTGGGGAAAATTATAAATCAATTCAAGAAGCTCAGTCACTAAAAATCAATGTGTAAATAAATTATACCGTGCTGGCAACTGTTACTTTTGGGTCGGTTTTTACATGTGTGGAAGTAAATCGCATAGGGATAGGGATCTTATTAAGTCAGAGTGAGAAAAATGCGACATTGTGCTGTTGCCACATTTCCTTATCAAGTTAAAGTAAAATCACGATCGCAAACCGCTTGTTTTCAAAAGACTTTTTTCTCGAAAAAAAACGGTCCATTTACTTTTAGTGCATTGCAATTTTCAGCGATCGTGTAATTTTTTTATTTGTAAAGATTTTTACATGCTAGTAGAGGGAGATGGCCGATTCACCATCAGGAGGAGGAGGAGGCGTAAATCAGCTAAGGACATGTAAAATAGTCTAATAAACAAGGATAAACAGGTTTAAACAAGAAACAACAGCTTTAAAACAGAAATAAACGAGTTTGAACAAAAAATGAACAGGTCTGTTGTTTTAAACTAAAAAGCCGTTCAAAGCAGTTCAAAAGCTGTTGTTTCTTGTTTAAACCTGTTTATTAGACTATTTTACATGTTCTTAGTTGATTTACGCCTCCTCCTGCTCCTTCCTCCTCCTCCTCCTGATGGTGAATCGGCCATCTCCCTCTACTCATACTGTATGCGAAGAAGATATAGCAGAAATATTAAGAAAGTTTTTGAAAAAAATTACAATCGGTTATTTCTAATGGATTTTGAGATATCGATTTTTGAATTCAGAGTTCTAATAGCGCGACCACTGTCGAACACCAACTCAATTCCACTTATTTTTACCAAAAGTGCAAGTGTTTCTAACTTGCACTTAAAAATTTACAAGCTATAGGGAAAATTACAACTCTTGTTAATATATAAACAAATAAAGTATCACGAGACGTAATTAAATCGTAAAGCTAATGCATGATATATACCTTTGAATAAGAAGACTAAGGAAGGAGCATAATGCTATCCATGTATTCATGCATGGTGGGCGGAAAAAGCACCATAAAAGCACTCTAGGGTGGGGATCCTTGACAGTTCTGTTTGAGGATTCATTTGACACATTTGAATTTGATTTGAAATTTTGTGGATTTATCAGTCTTTACGGAGCTTATTTTATGTTATTTATTATTTATTCGACTACTGATAGTTGTATAAAGGTAGTAAATCTAGATGGAAATTGTGGCAGAACTTAAATTAACAGTGACACTATCGCGATTTAACGAAAAAGGCTCTAAAATAGTTGGTTGTGTAGCGTGCGGTAGATCTCGGCAAAAATTGAGTGAAATAATGGAACAACTTTTCGCTAGTAAGTGACTATATAATATATATACGTGTAGTAAACCGATCATTTATGAAATTCACTTAAATTAACTAAATTATATATTTTTCTTGCATTTTAGCTTTTATTTATTACTTGTCAAAGATTAGATGTCAAAGAATTTAGATACGTTAATTTGACTTACTACTATCGGATGTTTGTGGTAATAAATACTTATTATAACTTATCTATAATACTTATTATTACTTATATGTTATATATATTTATAACAATTTTAATAACTACCAACATTTATTCACAACGTAAAATAAAACAACAAATTTCTGAGTCTCCCCCACGTCTACCCTACATCATAGTTTTACATTTTTTAAATAAAATTAGAACGACACTGATAAACCGGAATTTAAGTCGGCCATATTTGAGGCCCATCGCGGTGTACCTAAGATTTTTGATATGCTTCTTCCTTAGTCTTCTTATTTCAAAGATATATACCAAAGAATATACCTAGCTAGAAAAAGAATGGACTCTGCCATACTGAAAAATGGTCCTACAGAAGTGGCGTCATCTATTGAGTAGGGCTTGTTTTAAACGGATCGAAGCGCGGGCTTTTTAAACGAGCGTATTTATTGAATTTTACTCTAAAATAATTAAATTTGATTGTTGGGTCTTATTTTTTACACAAATTCAACAATACTAATAACAAGTATCGTTGTGATGTATAAAAAATAAGATTTAACAGTATAATTTATACAATTAGTAAATAAAATTAAAGCCAAACATGTGTAAATATTATTTATTTTTTAAAGTTTTTATTTATAAGTCAAATATTTAAACATCGTTTATTATAATAAAACAAGACCAACGTAATACACCGAAAGTTTTGTAAATGGAGTAAATATAAATAGGTACTTAAATGATGGCAAAAATAGACTTACATTATATTTTTAGGACCACATAAAAAAGGAATTGTCTAATTAAAACACATATAACAAATTATAGTTTGAAAAACGTTTTGATAATCATTTGATAATATTATGATTGGCGCTATGACAACGACAATATTTTTGAGAATTTGACAATCGGTTATTTCTAATGGATTTTGAGATATCGATTTTTGAATTCAGAGTTCTAATAGCGCGACCACTGTCGAACACCAACTCAATTCCACTTATTTTTACCAAAAGTGCAAGTGTTTCTAACTTGCACTTAAAAATTTACAAGCTATAGGGAAAATTACAACTCTTGTTAATATATAAACAACGTATCACGAGACGTAATTAAATCGTAAAGCTAACGCATGATATATACCCTTCTCTAGAATTTTAAGTACTGATTGGGTCGACCGCGACGAATCTGTTGTATCCCGTTCCACGTCTCTTAGCAATGTGCACAGATTCTCGGTTTATTTCATACGTTTGACAACGTTTTTACTGTTCTCTCTTTGTTCAGTACATTATAAACGCATTGTGCTCTTCTTACATACGGAAATCTCGACCCAAAACTAACCTTTACCAGCCCTTGGTATAATGTGGTGTCATAAGGTGTGAACTTCATAAACTAAATCTTTGTGTACACGATATATTTACCTAAAAGCAATTAAAAACTGTGTCTGACAGATGGTTTATTTAAAGACAGACTAATAATATATTTTCACATTTTAGGACAAACGGTTTTTCTAACGGTATAAACGAAAACGATCCCCTAAGAGATAAGTTATGGTATGTAGGGGAAATGAGAAGAGAGACTGCCGAACTTAAACTAGCAAAACGAGAAAACGGCACTTTTCTAGTGAGAATTAGGCCTAACATGGACAAGGATACGTATGCCCTAACATTAAAGTATTAAATTCATTGAATGTTGTGTTTTTTATCTTATTTTTTTTTCTTTCTTTTTTAGAACTGATAATACAGTCAAACACATGAAAATATGTTCAACCAATGACGGGTTAGGAGATTCAAAGAAGTACTATTTGTCACAATCGAAGTTTTTTAGCAGTATCGATGAGTTAATATTGAATTATCAGAATTGTAGCTTAAAGGAAAACTTTGACAAGTATGGTATTTTCTGAAAAAAATACAACAAATTATAAACACAAATTATTCCGAAAATTATAAAAATATATAACGTGCCTGAAAAATGTTTTAAACTTTTTTAGACTTGGAGATAATGCAATGCTTCTTTATCCTTACCACCAGTTAAAAGCTGTAGTTTTAAGGAATCACACTGCTCAAGACAGGACGCAGCTGAATATACAGGAAGGTCAAGTGATTCATATTATTGGCAAGGAAGGATACAGGGATGGTTGGTGGAAAGGACGTACAAGAAATAATGAGGTAATATTTATTAATAACCCTCAAATATAAAGTTATTACAATTTATTAAATTAAAAAATTGGCGCCGGGAGGCACGTATAGCCGCCCATACTAAAATATGTTAATATCTCAAAAACTGCGACTTTGACTGATTTTGATGTTATTATAAATTTTATCCAAAAAAATCCTTATGGGTTTTTCGCCACTGCACTGCAAGAAAAATGCTGCTTGTCAGAAGTTGTGTTTACAGTAATAAAAATTTGCCTAACAAAGAAAAAAAATGCTTAACGTTTCGGAAAGTTTTCTCTTTCCGTCGTCGGAAGCAAAAAAATATAAAGAATCAAGAAAAAAAAAACTAATTAAGATATTTAAATTGAACTATTCGAGAACACTTTGCTTTTTAAAACAGATACGTCTACAAGAAATCGTTGACGTTCTCTTAAAATGACATTATATTAAGTTAAACTTCAAAATTAACAATTACTACTTGATAACAATTACTTAATAAGGTAAAACCAAAAAGCCCAAACCTTCTGTATGATTATTTTTAAATTTTACATATGTTATGTTTATTTATGTTATGTTCTTTAAAATCAAAGAAGCGATTGCCATACATTACTAACATCTACAGATGCTTAACCAATACATTTATTTTTATTAGATTGTATTAAAAAAGGTTCTTTTATTTTTCTTTTAGAGGCTATCGCTTCTTTCATTATAATTTTGGCGTTATTAAAATTTATTCTGTGCCCTGTGTCCCATGAATGCTGACAAATCTTAGATTTGTGAAAATCTCCCTTTCTTAAATAATCTTTATGTTCTTTAATTCTAACATTTAAGGGTCTAGATAATAAAAGAGGCTTTTTTAATTCAATCTAATAAAAATAAATGTATTGCTCATGCATCTGTAGATGTTAGTAATGTATGGCAATCGCTTCTTTGATTTTAAAGAACATTACATAAATAAACATAACACGTGAAATTTAAAAATAATCATACAGAAAGTTTGGGCTTTTTGGTTTTACCTTATTAAGTAATTATCAGGTAGTAATTGTTAATTTTGAAGTTTAACTTAATATAATCCATTGCCTGGAAACTTATATGGTGAAATTTTGATAAAATAATTTAGTACTCACTAAAAACACGATACGTCGCTAGTGGTAGGAAAAATAATTTTTAGAGGTTACTAGTTTATTTGGTTGCCTATGATATGCATATACAGGGTGTTTCCTAATTAATCTAAAAAATAAAAAATCGTTAGAAAACGGCTTAAGGCGGGCTCTTAATAAGTATATTTATTTTTTTCTCGGCAACCGTTTGATGAACAAGAAAAACTCAAAAGATCAATTTTGTTGAAAAAGGATGGCCAGTCAAGAAAAAAATATATTTTCTTTAAAAAAGCAGTACTGTACCATTTATGTTAAGCAAAATATCGATTTTTTTTAATTTTTAACACGCTGTAGATCAGAAAGGAAGTACTTTAGACCTAATGGTTATATAAAAATTGTTTTAAGAAGACATGAGGAATCACACCACAATTTTTTAGACTAATTAGAAAAAAACCCTGTATATTGTCAACTTGACAATGATTGTTGATAAATCAAAAAATACTTTTTCTGTGAAAAAAGCCCGATTTTCGCAGGAAAAATTTTGGTTTTTATTGAATTTGGACCTGCGTCTGCAAATATCGGTATGTTTTTTAATATTCTAACTATCTAAATTTTAAATATCATAGTCAGAAATAGTTTTATTATTTATTAACTGTAAAAATGATATACTTATAAGTTTTGTCAAATATTGTGATTTACTTTCTACCTTGTAGTCAAAATTTATATTTAATAAACTGTAAAATATATATATATTCTTATGTTTTATTAAAGTTACTCTGATATACTAATATATCAGTGTAACAGAACGATTTCTTGTAGACGTATCTGTTTTAAAAAGCAAAGTGTTCTCGAATAGTTCAATTTAAATATCTTAATTAGTTTTTTTTTCTTGATTCTTTATATTTTTTTGCTTCCGACGACGGAAAGAGAAAACTTTCCGAAACGTTAAGCATTTTTTTCTTTGTTAGGCAAATTTTTATTACTGTAAACACAACTTCTGACAAGCAGCATTTTTCTTGCAGTGCAGTGGCGAAAAACCCATAAGGATTTGTTTGGATAGATGAATCCGCCACATAGGTATAGACATTTTTTATTATAAATTTTGTTGCAAATATTATTCCTAATCTTAATTTGAAAACCGCGTTTCCCTAGCTACTGTAATTTTGGAGTTACGGTTTTTTTTTAATTTTTAACCCCCTTACCAACCCCCTACTCCCACCAAAAGCTAATGGCCAGATTCTCGGGTGCTACAGTATTTTTGTGCCAAATTTGGTTAAAATCGGTTCAGCGGTTTTTGAGTTATCGTGTTACAGACGGACAAACAGACAGACATACGCCATGAAAATATTTTGTATTTAGGTCATTTATGACCCAAATAACTCATTTTTAGTGAAATTAAAAAAAAAATTTTTTTGCCGATCTTAATAGCCTTAATAATTCTTAATCGGCTAAAAACAATCATTAAATATTTAGTATATAATATTTGTTCCCAAACATATTCATTTGACGCACCTCTATACAAAAGTGCTTCGTTTGTCCGTTAGAGGGCATCAAACACATTTTTTTTAAATATTTTAAGAACCGTTATTCCGATTTGAATAAGTTTTGGAGTGCCTCTGTTTTGTTAAGTGCTTTAACATTTGACTTTCACAAAAATCAAGAAAAATTATGGGAAGGGTGAAAATTGCCCCCACCCCTACATAAATTTTAGTTTAAATATTTTCTAACTCCACCGACGACCGATTTTTTTTCGCAAATGGTTCTTCTAGTATCTATTTCATTTAGAATATATTTTTTTTATAGAATATTTAGGTTCAATGATCTTGTGACGCTCTGTATTTATTGGCTTTGCATGTAAATTATAAATATAAAGACTATTATTAATGTTAATATGTTACAAAAATCGTTACTTAATATATTAAAATTTAAAAAATAATGCGTTATACATAGAAGTAGTTCAAATGTCCCAATGCAAAAAATGTCTAAATACTAGCTGAGGTTTTTTGTCAATCTTCCATTTGTTGTCTATATTTTTGTTTACATTTGGATTCAAGTATTTTCTATATATTTCAATACCTTTCTAGATTTGAACATGGAATTTTCCAAATACTTTCAGTTGAATTCTACAATGTCTAGTATGTCACTTCTTTGCAGCGGACATCAATAATTATTACCTTAAGATAAGGAAGGAGTATAATGCTATCCATGTATTCATGCATGGTCGACGAAAAGATGACTCTAGGGTGGGGATCCTTGACAGTTCTGTTTGACGATTCGTTTGACACATTTGAATTTGATTTGAAATTTTGTGGATTTGTCAGTCTTTACTGAGCTTATTTTATGTTATTTATTATTTATTCTACTACTGATAGTTGTTTAAAAGTAGTTAATCTAGAAAGAAATTGTGGCAGAACTTAAATTAACAATGACACTATTGCGATTTATCGAAAAAGACTGTAAAATAGTTGGTTGTGTAGCGTGCGGTAGATCTCGGTCAAAAATCGAGGGGAATAATGGAATATAACTTTTCGCTAGTAAGTGACTATATAATATACATACGTGTAGTAAACCAGTCATTTATGAAATTCACTTAAAATTAACTAACTTTATATTTTCTTGCATTTTTGCTTTTATTTACTACTTATATATAAGATAAAAAGAAATAAAGATTAGATGTCAAAGAATTTAGATACGCCAATTTGACTTACCTGCTTCAGTAGCGTATCGGATGTTTGTATTAATAAATAAGTATTATAACTTATCTATTTTTATTAGAATTATATATTTTTATTAGAATTATATATTTTTATAACAATTATAATTAACTACCAACATTTATTGACAACGTAAAATAAAACAACAAATTATTGAGTCTACCCTACATCATATTTTTGCACGTTTTGAATAAAATTAGAACTGCACTGATAAACCGGAATTTAAGTCGGCCATTTTAGAGTCCCGTCGCAGTCGATCTAAGATTTTTTTTTGATATGCTCCTTCCTTGATCTTTTTATTCAAAGAGATTAACAATTACTTTATTTTACAGGTTGGATACTTGCCAGTAAGTTTAATAAGATTAGAGGGTCAAGTTAGATTCGACTAATAAAAGAAAGATATTTAGCAAAACTAGTCAAAAGGAGGAATCATTTTATAATTAAAAGTTGTATTTTCGAATACAAAAAGTAAAGTGTTATTAAAGCTGAGTATGCTTGTTACATCAGTGATGTTTTATTTAACTAATTTATCACTTTATATAACAAGAATTGCTATAGTGTGTCCAACGAAAGGAAATATTTCGACAGACGATATCTAAAAAATTACAGAAAAGACAATTTGTCTGTTGGATCCCCCCATTGGACAGATTATAGTAAATAACCAGTACTTTGTTCAACGACTCGAATATTATGTAGATCTTTTGAGTTACCAATAGTTACCAGCACAGGTAGTTACAGTCACGGGGAGTTCAAGCTTAACAGGTGAATGCCAAAAAGATTCATTTCAATCAGGATAGGTATAAAAACAAAACAACTCCATCAAAAGGCACTGAGTTTAAAATATTAATAGCTGCCCATACAAGGAAAGACTTGGCCTTGAGTCCGGGCCTTTAACCCAAAAAATCTATCTTATTTATTATTTTCAAAATGCGTACCAAATTATTCTTAAAAAAATGCTTTTTCCAAATATGCTTATGAGATATGATTGAAATACGATTTGGGCATTTTTTAACCAGCCAGGGCAAGACACGAAAAACATTAGACGATCAAATCTATTTTTCCAAGGCTCCTTGATTAAAAATTAGTGTTTTCAACACAGCTATGGCACTCGAGATTGATATTTAAGTACGATTTTTTTAAAGCGAAAATGTCAAAAGTTGACATATGATATGTCATTCTATTCAGGGTGTCATTTTTTATCGAATAAAGTAGAAAAATACCGAGGGTGCCATTTAAAAATCAAAAGTTATGAAGGTGAAACAGGAAGTAACCAAAAACAATTGAATACGTCAATCAATCTTAATTTATGTCATATACTAACATATCAAATCTCGTTTTTTTCCCGAAGAAATAAAAAAGTTATAGTAGTGAGCCACTTTTGAGACACACCCGGTATATTATTTCAATATATTTCTGGATTTGAACATGTTATTTTCCCAATATTTTTCGTTGAATTTCTATTCTATAATGTCTAGTATGTCACTGCTTAGCAGCGAACATCAGTTATTACAAAAAATAAGCTATAAGACGTGAGCTATCAATTGCGAAATATGGCCGAGTTCCAAACCTAATATATTTAATTAATTTTCTGTGTACTTGTTTTTTCGGTAAATTTTCCCCATACTTTAATAGTTATTCTGCTATTCGGGGCGTAGACGAATCCAACAAATCAGAGACCATTAAAATCGGTTCAACCGTTCTTCAGTTATAACAATTATTTTATTTTACAGGTTGGATACTTGCCAGTAAGTTTAATAAGATTAGAGGGTCAAGTTAGATTCGACTAATAAAAGAAAGATATTTAGCAAAACTAGTCAAATACGTAAAAGGAGGAATCATTTTATAATTAAAAGTTGTATGTTCGAATACAAAAAGTAAAGTGTTATTAAAGCTGAGTATGCTTGTTACATAAGTGATGTTTTATTTAATTAATTTATCACTTTATATAACAAGAATTGCTATAGTGTGTCCAACGAAAGGAAATATTTCGACAGACGATATCTAAAAAATTACAGAAAAGACAATTTGTCTGTTGGATCCCCCCATTGGACAGATTATAGTAAATAACCAGTACTTTGTTCAACGACTCGAATAATGTACACACAATGACAGTATTTTATCGAAATAAGTGTTCTTTTTTATTGAACGTAGAGTTTAAGATTATCTGTAATATTATTTGTTACAGTAACGTTTATACAATTTTTTTTATAATAACAAATGTGGCGTTTTTTGTTAAGAATCTCAATTAAATTCCTAGATCATATATACTTTGTGGTATGTAAGTAAACAGCAGGTGAAGCTGTCGTAAACATATCAACGACGTACTTTGATCCCTGATTGAAAGAGTTGGGAAAATACAAGTGCTGTACGGTGGAGCCCCCACTTATTTTGCGACCAACGCATAAAACACTCATTTTCTTTAACTCGGCCAGCGAAGGCATATTTTAAATTTAAAATTACTTATAGATTTAAAAATTTAAAAAAGAAGAAAGAATTTATCGGGCAAGCCTACAGTAAGATTAGACATGAGACATGACTAAAACATGACAATAAATTCTTTCTTCTTTTTTTTACAATTCCCACGATAACATCTTTTGTTTATTTAAAAATATATTTACTTATAGATTTAAATCTATAAGTAAAGGCGCGAACAGTAAAGCTTGATTTTCATGCATCCGTTATATGTTGATACGATGGTCCGACGGTGCTCTGATTGATCATAGCGTTTTCGCGCCACTTTTCATCCGTAAATATTTTACTTCAGGAGTTACCTCAAGTCTTTAAATTCTACCAATAAAATTAATATCGTATCAACGTATCGTCGGACAACGGATGCATGAAAATCAAGCTTAAGACGCTAAACTTGATTTACGTAGTAAATGGAAACTCTGAAAACTACTTGTATTGGTTATTATGAAAATAAATCAACTAATCGCGAAGCACTTTTCACGCTTGCGTAGTTCGAAGCTGTTGAACCAAAAGGACCGACACATGTGGATTTTGTATAGCTCCATTTCAAAAATTTAGCTTCAATTTCTGTGCCTGACTAGCCGTATATATTTTTTTTTAATATTATTACTGAACACACTCGCATCCTTTCAAATATAAAAGCTTGAAAATCAAAAACCTAAAAAACAAGAGTTGTATGCCCATGAAAATAAGGTTATAAGGTTTATGACCAGGGTTGTCCTTTGTACATTATTTATTTTGTACTTTTTCGTTGATAGATTTTCTACATAAGTATATATTATGATCTAGGGTTAAATTTTAATGTAATTTTTACATTTTGGATATTTTTGTATATAAACGTGATTACTTATGGGCAATTATGAATATTTTTATTTATCAGTGTGACATATTGTACCCATTACAATAAGTACCCAATTCCCTTGCTCATATATTGTGGCCTAACATAAAAAACTAATATTTGTGGTGCTGATTTTAAGATGATTGACGGAAATTGTCTTATTATTGTTAAGTTTTATATTGGCGCAAATAAATTATGTATCATATCATGCTTTTTATATTTAGTCTTAAGCCCCGGCTACACATAACATTTTACCTGTCAGTTAAAAGGGTCATGTAAGACGGATTAAAGACTAGCGAACACACTGGAATTTTTACCTGCGGTTTTAGATCAGTTTTTAGTAAAGATTATGAAGAAAGCACTGCTTTTATACGTTATAGCGAGTCTGTTGTGCGTTTTTTCGTCTACATACAATGTTTTTCTTGATACGTTTTGACTGAACGGTATGGGCGGAAGGTTAAGTTATGTGTAGGCGGTGCTTTAGGCCTGACCATAAAACTCTTTAAGGTTGATTCTCACTATACCTTCCGTATCAGCTATCTTCCGTTTACATAAAATATTATATCATGTAAATGAATAGGACAATGCACACTATCCGTTCCGTTTTTTTCTTTCCTTCCATACATTTTTTTGGCGGACGGACTGAAGCGTATCGGAAACAGCGTTGTCAAGTCCTTACATTTGTACCAGCTCTGTTAATATTTTGCTGATATTTATTTATTCTTTCATCTCTTAATTAAATCTATTATCTTTTTCAAAAGATATAATTTTTTATAATAAAACTTTTGTAATTATATAAATTGTACAATAAAAGTATGGAACTGATACGGAACGGAAGCTTACGTATATCGTCAATACCATAGACTTAAAATAAAATATAGACTGAGCATCTCATTCATAAATAGCTGGAACATGCGGTCAGACAATGTCTTGTTATTGTTGTGTTATTGTTTTAGGTTATAACGAGTGCGACACGAGCGATAGATAGGTTGTATCTGTCGTAACGGTCGTTCCCTGACGACTCTGACGAGAAACGCAACACTGTCTTTCGTTTCTCAAGTACACCTGAACTCTCCGTATCATAGCCGGCTATTTTTTTATTTTAATGAAGCTTTAATTAAATTAAAAATATATCGTATTTAAACTTTTTTATATTTTCTTAAGATTTAGGAGAGGTTTTTTTAAATCAAAATTTAGAAAAAACGTCTTAGAGTCCAAAAAGGATAAAAATAATAAAATACATGTTATAGAAGAAATTTTATAATCGAAATTACGTATTTTTTGAAATTAATAATAAATTATTAATTTTAGTCAAACATTTACAACCCCTAATAATATAATCAAAACAGGATCTATTCTACAGATATAATAGTATATAATCGGCGACTGGGAGAGAAAAAAAAATATGATTGTTGTAATTTTTTTTCTGGTTAAGTGATATCTTATTATGTAAATTAGAGAAAACATAAATCTGTCCCATTAAAGCAAGGAAGGTGATAGGAAGTGGATAAAATGAAAACTACATTTATTTAACTCGGTACTGTCTTTAATATACCGGGTGCGTCCCAAAAATGGCTCATACCCATAATTTTTTTATTTTTTTCAAATAAAAAAATAAGATTTAGTATGTTAGTATATGACATAAATTAGGATTGATTGGCGCATTCAATTGTTCTTGGTCACTTCCTGTTTCACCGGAAATGACTATAACTTTTAATTTTTAAATGACACCCTCGGTATATTTCTACTTTATTCGATAGAAAATGACACTCTGAATAGAATGACATATCATATGTCAACTTTTGACATTTTCGCATATAGTTTAATTGTAATTGTAACACGCGGTTCATAACGACAATTTGACTTGAAATACCAAGTGTGTGGTATCAATATATTCATAAAAAATGCTTTTTCCAAATATGCTAATGAGTCATCTTGTTCCATTTGAAAAAATTGACATATGATTAAAAATACGATTTGTACATCTTTTAACCGGCCTAGACAAGACACGAAACCCAGGCTCCTTGATTAAAACTTAGTGTTTTTAACAACACCATGGCACCCTGGATTGAAATTTAAAATACGATTTGTTTTTAAGCGACAATGTAAGTTGACATATGATATGTCATTCTATTCAGAGTGTCATTTTTTATCGAATAAAGTAGCAATATACCGAGGGTCCCTTTAAAAATCAAAAGATGTAATCATTTCCGGTGAAACAGGAAGAGACCAAAAACAATTGAATACGTCAATGAGTCCTAATTTATGTCATATACCTACTAACATACAAATCTGTTTCTTTTATCTGAAAAAATAAAAAAGTTATAGGGGGTGAGTCACTTTTGAGACGAACCCGGTATATTAAAAAATATTGTTTCATAATGTAATATCATTTTAAAATTCTTGTATGTTATTTTAGATTCTGGAGATAATTTTAGAATAAACCGCAATATATTTTTAATAAAAACATTATTAATTATTAACAGGGTTATAATTATGATTTTGTGACAAAAACCTTTATATAAATGTTTATGTAAGAGAAAAAATTCAGATTTTACATTTTACTAAAATATTATCTAAATAAGCACATTTCTACAACAACGCCACTGACTCCTAATGGGTAAATTGAGAGTTGCCTACCGGTCGAAAGTCGTTTCAAGACTTAAATGGATTATTTAAGTAAAATTCCTTGCAAATTTGGCACTGGCGAACCATATTTTATAGTTCTTGAACAGAAAAAGTATATAAAATAAACACTTAAGGACTACAAGCTAAGAAAATGCGTTAATACAGCCGGGGACATAGGGACAACAAAGCTTTACCGCACATGTTCGACGCGTACTACAAGGTAAATAAATGAATGAATAGGCGACCTCGCCTCTAATCGGTGTTGCCATATTGTAAAGAACTTATCCTTTTTAAATAGTATCCGACTTATAATTTAGTAGTATAAGGACTATTTAATACATCTATGGAATATTAAAACCTACTTTATTAAAATGCTGTATTAATATCTCAATATATGTGTATAACAAGAAAAAAAATATTGATAATTTTAAAGACGTGACAATATAGGCTGGATGAGGAAGGCTCGGTCGACTGTGCCCAGAAGTAAACATGTGTACAAAAAAGATTGTTTGACCGCGTTTAGATGTAAATAGTGTAGTCTATATTTTACTTTAAGTCTATGGTCAATACAATCAAAAATACGGAACGGATATGAATGGAAAATCAACCTTTAATAAGAATTTAAAGATGCTGAAATTAATATCACGTAAGATTGTTGTACGCATATTTAGTTACCTAATTTTAAAAAATTAGTGTCTGCATTTAAGGCATACATATATCGATATGGGATAGTGCGATTTTTAGACTTTAGTTTAGAGTGTCTTTTGATAGCATGTTTTGTGCTCTCTCTTTTTACAATGTATATTATTTTAATACACTCTAAAATGTAATATACATATTTGTTGCTATTCTGTAATATTTTAAATAGTTCGTTTTAATTTTCTAAGTTACTTTTATATAAAAGAACATATAAAAATTGTTAAGACGTATGTATTAAAATTTCTAAGTTTTTTTTATTGTATTTGGAATCGATGTAATATAAGGAATCTCTTGCCTGGAGAAGTATTTGAAATTGAAAAGGTAAAATTTTAATTTCTAATCTATAATATATTCGAGTTCGAGTATGTGCCAAATCTTAGTATTTCATTAATTTTTTGCCTGTCATGACTTTTATATAACATCAAAATTTATCAGTAAAGCAGTTTTATACCGGAGAGTTTATTTGCCAATCTTTCTTTTTTATTTTCCAATTTTTTTTATTAACTTATTAGTGGAAAGTTGTGATCATTATTTTACATTTTTATTATCTGGTATCCAGGTGCCCGGTGGCTGGCGTAGTGATACAGGCTCTCGTCTACCAATCTCAAGGTAGTGGGTTCGAATCCCACACCCGGCATTGCATCAGCCGATTATTTTTATTAAAATAAAATAATTGGGGTACCTAGGTCGACTCAGCCTTAAATGAGTACTTGGGATTCACAATCCTGAGGTAATAATAGGCGGTTGAAGCGTAGTGCTAGCCACATT